CCCGGCCCCTTCTCCCCTCGGCTCCGTCTCTCTTCTCCCTTCACCCTCCCTCGACCATGAATCAAACTAACCCAGACATTCCAGCACATTTGCGCCGTGTCTCATTTAGTATTACAAACAACTATCCTGTATGAAAGTGTCAAACCCAACCGTTGCGTCTTCAAACAGCTGCCCCATTCTAACCTGAAGTTAGGGACTTGGCATCCTATCGCTGACGCAAATCCTCCATCCTATGGCCAGACGCCCCCAACTCCTTTTTGTCGCGAAACAAGATGCCAAACGTCAGAACATGTGCCGTCTTAGCCAACAGCGGGCGGTCATCCCCGTGTCTCTCCCCAATCACCTCCGTTCCATCCTGCGCCAGATAGACATGGTAATCCCTCGGGAGCGAGCGGCCCGGATGCCAGATATTCCACAGCCAAGAGTTGAGCAGCATAAGTGTTGCCTCAAAGACGTAGAAAAACGACTCATACCGCAGGAGCGGACTAAGTTTCCTGAGCACCTCCATGTCATTGAGATCCACATGAGTATTGCCGGAGTGCTCAACAAGTCGAAACACGCAGCGCGCAAAGATCAGCGCCATGCTCGCGTACAGCGTGTACAGAACCGTGCTGACCTCCTTGGCGTTGAACCCAGCCTTTGAGTACCGCCAGTGGAATGCGCTCGCGGCTATGACGAACACAACAATGACGGCTACCTGTATCGAGATGGCGGCAACGGTCAAGTTCTTTCCAAGCGACTGTGTCTGGGCGGACGAGGACGTATTCGCGGTCAGGGCTACCCCTATAGCGTTGAGAGCTTCGACGACGGCCATCAGGCCACCAAAGATTCCGAGAACGCGGCCTGGAGCGATGGGAGCGTAGTAGGGGACGTAGTAGAACACGCGTGCGAGGACGTGATAGTTGGCTAGTTCTAGGAGTGGGCTGCCGGCGGAACAGAAGGTTGTAAGCGGTGCGTTCAAGCTCAGATGAGCACGTCGCGCAGATAACTGGGGCTGTACAACTTACGGGCAGACGTAGATAAAAACTTGACTCAGGATGAAGACAATCAGCGGCATCTTGTCAGTCGTGCTATACAGGTAGTTGTCCATGGCCGAATATTCCCTGAGCGCATATCCCAATGTGAACAGGACAGCGCAGGCCGGATGTAACCAGACCAAACGCCATGCTTTGTTGTGACTAGGAGCAAGGTTATTATTACCTCTGGTCAGCTAATGTGCGATGAATGTCATGAACTTACTAGCACTGCCAGATGTGGAAGACAGCCGAGAGACCATATGCGACTGTGAAGAAGATTGGTGCTTCTCTGTTGGGAATGTAGACATAAAGACTCCACAGCACTGAACCGTCATGTCAGTAGGCCGTGCAGTGCTTGACTGCTGGGACTTTTAGCGCTCACCAGGCTCTCCGGGGCTAGCCATCTCGAGAACCACTGAAGTGAGCTTATGGTTGATGGACGATATCAGTGTCAGTTGGGGGTAGGAAAGACTCCGAGATGCGAGGAGATTGAAGAGTAGTAGACGGGGTCAGTTTTGAGATTGCCTTCAACTGAATAAGGGGTATGTACACTTTTCAACAGAATGGTGGACGGTGGGGTGTAAGTGTGGTCTGGATCCGGGCGAGTCTCGATTCACTCTCGAAAACGTCGGCAGGCTCACCGTCAGCTCCTATTAAATCTGATGCTGGTTCAGTCTATGATGAACGAATAGAGAAAATAAAAACAAGACACAGCAAGAAAATCAGATTTTTGTAGTCTTCAAAAAGGGGTTTGATGTTCTGGGAGACAGCATTGAGTCCCTTCGTAAGCCGCTAGTCCCAAATAGGATATTGTTGATGCCAAGAAGCAGTGATCGTGATGGCTTCAAACTCGGCGGGGTTCGATGGTGGAGCGTCATGAGGAGCATCCAACGTTCGTAATAGGTTACTTACCTCCGTATCAGTCAAGGACTTCGTGAATGAGCAACTGTTTTGCGGTTGATCTACATATCTTGTGAAATCGCAATTCTAATGAACCCCGGCCATGCAAGCTAATCGTTGACGCGTCCCTCAGCCCCAATCCGTCGAATGTCGATTGTCAAGGGAAGCTGTCCTGCCGAGGCCTCTGTTACCACACTGGACCGGGTCACCAGCAGCGCTTGATCTGCATGCATCACAAAAGCACGGGAACTTCACTAGATTATTAATTACGTAGGTACTACCGTGATCTATGTATATCTTTTTGACAGGAGCACCCACAACCAAACCTGCTAGCTTCAAACAGTCCAAAGGCGGGCTGAGCGGGCATGGTTACCTCCGCGCTTCGTCTTGTTCTTCAGCGCCTCGATAACTCCGTCGTAGGCAGGATGAGTGGTGAAGTCCTCAAACCACAAGAGTGGAGCACCCTGACCCGGGAAGACATAGGGAACCCAGCTGAAAGGGTCATAGAAATCCCAGATGGTAATGCCGATGCAGCCCCTGACTTGGACGCAAGCGCCAACCGCCTAAGGTGATATTAGCATGGGGTCATCAATCATGCTCGTTGCGTCAAGCGAGACTCACATTCTTATAAGCCTCCCGCTGCAGTGCGAGATTGGTGGCATTTGCCGGTGTCTGGAGGCGAATATCAAGCTCGGTGAGAGCAACTTCAACGCCAAGGTCCGCGAACCCCTTGATGGCGTCAATGTGCTGGTTGAGCGTTGGGTGGCTCTCGGCGACCAAGTGGGCTTGCAGACCCACACCGTTGACCTTGATGCCTGCCTTTTGAAGCATCTTGACGATCCTCTTGGCGCCCTCAACCTTGGGCCCGGGGCTCTCAAGGTTGTAATCGTTGTAGTAGAGCTTCGCGTGGGGGTCGACTTTGGCAGCCGTCTTGAACGCGAGCTTGATGTACTCCTCGCCGAGCACCTTGTAGAAGACCGACTCGCGGTAGGTGCCGTCCTCGTTGAGCGCCTCATTGACAACGTCCCAGGCATAGCATTGGCCCTTCCAGTGCTTTGCAACCTTGGTGACGTGCTCCACGATGACGGATCGGAGCTCCTCGGCAGTCCACGTCGTGGATTCAACCCATGGAGCGAGCTGGCTGTGCCAGACCAGGGCGTGGCATCTCAGGTACATCCCAGCCTTTCTCGCCTTGGACGTCACAATCTCGCCTTCGGTATAGTTGAAGACGCCGCGCTCCGGCTCGACAAATAGCCACTACACTCACGGCGGTCAGCGTCAAGCGGAATCATAGGGGCCAGTTATCAGACTAACCTTCTGACCATTCGTCGGAGTCGTCTGGCCGAATTCCCCTGACTTCCACATGATGCGGTCATATTCGGGGTATGCAGCCTCCAAGCCGGCACGCTCGCGCTGGCCAGGAGAGTCGGTCGCGGCCCCGAAGTACTTGAGGCCTGCCTTTTTGGCATAGTAGTCGAGCCCTTTATGACCGCGGTCCCCGCCAGCCAGCGCAAGAGGCAGCGAGGCAAGGAAGAGGGAGGCCCAGGGGAGATGCATCTTGACGACTTGAATGCTTCAGTCAGGATTGGGAAAGCAGACTGTGACTGGATTGCCTGATACCTATCCCAGACCAGAGAGAAGACGGCATGCTTTATAAGGGCGCATGCACCTGGGTCTCGACCCGTGCCTCCGGGCTCGCGATCCGCATCATCCCCACCTCAATGGGACTCTCCAGTCTCCATGAATGCTCGCCAATGCTACCCAGACCCTTGGGGGTTGTCAACTCCGCCCCCAGTTTCCGGGATCTGGAGACGCTCTCCTGCTAAATTGTCTGCCGTGCAGAAGCGATGCCGTCGACTTTACCGAATGCAGCTTTCGGAGCCGGGCAGTCGACCGGGTTCCTGGGGCTTGGTCCGGAATCGCGGGTCACTTTTCGACAATTTCATTGGAGAGTTCATTTCGGCCGTCAGGAACGCGGGAGCTATTGCTGCTGGTATTCAGCCGGATATCAGTAGCGGCAGCCGGTTCCATCGCCAAGTAACCTTACCCGAGCGAGTGTCCCACGGCTCATCACCTCGGTGAGGGAGATGATTTGCAATCACGGTCAACTCGCGAATGGACCGGTTAAAAACCAAAAGCTTGGGGTTGTATTTTGCCGCGTAGAGTCGTGGACCGCGGGTCTTGGCGGACTGCTACTCCCGTAAAATGACCTACATACCATCAGTAACATATGCTTGAGGAATTACATACCTAGATTCACATCGACAGTGAGAGCACCTGTTAGGCCTGTACCTTATTCACAATGTCAGTAATCCAAGCCTCATGTCAGTAAATCATGGCCCAAGTCCTTGTCCATCCATCATTTTGGCTTGCTTATTAGCCAGAAGGCTAGAAGTTTTCGGCGCATCAACTCCACACAGGGCTGTGCTGATTGTTGCGGAGAATGCGGGGTTACCCCACCACTTGGGATGAAGTGGAACCAATATTTCCCCAACAAACTTCCAGGTTCCATTCTGCCACAGGCCACACCAACATCGCAAAATTGTTTCTGGACTTCCATCATGCAATCGAGCGCTGGCACAATACACTCTCTTCATGTACCCGTCTCCAGGAGTGGCCGTCTTGGCTAACACCTGTTGCCCCTCATCGTTATGACTGGAGGACACCGCAGGGTGAAACCAATGAAAAGTCGTGGAACCAGGACAAGAAGCTCCGTTTCTTGCTTTCATAGCCTGGCGATGGATGGGCTACTGCTGTCGATTTTGGAAATCGCGACTCAAGTCAACAACGTGCAATTGTCACAACACAAATGATATTCCGTGACTTTAAACTTGGGATCAATTCCATATCACAGATCTGGAAAAAACTGATTTGGATTTTGAGGAATGTCCTCTCCAGGCCCAAAGCGCACTAGCTTATGACATCACCAGCAGTGACGTCATGCTCTTTTCGACATCTAAAGTAGTTCTCAACACGTACAGCGCGACTCCAGGCATGAGCGTCATCACTCACATGCCAGGTCAAAACCAGGGGTTAAGCAAGCATTAGAGATCCTGTCAATTTTCAATCCTCCGTGATATTTAAATCTGGGTTATCTGCGGCTTGACTACAGCCATTCTCAGCATTCATAATTCACTACCTCGCGCCGACTGGTTCCTCCAACGTCCTTTGAACAAACATAACCACTGTCGCAAATTCTTCCACCATGTTCAACCCTCAATTCACCACGAGAGTAACCTCGGGCGCTGCCCGTAGTACCCGGCTTCTCCGCCACTCCCGGCCAACTCAAAGACGCTTCCAGTCCACAGCCGCCACGGGCGGGATGAATTCATCCCATCTAATGTCTGGCATTGTGGGAGGAGCTGCCGGCGCGTCGCTGCTCTACGGAATTTACCTAATGACCCCCTCCGGGAAGATGGTCCGCAAGATCAACGCAGCGGCGAGGGAGACAGACAAGAAGTACCAGCAAGTGGCAGCGACAATAAAAGACAAGACGCCGACGACGGACGAGGCTGTCAACAAGATCAAGGAAGTCTGCTACTCATATGTGGCGTGGGTCCCTGGGGGCCGACAATACGTCGACACTGCGTTCAAGGACTTTGACGCCATCCGGGAGAGCCACGGCGAGGAGGTGGATAAGATTGTTAGCGAAACATATCGCGAGTTTCAGGGCATTGTCAGCTCAGGGCTCAGCCTCGAGGCGCTATCCAAAACCTATGACGCCTTGACGAATCTAGCCAAGAAGCTCGCCAACTTGAGCGGCAGCGCAGCCGATCAAATCCTCGAGCGCCACCCACAACTCAAAGACAAGGTCGGTGGGCCAATCGAACAAATGAAGCAGATGGGTGCGCAATACGGGCCCGAGGCCAAAAAGATGGTGGATGAGACGTGGAGCCAGATCAACGATGTTATGGCTAGTGGCTTTTCCGCCGACAGTGCGGAGAAGATCCGGAAGCTCATCGACGACCGGATGCAACAACTCCGCCGCATCGGAGACGATATGTGGGAAAAGGGCATGCAGCAAGTGAAGCCCTATCTTGACAAGAATCCTCGGGTCAAGGAGCTTGTTGAGAGCAACCGGGACATTCTCAAAGAGGGAAATGCAATGGACCTGTTCAAGCAACTGAAGAGCCTGGGAGAGAGCGGCGACACAGGAAAGCTTGAAGACTACGTTAAACAAACGGTCGACAAGGCCAAGTCGTCAGGGAAAAGCATGAAAGGTTCGGCGGCGGCCGTAGCAGGCGGCAGCGGTGGTTTCTCGGCGCTGGGACAGTTTCTGGGTGCAACTTCGGGCGGGTCGGGCGGTGGCCTGCAACAAAATATCGAATTACTGACCGAGGTGATGGATAAGCATGCGGACGAAGGCAAGCAACTGCTCGAGGAAACCAAGGAGGATCTGAAGAAGGTGTTGCAGGAAAAGGCGAGCAAGGCACGAAAGATTGTGGAAAGTGCTCAAAAAGCGCAATGAATTTGAGGAGGCAGGTAGTAGCACCGAGATGCATTTGCCAAGTATCTAAAATATCTCCTAATGGCTAAATCAAGCGCGGGTACGCGCCGTTCCGCTTTCCCCCGATTGCAACTGCCCTACGTCAGCCCGGGATCTGGTAGGTTCTTCGCAGGTTGGGCAGTCGTCCCCCGCTCGACTTGCTGCTCCCCGCATCTTTCCGTCTCTTTCATGAACGCCCGCCAACCTGGAAGCACCAGCCGGCCAAGCACCTGCCGTGGAGACATCATGACGACAACCAGCTAAGACGAGAGTCCTGGGACCTCAGGCATTTCTTGTTTCGTAAAACTTGAAGAGCAGTTCAGGTCTCAGAACCTTTAAAGTCGAATTCACCATTGGCTACCTCAGTGTACCCTGTGTCTGGTGACTCCGAAGGAACCAAACCACTGGAACCCGACGGAGGCCCAAGCTGGAGCATCTGTCACGCCTTCGTCTATTCCCTGCAGTACCTTACTCTAGCTTCAAAATTCACTGCAACGTAAGGGAACTTCCGAAACCAGGTGACGTCGGTCAATCAGCCACCCGCCATTCCCGACGTGACGAAGGGCAGCAGCTCACACCTAGTACATAGTCAGATCGTTTCACGGAGCAAAGATGGAGCAGAGATACCTCGTGCTCGACTCTCCAAACTTCTTGTCGCTGGGCAACACCGACGGGTACCTGACGGCCGCTTTAGAGGACATTGTTGCCAATTACCCACCCCGGAACAAGTACCCGCATGAGGTCTTGCAGGGGTTATGGAGCGGCCCAACCGGCGCGGCATACCTTTTATTGCAGGTCTCTTCGATCAAACCAGACTTGATCATTCGCGGTCAGCCGGCAGAGAAATGGGCTCGCGCGTACGTCATGGCACCGGGCTCGCGTGGCCACAACCTCCGCCTTGGCTCTCACGGCTGCGGCATCAGCGATGAGAAGCTGGCATACGAAGCTGTCCGCGCTACCGTGTCCAAGGACTTGAGCCATGTACGTGACTTCGTCTCGTCTGTGTCGCAGATCCTCAGCGTCGAAGAGTATCCGGACGAATTACTCTATGGGCGAGCGGGAACGCTGTATCTCCTGCGCATGGTTCGCCATTGGGTGCCGGGTAGTAATCACCTCGTCGACCCAGCAATCGCTGAGATCTCCAACACAATCATGAACCGCGGTCCGCATTGGAAGTGGCATGGCCGGCGCTACCTGGGCGCTGTGCACGGGGATATCGGGATTCTGACTCAGCTGGTCCTCACCTCGCCGTCGTTGGCACCTAGACTGCAGCCCATTCTCGAGAGGCTGTTGACCATTCAACTATCCGACGGTAACTGGCCTAGTTCTGAAGAGAGCGGGGGGACCGGGAAAGGTCTTGTCCAGTTCTGCCACGGCGCGCCGGGTTTCGTGGTATCGTTGTCGGCGATGCGGCCTCACTTCCCTGGCTTGCAGGATAAAATCGACGACGGAATTAGGAAGGGCAGAGAATGCATTTGGAACCAGGGCCTTCTGAAGAAAGAGCCCAACCTATGCCATGGGATATTCGGGAACGCTTTGTATGTGGCAAGCCACTTGTCCTTGAACCCACACATCTCACGGTGGAAATATGCTGACACAGTTGCCAACACACCTAGGGCGCTGGCTCATGGACCACGACGTGAACACTTTCTCGCTGTGGCTACTCCGGAGAATGTAGCTCGCATGAAAAGCTCTGATTCAACTGGGACAGTATTCGCACGGGCTGATTATGGGCGCTCGTACTCGGCATTGACCAGTTACGCGCCTGCTGCTGCTTGGACGTGGCTGGTTTATCGGGAAGAAGATCCTAAGATCTTGGCGTACAACGACGTCTAGAGCGTCCGCGCTAGGTGTCAGACATCGTTTCGGGGCGGGAAAGTTGAGTTTGGCAAGATTAGCAGTAGCAAGCGCAAAATTGCCTATACAGCGACGTCGTGAGCCAGTTCCGGGTTGGACCTAACAGGATCGTGATCCCGCCAACCGTCAAGTACTCAGTATTCATCGGGGATCTGGCAGAACTACCAGGTAGGCAGTCTAGATCAAGTAAGCCTCAGATTGTTCCAGATCGAGCCATCGGGATGTGAAACCAAATCGACTGGATGCCAAATGCCAAAAAGTAAATTAAAAGGTGACCAACACAACGTTAACGAGCGAACTCGGCGTCTTGGGCACGGGCCAAGAAACAAACCTCAGCTGAGCTGCTGATCACGTGTGCGACCAGCTGACCGACCCGAGGCACCAACACGGCAACACCCGAGAAGCAGGCAGCAGCATTTCTCACCCACCTTCAACTTCGCAGCCAATGCGGGATGCAGCTCCAACCCCGCTGCATGGCACTTGCAGGTAGGCACCGAAATAAACCAAATTGTTACTCTTCACAGGGACCGGAAACTACGATGCGCAATCCTTCTTTCTATTGCCCCGTGTGCTACGATTATCTGCCCCGTTATCCGTTCTCGATGCAGCCTGATGAAGACAGAGCTCCGTCTTTCCTATCCTCCCTTCTCCCATCTGCCCACCTTGCGGAGAAACGAGTTAGCCCTTACTTATCCTTTAAGCTCGACTGCTGGAGGTGTCAAGCTTGGCTCTCTTCAGACTTCAGGGGCAAGCCAACACGGTCGCACTTTTCTGGCTTGAGCATAGGAAATGTGTTAGTTCAGGGTGAACGACGGCTTGCGGAGACCGTGTGTGTTTTGTGAGCGGCTCTTTGCCTGCCGGAGCAGCCTTCGCGAACCCGGCTGCCAACCCCCCTGAGGCGATTCCAGCACTACCCGGCCCGTCACCATGGACTCCTTCATCCCGATGGGTGGCATTCAGCTGCCCGGCCCTCAGCGCCGGCTGAGCCGCCTTTACAATGACACCAAGAAGTCGTCAGACTTCGTCAAGGAACCCGTCCACCATGCCGAGGCCGACCCCGAGATCAAGGTGTTGCATCGCAAGCTCCGCATTCAGAAAGACCGCCTTGCAACCTGGGGCCTGGAGTGGTCCGACCCCAACCAGTCTGCCGAGATACTCATCGATTCTGCCATCTCCAAGGCTGGTCTGAGCGACCTTGTTGGCAGTATCATGTCCACCATCAAAGATATCCTAGCTGAGGTCGAGCCGCTTTGGCATGGCTCTCGCCGCCTCGCCGGGGAGACAGTCGAACCAGAGAATCCGCCAAAGAAGGGCGAGAAGATCCAAATGGTTGTCTGGGACAAGAACAAGTTCGAGGATCTTGTTCGTGACCTAACAACTTCGATAGACACGCTGTACGACCTGTCGCGGACAAGATCTTCGTACGTCCAGGCTCCGGACTCGCTGAGGGAGAGGCTCTCGAAGCCAGCCCAAGCAACAGAAGACCTGCGTCCGTTCGAATCATCGAGGATCCAGACACCGCGGCAGATCGACCCGAATTCGCTGACCAACCTGCGCGCCATGCAGGCAGAGCCCATGACGGAGCGCGCTGAGCAAGAGCGTGCGCGCGAGATTGTTTTCATGAGTAGGCAGGCCTACGCGGAGCTCACCCAAGGCACTGGCAGCAGGCAACCGCACGCCCCTCTTCTGTTGGAGTACGCCTCTTTCGACTCGATCTACTCCATGACTGGCATATCGCCGCCCATGGCTCGCTTCGAAAAGCTCTCAGCCGGCCTACAATCAGAGCCTCAGCGATCACCCGGGTCCTGGACAGGCTTGCCCCGGCTTCTTGGTTATTTCGAGGACATGGAAAACTCGAGGTTCGGGCTTGTTTACCAATTTCCACGGACGTTCAACCCCGTCACCTTCGAACATCTCACACAGAACCCACTCTACAACTTATGCTCGCTTGCGGACCTCCTGGCTCGCCCGGATTTTGAACCCAAGCTCGAGGCAAAGTTCCGTCTGGCGGCGAATTTGGCGAATACTGTCTTCGATATGCACGCGCGCGGCATTACCCACGGCAATCTCGTCTCGGAAAACGTCTCCTTTTGCAACGCAGTGGGTACTGATCCCGAAGTCAGCGGGATTACTCAAGGAGAGGTAGACATCAGGAGGCCCCTGATCTCCTCCTTTGACCTGTTCTCGGATCCACAGTCACAGGATGAGCCGAGAACCTTCTCCTTATACAAGCATCCCCTTGACCCTAGAAACAGTGCACAATCACCCCTTGCCGGCAATGCGGACTCCAAAACGTTTGATCTCTACTCACTCGCTATGATTCTCTTGTCTGTTGGTTTATGGACCAAGCTTGAGAACCTGGTTCCTAACATGGAATCCCCAACGCTGCCCCAAAGCGTCCTGGAACAGCTTGCCATCCGATGTGGCACGCTTTATATGAAGGCAGTGCAGACCTGTTGGAATGCTGTGGATCAGGAAATGGGCGGGTTCCAAACAACCGAAGAGATTGTCTCGCGTGTCCAGTTCAAAGCAAGCCGGTATTTGGAGGCATGCTGTATTCTGGACGGTGTTAGCAGCTTGGAAGAGCGCCTTGGCGACGATCTCGGCGAGCCCCGGCCCGAACCTGCGCGACTGAGTACTTCCTCACTCGCGGGACCCTCGAAGGACTCGAAATCTGAAAAGTCTCCTAGCGGAGCACCGGCAACACCGATCAAGAGCGAGGTCATGCAGCAGAGCGACCCAGTTCCCTCTAGCATTCCTCCACTACCTGAACTAGCCGGGGAAGCACTAGGTAAATACGCCCCAACTAGGACAGTTCGTTAAGTCGTGCAAGAATTGACACTGACCCAAACTTTCCAGGTGCCGCTGAGGCTCCCGCCATGAAAGCGTCACCCAAAATGCGGCTTTATCCTCAAGCCCCCTTGCCCCCCGAGGTCGTTGAGCAGTGGAACACTATTTTCATGCCGCAGATCAACAGCGCCCTGCGGCACTTTTATCGCAAAAACCCCGAATCGGTCGAGATATCCCTAGAGTCAATCGGCGAGTCGCCCCAACGAACACGGCCTACGGTTCTGGTCGTTTGCACATCCGTGAATAAGGTCCGCGCGATACTCATCAGAAAGCTAGGGTCCCTGTTTGACGGGACGGGTGGCGTCGCCCTGAAGGTGTGCCGAGGCCGAGTGCTTCGATCTCGGAAGGAGCTCGCCACGCGGAGCACAGCCAAACAACGCGACGACGGCCGCAGCGAGGTTGTGCCTGCTAATCCTGACTATCAAGAACGGCCACGTAATGGAGCCAGCATCGGAGCATGGATCGGCGATCGCCACCTGCCGCCCGTCAGCCTCGGAGGAGTCATCATGGTTGATGGTAGAGAGTACGGGATGACGGTCCATCACATGCTGGATGACCCGGACCAGGACCAACTTGAAACGGTGCCTGGAAGTAGTGCCCCAACCAGGAGCATGGCCGGCTCACAAGGAGTTCCGGACCTTGCCGCATGGTACGCACAGCAGTACCAGAATAGCGATTCCGATCCGGACAGCAGCGGTTCGGAAGATTATGCCTGCGAATTCTCCGATTCAGATTCCGATACTTATTCCGAATCCGCCATCACAAGCGAATACTCTGACGAGGAAGACGACGGCGAAGATCAGTATACCGAACCTGGGGACATTCCTGGCGTGGAGCCGGGGTGCGGAGAAGGATATGTAGTGACGCAGCCTGCCCTCGATGATGTCCCCGAGGGGTTCTACCCGTCATCTGAGACCGAAGACGAGGACCATCTAGATACGTACAGCCTCGGCGAGATCTATGCCTCGAGCGGACTCAGACGACGCACAGAGAATGGGCTCTTGCATGAAATTGACTGGGCCCTGTTTGAGTTCAGCGAGGACAGGCTTCCCAACGGCAATCTCATTCCTCAAATAGCCCGATCATCAACAGCTAGCGATTGGGAACGAGACAATGAATCATGGACCTCAACTGGCGGATTGGCAATCCACCCGACCACGATCATGCCCTCCTCGGGTCTTCCTGGCCTTGAAGTTCAATGCATGGCACGGACGAGCGGATTGCAAAGCGGTCTTGTTCTTCCAGTTATCGCATCCGTCAAAATCTACGGGCGAACATCGCCCAGCCAGATCTACCAAGTGTCAGGAGTGCAGAGTCAAGGAAACCACGACGAGCGTCCCCGAAACCGATCATTATCCATAGGCATCCCAGGCGACAGCGGAGCGTGGGTGATTGGCCGTGACCACGGCCAAGTGTGCGGCCACATTCTGGCTTGGAGCGAGCGAAAGCGGGTGGCCTACATCTGCCCAATGGATGTCATCCTGCTCGACATTGCCGAGACTCTGGAGGCAAACGAGATCCGTTTACCGGGAGGTGAACCAGTCTTTTCACGCCATCCCCAGAAGCGCAGTAGTACATTGACAGGACCGAGGACACCGTCGGCCCAACACCTCGAGCCTCTGGATGAACATGAAGAGATGCCGGACCGGGCGGCAGAGGGCATGAATGAGCGGCAGCAGGCAAGCCGCCGGTTGCAGACCAGCAGCAGAAGTTCATACCACCGCACTCCGGGAGTAGGAATTCCAGGGGTTCAGCTTGATGCCGATGCTGAGTCATATGATCCAAATGTCGAGGTAGATCTTGCGACAAATCTCAGGGAGATGCACATAACGGACCAGGCAGTGCCGATGATGGGTACCAGTACATGGGGCGTTTTTTGATACCACAGTGCTGTACTCATAATCCGATGTACTTAATATCATCCGCAAGCTGTCATGAAATGAATGACCATGGTGGCGCCCGGCTACGTAATAATTCACGGCGATTCGGTGCATTGGCCGTTCCCAACAATTATCACGAATAGTAGATTCGCCATCATTCTAATGATAAACACTGACCGAGCTTGAGGTTCCAATTTAACACCATTCCACAAACTGTTGCTAATACGAACACTTGACACCGTTACCAGCAACCGACCCATGAACCCAAAGGAAACAGACAGATCCCTAATTGGAGAAATCCATGGCAGCAAAAAGGAGGGTATATCCTAATGATACAACAAATGAGAGGCTTAGACTATATTTCTCGAACCCAGTTCGTCGGTCCTTCACTCCTTGAACCCCCTTCTTAGTTTCCACAAACCCCTTTTTCCCCCTAATCCTCAATGTCATGGATCATTATCTCATACCCCTTTTCGTGTCCCCCTAAACACCGAACCCGCCGGCAACATCTTCAAACTTCCAAGCCCACTGTGTATGCCAGGTCATTCACTCAGAGTTCATCCCTGGCGTGGGAAGCCGCGTCCTTGACGGCCTCGGTTGCATCGCTCACGGCGCCGGCAACCTTGTCGCCAACGCTCCTGACGGCCTCGCCGGCCTGGTTCATGGCAGACGCCGCGGTCTCCTGCGCAGCACCGGCAAAGCTCGATGCGGACGAGGCGCCTGTCACATACGCTGCGCTGAGCCGCGAGAAGACGCTCTCCGAGAAGGTCGGCTCCTTGCCCACCACCAACTCGGACAAGATGCTGCTGACGGCGGCGTACTGCCTGGCAATCTCGTCTGAGCCGGCGACGACATACGCGCCAGCGGCGCTGCTCGCGGATGCAGCGCCTGCACTTGCAGCCGAGGTAGCCGAGCAAGCGTAGTCGGTGGCGGCGTCGAAGATGCTCGAATACCACGGTGTCGGGGTGGGCGCACCGTAGACCTGAACGCTGATCTTGGTCACGACAGCTTCCCAGCTGTCCACGGCCTTGTCGCCTGCCGCTGCCACCTTGCTGTACCCCTCTGCCGCTGCCGCGGATACGTGCTCACCTGCAATAGATGCGGCAGATGATGCACCGGCGCTGGCGGCAGATACGACGGAAGAGGCACCCTCAGCAACTCCTGAAGCTGCGGAAGCGGCCGACTCGCTGGCGACAGAGGCGATGGACGACGCGGTGCCAGCAAGGTCTGTCGGCGTAGGGCTGGCTGTCATGGAGCTGAAAGCCGAGCTAGCTGCAGCCAGGAATTCCGAATACCTAGCATGCGCCACACCCAGATTGGCGTAGTAATTGTGCCTTGCATTATCGAGCAGTTTGCTGACATGCTCGGCCGGGGTACTTGGGGTCGGTGTCGCCAACCCGATGGCAATCTTGGCGCTCTCATACTCTTCTTCTGCCCACGCGCGGCCGCGCTGAAGACGCTCAGCGGCGATCGACTCAATACGAGACCAGTCCATGTTGGGTAGTTGAGGAATCGGAAGCGACGTGGGTAAGATGCCGCTTGCAGTAGTTATCGTTGACCCGTGCAGTTGGATCGATGCGGCCTTAAGAGCATCGTCAAGACGAGAGCTGGCCGATGCCATGGCCTTGCTGTACGCTAACGTGACGGATGCGAGCATCTGCTCGTGTGCCGGCTTTGGGCTTTCACGCATCTGGCCCGACACAAGAGATAATGCCTGTGAATACTGATCATTCGCAAGAGACATGGCCGCCGAGTAGGCAGACTTGAGCTCTTGACGCACAGATTCCATAGCAGACACATCGTCGATCGGCTCGTCATCCAGTATCGGCCTGCGTGTCGGGACGGACTGGGCAGCTGCGCCTAGAAACGCTGATTTCACGGTTGTCGTTGGCTCGGCTGCCGGCATTTCCATCGTGAAACTCTCAGTGGAGTCTAGTCCTGACTCTATTGTGCTCGGTTCCTCCTTTAGTATATCGTCTACAGGGGAGTCAGCAGACCCTGTGACGTCGTCTGCCAACTCTGTGGCATTAGCGACAATCACAGGCTCCTGAAACATCGCGCTGGAAGCGGCTTCGGGCGCGGGAGGCGAACGGGGCTGATCGGATTCGACCAATGCCGTGCCATTGGCATTAGAAGCTAATTCTGAAGTAGGCTCGGCGGCATTGGATATTTCTTTAGATGATGGGAGGGCATTCGAAGCCTCAACAGTGTCGGAATTCGGACTTGATGACGCAGAAACGTCTCCAAAAGAGGTTGAGTCCGACTCCGTGAGCTGACCCACTTGATCCCGGGAGTCCGGGTCGGAATTTGAAGCCTGCGAGTCACTTTGGCCAGCCTCGGCAGCTTGGCTGAGCCCGTCACTGTCGTTGCCTGTGACAGAGTCCTTGTCTTCACCGGCCGGCGGCGGGGCTGTCTCCGTAATAAGTTTCGAAGCCTCCGCCGCCTCCGCGGCCTGCTGCATCAAGGTGCTGTCGAACTCAGGGGTGTCATCTCCGGCGATAAGCTTCCAGTTGGCTACCTGCTTGAGGCGAGCGAGTTCCTTTGCCGTTGTCGCAGCGATCTTCATTGCTTCATCTTCAATGTTTGCGCCCTCGATCTGGGCAGCCTCAAGGCTCGGATGAGTGACGATGTGGCTTTCAAGTTCGCCCTTCCATTCATCAAAACGGCTCTTGAGCAAATGGTACTTTGCCCAATCCTTGTACGTGATGCCGTCCATCCAGGCCCATTTCATACCAATCTTTTGCAACGCCAAATCCCGGATGTTTTCAAGTATCGTGAAGTGGGTCTCTGCAGCCTTGGTGATTGCAGCTTGCATCTCGGCTTCGTATGTTTCGCGCCAGGTGCGCACATCCTGCGCCTTGGCCTTAACCGCTAGCCCGGCTTGCCGGACGGCCTTGACGAGCTGTTCCTGGCCTTCCTCGGCAGTCGCGCTACCCTTGTTCACAGCCCCGATGATGTCCAAAATCACACGGCGAAGTGTGACCAGTTCGGTTACCGCTGTCGTTTGTAGCTGTTCCAGCAGCGATTTGCCCGTAATTCTTGCGTTGCGCCGGACCATCTTCTTTGCGATTTCCTGGACCCGCTCGTCGATTTCAGCGGCACCTTCGTCGGCAGCCTTTGCATACCTCTCCTGCCAGTCCTTGAGATCAGCTGCAACAACCTCGCGGGCAGTGCGGCGCACGGGGTCTTCACTCTCCAGCTTCTCATCTATCTCCGGTGGTGGGACTGGCTCCATTGCCGACCTTGTCCTCGCAGGATCAGCAGCGGCGCGTACCGTTGTCGTATGGGCATCGCTGGTCGGCGAAGTCGTCGAGGACGGGCTGACGGTCGAGGTGGTGGAAGCTGACAGTGTAGGCTTGGTGAACGAAGAGACGGTCTTGATCGAAGGGCTAGACCTGCATGGCGAGTAAGATGGGCGGTACTCTTCGGGTGGGGAGGCATAAGAAGAGTCCACATACCTAGGCGGAGCATCTGTAGGAACCAACTTCTTGCCAGTGTTATACCGGCCCAGCCGCTTGCCGATTTTAACAAGCTGGGGCTCTACATTCTCAACGTACATGCCTCGGAGCTGTGGCCACAGAGTTGCGTCGAGGAAGATTGACGTCTTATTCCACGCCCAAATGAATGATGGCACAACGGTGTTGCTAGTGAAGGCTGATGTCGCCCGGTAGCCCTCCCACAGGTGCGGCTGTACGTATTGGTACGCAGGCAGTAGCAGCTCGTGGTAGGTTTGGAGGATGTTGGTCCGCGCGACATTGTAGACTGGGCCAAACGCGGACGAGGCGCGGTCGATGTGCGGGGCCAGGCTCTGGTCATATTGTGTTCTAGCGAACTCTTGAACCTTTGTAATTCGAGGCCGGACACTCCTCTCCCACTGAGCGGCGCTGAAGGCCTGCGCTTGATGCAGTCGTGGGGCGCCGTATTGCTGGACATAGCCCCAGCTCGGTGAAATCAGCGTCCGGTCGATAGTGTGATAATATGGCCGCACCAAATCAACGTATGGCGCCGCGTATGTGTCGTAGTACGGCTCGAGATGCGGGGCAACGGCTTGCTTTAGCTCAAAATATGGCTTGCAAATGCGCGGAGAGGTCTCATCGCAGGCGTTAAGGGTGGCAGGGCATCGAAAAAGGACGGTGAAGATTGAGTACCAGGTTAACAGCCTACGATAGAAGAAAGTATCAGCATCTGGCCCACGACCGCAAGTGACTCGTCTAGAACATAGCTTACCTAGCAACAACACTAAACGCACTGGTGAGCAACCGTGGGGCGGCTGGCCTAACCGTGTTCTTCTTGATGCCTACTGCGTGGCCATTTGGCGACGTCTTGATTGCACCATTCATCCCCCCATTCATCCCATTCATCGCACCCGTGGGCTTGAAAACCTTGGAAATCCTCGGGTCCATCAAGGGTCCATCAATCAAGTCGTCCGTGGGCTTCAACGCCTTGGAAACCCTCGGGTCCTTCAACACGCCGTTTGCGTCGTCCATGGTGTGGCGCGATAGCTCGGATTCAGCGCCAGGCCGAGTGCCGCTGCAGCGGGATCCCGCCGACGCTAGATGTCGGGCAACGGTTGGCAGCTTCTGCTTCCGATAAGGGCACGGTCGAACCTAGGCAGTTCCCTGAAGTCAAGGGTCGTCGGCGGGCCGGCCCTAGCCTCTGATGCTGTCGTCGAGAAATGTCTGAATTGACGGTGGCTTGAGTTGCACCTGCGGCCGGTCGGCTAAAAAGCTCGTGTAAGCTCGTGACAGCTGACGGGAGCTCCCAAAGTGCGTATGCAAATCTGCTTCAATGGTAGAATCGAGCAGGACAAGGGTGTAGTTCGTCCAAGGATCCGTCAAATAAATAGATCTCTTGGGCAGACGAGCAGAGGAAATGATTCATGGCGAAGCTGCCCTGGTACCGTACCAAGAAAGTGGGAAGCCCTTGCAGAAGCGAGCGTTGCACGCTGCTCCTGGCTTTGTTCTGGAGGTTGCAGCAACGTCACAACCTGGAACCTCCCTAATCCACCTGTTTGTTTCCAGGCCTTGATAAGGGCTCTGACACTAACAGGGCGATTTTAGCGTGATGGGTCAACCCCACAGCAGCCACTGCACCACGGACGTCATCAGGCCCCCGGGCTTTGCAAATTCCAGCGAGAAGGCCATTCACAGGCGAAAACAGGCCACTCAGCGCAGTCACAGGTGAGGAGTCCTTATCCAGCAAAGGTGGGGCTCCTCAGATGTCTTAAGTCTCAACAAGAGAGACCATGGACTGCGCGACAACATGATGTTTGCCCCTCGCATGCATTGCATGTGCTTACCCACCTTTCGGACGCACTTCGCCAATTATTCATGTAGGTCTGCACATCCGCTACTGGAACCTGGAATTCGGTCAACAGCATTATGAGCAGACATGGCACATAATAAGGTACGGTCGGGTGCCTGATGCCTCGAGGTCCGGTGTTCACCTTGATAAGACACCACTGTTTGTCCCTTCCTCCCACGTCCAATGTCGAGTGAAGGTCTCAGTCCAAGATCCTTAAATCGCGTTTAAGGTATGACGGCCAGTGAAGAAAGGATTAAAGGTACATTTCAGTTTCAGCCCCAACAGCGCCCGCCTTGTAGGTCTTTTCGAGGACTGAGAAGACTTAAGATGTGGAGGACATAAGGTTGGGTTAAAGTCGATTTTTTAGTTGAAGTCAGATAGGAATATTTACGTTTCAGCCCCACTTATTTTGGCCCTTTACTGTATCACCCGCTGCTGTGACTGGATGCTGAGGCCGCTGCCCCACAAACGCCAAGCCCGCGTTTCTCCAAGATGGTCACTCCAATCGTTGGATCTTGGCCATCGACCTGGCCAACATTTCGCCTTCCGCAAGATCATCCAATACCGGCATCGACCGCATCTCTTACTCGTCGTCCCACTCCAAAGAGCGACCGACGGACTATCTTTGCACGCCATTTGACCAGCGACTGAAAGCACATTTGGGAAAGAAAGCCGTTTACCTCCGATTTTCTAGTGGCAGACTCCGGTTCCGTGCCCTTAAACGTCCATCGGCTTCCACCTTTGCCGAGTTAGCGGCACTCGCTGCGGCGCCCTGTCCGTTAACGTCATCTCTCGCCTTGCGTACATATTCAGCCTGGCAGCCATCTCTGTATCAAACGCCAACAACTCTCCCGATGAGAGGTAATACTAAACCCGAGTTCTGACGTCGAATGGCGCTTCCGCAAAGTCCGCTGTGTACAATCCCAGTACCCCGTCATGGATAACGTTCACATCGACCCTTTTCCACAGCCCGACCCTCTCCGGTTTCCCAATACCCGACGGCGAAGCGACGCTCCCGTGATGGACGGCTCGTTTTCCTCTCCTCGAACCCGCGCGTCCAACCCGCTCGACGGGCAGTCGTCGTCTGACCCAGACACTTGTCGAATATGCAGGGGGGAAGGTACTGCCGACGAGCCGCTCTTTTATCCCTGCAAATGCAGCGGAAGCATCAAGTATGTCCACCAGGACTGCTTGATGGAGTGGCTGTCGCATTCCCAAAAGAAGCACTGCGAGCTGTGCAAGACACCCTTTCGCTTCACCAAGCTCTACGACCCGGACATGCCCAAGTCGCTACCGCTTCACGTTTTTGTCAGCCACATGGCCAAATACCTTTTCCGCAACTTGCTCGCTTGGTTGAGGGCTGGCTTGGTAGCAAGCGTTTGGCTGGGCTGGCTGCCCTATCTCATGCGCTCCGTTTGGTCTTTTCTCTTCTGGATCAGCGACGAGGGACTGGGCGGCGGCCCTGTTCTCTTTGGAAGGCGTCATGGAAGCACCGCCGGCGGGCTGGACTTGCTGTCCGTAACGCCGTATGGCTCTACCGTGTGCCCATCTAGTCCGCTCTTTGCCGCGACCACTACCGTGGCGACCATCGGCGGCGTTATTGACGGTCTTCCTCTCGACTCTGCTCAGCTGGTCAAAGGCCTATACGGCATCAATCTCTCCTCTACTGACCCCCTTTATTCCACCATTTTGCGCCTTCTGTTCAGTTCTATAGGCCTGACCGAGAAGCCCACTGTCCTGCCTCCGACCTTGACCAGCTCTATAACTGGGAGGGCGACGTCTGAGTTGCAAAGACATCAGACCCTCTTGAGCGGAGTCGGATTTCTCCGCAACCTTACACGACACGCGACGATCAACCGAGTAATCATAGCCGTACTGGAAGGCCAGATCATCACCGTCCTGGTCATAGTTTGCTTCATCCTCATCATTCTCGTCAGGGATTACGTCGTACAACAGCAGCCCGAGATTAATATGCGGGCCGCCTTCGCTGCCGCGGAAAATCCGGCGCTCGCAGCTGGCCCGGTACAAGATGCGCCAGTGCCAGGTGACGAAGTGAATCAAGATGTTGCTGGCCCGCGCGAGAGACCTGTTGAGGAAACTTTGGACGACACTTCGGATCTTCCCTCTAACAATCACCAGGAGCCGAGTCAGACTATGCCAGCCGAGCGAGGCTGGGAAGCGCTCGGCTGGGAAGAGCCTACCCCATTTGGAGGCCGCCGCCCCTCAGGTAGCAGCTTTACCGAGTCCTCCGCAAGACAGTCGTTGGCGCCAATCCTCGAGTCTAGTCAAGCTACCCGTGACACCGCGTGGGCCGCGAACAACATGCGGGAATTTGAAAGGACCACTATACATGAATATCTGGGAATATATCGGGAGGCGGGTGGGGATCCGGAGAAGATCCTAAGAATCGCGCAAGAACGCCATCTCGAAGACAAGTTGGACTACTGGATCAGATTGACCAGGTCCATGATGGACCGTGGTACGCAGACGGAGGATGGAAGGTCCGATATTAGCCATCTAGCTGGGCTTTCCACCAGGATAAACGCTACGAATCAGCAGGATGATCTAGCCAACACCGCCTTCTCCGATTTACCAAGTCTCCGTCAGCCATCAGACGGCTTGCGATTCCAAAATTCTGGCGACCCGAAAGGCAAGGGTAGGCTCACAGATGATGTCGACGACATTGAGGATTACTACTCCGCGGGCCCATCACGCCGACGGGCGAATACCGACGGACCCAGGATCAGCAACGCAATCAACCCTCTGGCTAACAACAACTGGTCCTTTTCGAACGTTGCATCCGAATCCCGTCTCGGATTTACCCCTGAATCGGCTGCGGACGCTTCGACCCCGGATCATGGTTTCGAGCAAGAACAGGACGATATCTACGACTATCCAGAACATGAGGGCAGCGAAGCCGCCGGAGAAGGCCCCTTGAGTGCCGTTACCGGGGCGTCTCCAGCCGCGCTTGCCGGTTCTTCCAGAACTGCGGAGGACTCTCGCCAGATCAGATCTGAACCAACCCCTTCCGGGCAGCATCATGCATTGGGGGATGCTGATGCCTTGCCCGAGCTACCACCTAATGAGGCACCTCCTCCGCCTCGCCAGCCGGCGGGCATAGTGGAGAGAGTTGCCGATTTTATGTGGCGCAACGTTGACGACATTGACCCGGCCGAGCTCGCCGCGGTCGATTTCTTGGGCGACTTCAACGATAATGAGGATGGTAGGGATGAAGGTGGCGATCAGGATAACGCACTGGCTGAAGATATAGAACGGGACCGCGAAGCTGTCGAGGCCGCGGCAGCAGCCGGTCTCGATCCAGAGGCCATCGAAGACGCCGAGGACCTCGAAGGTATTCTTGAGCTGCTCGGTATGCGAGGACCAATAGCTGGATTGTTTCAAAATGCCATATTCTGCGCCTTCCTCGTTTCCATCACCATTTTTCTCGGAGTTTTCCTTCCATACAACATTGGCCGTGTGATTGTTTGGACTCTTGCAAACCCCGCACGCCCGGCACGGATGATGGTCAGTCTCTCCAAGTTCGTCCAAGACTGCGGCCTGGTTGCTCTAGGACTGCTCTCTTACACCACTTCTGAGACTTTTCGGCTATTGAGCCGACCCTTTGGACTTGAGACTATCGCGGAGTACACGAAGTTGACTGCCACCGCGTCCTTGTCTATGGCCGTCAGTGCTGGGAATAGGATTGGTAGCAGCTTCTTGACGGAGTTCTTGGTGGTATCCGGATCTGAGATGCGCAACTTTTCTGCAATCAGCCACGAAGCCCTGCTCCGGATGAAGGGGCACCTCGGCATGGCCTTCTCCACGCTTTGGCATCTCTTCGCCCTCGTACTCGGTGGTGATTATTCTGCCAAGGCGCCTGAGGCTCTCGCTTTGACTGCGAAAATCTCCACGATCGCGTGGGGAAGCTTAAAGGAGCTACCGACGGTTGTCGCGAACCCGAGTTCCTGGGTCCTCAATCTGAGCTTGCCCGAGACTACGCAGACATTCGATCCGGAACTCGCTCATTGGGACAGCATGGACAGATTTTGGGCAATCATTGCAGGCTACGTGACATTGTCGTTGGCGGCCGGTCTCTACCTGCGACGCGGCGCCCTATTTTCAACCGGACAAACCGCCCAGGAGTGGGAGGCGACCATCATCGACGGCCTCAACCAGGCTAGCGGTGTGATGAAAGTCATCCTGATTATTGGCATCGAGATGCTCGTCTTCCCCCTTTACTGCGGTACATTGCTTGACGTTGCATTGCTCCCGCTATTCGAGGACACCACGCTCAGGTCTCGTCTCCTCTTCACCGTCAACTACCCCGTCACCTCCCTCTTCGTCCACTGGTTTGTCGGTACGGGGTACATGTTTCATTTCGCTCTCTTTGTGTCCATGTGCCGAAAAGTCATGCGCAGGGGTGTTCTTTACTTTATCCGTGACCCTGATGACCCGGAATTTCATCCCGTCCGCGATGTTCTGGAGCGCAACGTGACGACTCAGTTGCGCAAGATACTCTTTTCTGCATTTGTCTATGGCGCGCTGGTTATCGTGTGTCTGGGCGGTGTTGTCTGGGGGTTGTCCTTCTGTCTGCCGGGTATCTTGCCCATCCATCATTCGTCCAAGGAACCGGTGCTGGAGTTTCCTATCGACCTCCTGTTCTACAATTTCCTGATGCCCTTGGCCGTCAAAGTCTTCCGACCAAGCGATGGGCTCCACGCTATGTATACCTGGTGGTTTCAGAGGTGCGCGCGCGCCCTGAGAATCACATGGTTTCTCTTCGGGGAACGGCGAGTCGATGAAGAAGGCCAGTTAGTGCTGAGGCGGGACTCGCCGGATCATAATCTTCCCTTCTGGAGACGGTTGTTCCTGGAAGTTGGCCCCAACGGCGAGGTGATGGCCAAAACCTCATGGCACGATATCTTTGAAGGCGGTACGGCTAAGCCCCGTGCAGCCATTTCTACGGACCAGATGGTCCTGCTAAGCGCTAAGAAGGCGGACCTGGTACGATCGGGACAACTTATTCCGGATGGGCGATTCGTCCGGACTCCGGCTTCCGATCAGGTCAAAATACCCAAAGGGAGGAATGTCTTCCTCGACGTCACCGAAAACAACACGCGACTGGACGGAAAGGCTGACCTCCCGGGGACGGATATTTACTCAACCGACCAGTACCAGTTTGTTTACGTGCCCCCACACTTCCGTCTCCGCGTGTGCTTGTTCATCCTGTTGATTTGGATCTTCGCGGCGGTCACCGGCGTTAGCATTACGATCGTTCCGCTTGTTTTTGGGCGTTGGATGTTCAAGTCGCTGATCCCACAGCATATCCGCACCAACGATATCTATGCCTTCAGCATCGGTCTTTACATCCTTGGCTCGGCCGCGTACGCTCTGTTCCACGCACGGTCGGTCTATCGGAGAATCAAGGCGTGGGTGACCACGGCAGTCGGGTCCGCCTTTGGACGCGAAGCGGGCCGACGAGTGCTCGGCTTTGTCGTCCACGCCGCAAAAGTAATCTACTCTTACTTTTTCCTTCTCCTCGTCTTCCCCCTTCTAGTCGCGTCGTTGATGGAACTTTACGCCTTGATCCCGCTACATGAGCTCATGTACAGTGCTCTATTATCGGGTGAGGGCAGGAAGTCAATGGCGTCGGGCACAGTCGGTGAGCCCAACCCACCACATACGATCCGAGTTGTCCAGTCGTGGACCATCGGACTCCTCTACCTCAAACTGAGCATTCGCATCGTCACAACTTGGTTCCCAGGCACACGCCTCGCCACTGCGGTGAGGGCCGTGCTTCGCCGTGGCTGGCTTGATCCCGATGTTAACGTCCTCAACCGCGCGTTCATAATCCCAGGCTTGGCGGTATGGTCTACGGCTGTGGCAACACCCCTCTTGTTCGCAAAGTTCACGGTGGACAACGGGCTGGCATACACCATCATGCAGTCTTCCGGCGTCACGGTCGCCGACGGCTCACCTGATCAGGCCGTATACGACGCCTATTTGGTTTTGATCTATCGCCTCAGCTTCCCGTTCGTGGCGCTCCTTCTTGCCAGCGGCTTCACCTTGTGGAGCCTAGTGGGTGTCTTCCGCAGCTGGCAGGTCCGGATTCGAGACGAGGCATACTTGATCGGCGAGCGTCTCCACAACTTCAGCACGGGCAACGGTGCGCCCCGGCCGAGAGGGGCATGGAGGACTGGCGGGGCAAGGATATGACCGTCAACCTTGACATTTGTTGGATGTTTTTTGCATTGGTTATTGATTCCCTAATATGCGGAGACGGGGGCTGTCTGATCCGTCCTAAGATATGAGAAATAATGTTGCTCTCCGACCAGCCATGTTTCATGAGGTGATGCGCGATGCCGAGGTCTTTAGGATGTGTTGTCCTGTCTTGCCCTGTGCAGAAGTGAGCCGTGATCGCTAGATGTACAAGTATCTTACTGTCAAGTACCTCACAAGCCGATGTTAGACCTAATATGTACATACATACCTACATAGAGCACAAAAATACTCTCTATCCGTATTAATGAACCATGTCAGCCGGTTAAAGTTACTTCCCCTTGCCGGGTTGAAACTTCAGTTGAGCAATGTCCGCTGCCTCTCAACGGGTTACTCTCACTATCAACATTGGAGAATGTGCCGCGGCCAAAGGCTTTGGGCTTCGTACTTGCCCGTCTGATAATGTACTACTGATTCGCCATATCTTTACAGACTGTTACGAACTTACGTAGAGCACGAGTCAGTTGTGGAGCCAGAACGCCTCTTGCTGCGCAACTCAGCCCTATGCTTTGTGTCTGTGGCAAAAGATAGATCTCTGATCTCTCAAGCATCTTGCGCATGCAATCTGTGAATAGTTGGACACGTCTAGCCTTAGATACCTTACAATCGAAAGCTCTCTTATCGCCAGACTAGAAGTAGAAGCAACTCGTCCAGATAGGGGAAGTGGGAGGGTAGATACTTACCTAGGGAGGATAACTATCCTCTTACATGTACTGAGTACTAATAGTCAGGCATCAAGAGAGATAACGGAGCCGATACTGACTCGAAATTCAGAAGACGTTTCGAGCCTTGACAATCCAAGGCCCAGTAGAACCGCAGGAGCACATACTGTTCCCGTTTTCTGTCTTGTCTCGCCATACGCTCGAAACACAGCTTGTGGAGTTCGACCGTTCTCAAGTTTTCGAGGCGGCGAGCTGTCACTCCGCGAGAGAGTTCCGGGTGTGCAATTCTCCGAAACTGCATGGTCTCGCTCACTCACTACATGTACACGGCCGTATGGGCGTATTTAAGGGCCTATGGTCGAAGTCTGTAAGCCCCCTTGCTTCCCCTGAGTTGTTGTTCCAGCAGTTTACTTGGGTCACAGCTGGGAGGCTTCTATACATCCAAATCCTTCTTTTCTGGATTGTTTGATATACTGCTAGGCCAGTATTTTCTACTACACGTTGTTATTATGTCACCATTGCTGCAGGACAGCTCAGACTTCAACCTTACTTTCACTCAACCCGGTTTTCTCTCCGGGGAAGAAAGCATCACAATCTCACAACTCTCAAATTCCTCAAACCCATATCGAGCACGTGCCTTCAGCTTGCCCTCATGTGCTCTCCAAGCCGGCTATACAGAGGCCACATCCAAAACCTCGTCCGGCAGAACAACACCGAGGTTCTCCGGCGATCACGATGGCAGATTCAGAAACTTCGAACATGACCCCGACATCGAGAAGAAGCCGGCAATCCTTTCCTCAGAAGAAGAGCCCAGGCCAGATCCGGCAGACCATACCGGCGGCTGCACCGGCACACCCCACGGAGACAATGCTACTACTCGCCCTCGTCTGCCCATCCGCGCGCGTCTCGCCCACTTCACCTGGGCATGGTACACACTCACCATGTCAACCGGCGGCTTATCACTCCTAATCCGCGCGCAACCGCATCAGTTCCCCGGCCTCCGACAGATCGGACTAGCCGTGTACATCCTCAACCTAGTCCTCTTCGCACTAGTCACATCCGCCCTAGCAGCCCGCTTCTTCCTCTTCTTCCCCGGCTCCCTCACCCAATCCCTATCCCACCCCCGCGAAGGGTTTTTCTTCCCAACATTTTTCCTCTCCCTGGCCACAATCATCACTTCCACACAGCGCTACTGCGTCCCCTCGCACCAACCGGACCAATCCGCCCCCGGCCAGGGCCTGCTATGGGCAATCCAAGTCTCCTTCTGGATCTACGTGGCCGTGACCATCAGCCTAGCCATCGGTCAATACTCCTACATCTTCTCCACCCACCGCTTCGGCTTACAGACCATGATGCCGACCTGGATCCTGCCCATCTTCCCCGTCATGTTATCAGGGACCATCGCGTCAGTCATCTCAGAAACCCAACCCCCCTCCACGGGGATCCCCATCGTCACAGCAGGCCTGACCTGCCAGGGGCTGGGCATGGCCGTGGCGCTCATGATGTACGCGCACATGGTCGGGCGGCTGATGCAGTCTGGCCTGCCGGACCGGGAGCACCGGACGGGCTTGTTCATGTGCGTCGGCCCGCCGGCGTTTACGGCGCTGGCTTTCATCGGCATGGCGCGGGGCCTGCCGGATAATTTTGACGCCGACATGGACGGGTTGCTGGACAGCGGCATGATTGAGACGATGGGCATCATTGGCGCCGGGTTTCTGTGGGCGTTGAGTTTCTGGTGGTTTGGCATTGCCGTGCTGGCCGTGGTGCAGAGCCCACCAAAGCACTTCCACCTGGGTTGGTGGGCGGCTGTGTTCCCCAATACTGGCTTCACGCTGGCCACCATTTCGTTGGGCAGCTGCTTTCAAAACGAGCTGGTTCTGTGGTTCTCGACCGCCATGTCGATCGTGCTGCTGCTGACCTATTTGTTCGTCTTGTACCACAATATCCGGGCTGTAATAGTGCAGGACATTATGTATCCCGGGCGGGACGAGGATGTGGAAGATCATTGATTAGAATTAGATGGGTATCGAATAGAGCGAATAACCGATGCATAATGCGGCGTATTAGTTGGGTTGGCGTATAGGATCTAGAAAAGAATAGGAGTAAAAAGGGGCATGGGGTATTTGGAACAGCTATATACAGATGAATCATAACCAGTCATTAAGTTGCTTGGCGCCACTCGTTGAGCCCTGCTCTAGAATATCGAAATTTGGACTGAGAACGGATTACTACAATTCATTAGCCCCAGTCTAGGTAGTTTTCCCAAAGCCGGTGCTAATCCGAAGGCCTGTCATGGCTTATGTAGTCGAAGGAAGGCTTATGCCGACGCCGGACGGACGCTTTGGGGGTTATGGAAAAGATCGGCCGGATCCCACTTCAGCTTGATCTGCTCGAGTAAGGGCAAGTTTGAGCCCCAATATTGCTGCTGTCCGTCCGATAGAGCCGGGTCGACGTATCCGGGGTAAGTTCCGTAAGTTCCTGGAGACGCCGCTGCCTGAACTTGGTTGTGAAAGTTGGTAATGAAATTCTTGGTGGTGCCGGTGAGTGGGAGGCCGATGGCATATGACTGGTAGTACAGGACCTTGTCTCTGTGCGCGAAGGCTGTGGCATTGGCAGCGACGTCGCCAATAGCGCCACCAGCCGCGTCGAAAATGATGAACCAGAGGAGCGTGCCTTTGTCCTGGTCGTCCACCCAACGGAACAGGTCCTTGACCTTGTCAGCCGAAGGCAGATCTTCCCGCTTGAAGGCAAGACTCTTGGAATAGAAAGGCGTCGAGATGTCGGAGAGGTAGAGTGCCTCCTTCTCAGCATCGTGCGCGAGGGACCCGAGCCAGTCGTTGATGACGATGGCGCCGCCAGCGTCCTTGGGAAGCCATTTGGGAATTCCGGTGGCCTGGAACTCGGCTTCAGTCCCGTAGAAGGTTCCGGTGATGATGGCTCCCAAGGGCATCATGATGAACATGGATCCAAATCTGCGGTCGAGTGCCGGGTCGGCGATGAGATTCTGCCATGCCGAGTACAGAGGCGCCGCCTCGGCTTGGCTGCCGAATGCAATTGTGTACTCGTACTGGACGATATGAGCTGGCTCCGGATGAGTCTTGACCACGAACTCGGTAATAACGCCGAATCCAGATGCTGCGCCTTTGAGTGCCTATGTACTCGCGTTAGGGAAAGTGATCGACCAGGGTTGCTAGCATCCATTGTGTGGCTGCTGCTGCTGCCAGCGTGTAGGCTTACCCAGAATAGATCTGCGTTCTCCGAGCTGCTTGCCCGCTGGATCTTGCCGTCCGCAGTCACAACCTCGACCTCGAGAACGTGGTCCAGACAGGAACCCCACATGCGCGACATGGGACCGAGGCCGCCCTACTCAGCAGTAAGCACATCGGAAACGGCCGGTACGGGAATGGTGGGTGGACTGGAGCGGATGTCGTGCGTACAATAGTGGCATGGCCGCCAATGCCGACGCCGGGACAGACCCCATGAGCCATGGCCCGGCCGCCTGCATCGTGCAGCTTCTGTGAAACCTCGCCTAGTCTGGTGCCGGCACCGATGGTAGCTTGCCAAGTGCTATTGTCTATGCTGAAGTGCTGGAAGTTGACCATGTCAATGGCGACAGCGCCATCCGCACCCCCAAGGCCTAAGTCACAGTCATTTGTCAGGCATTTGCTCTCAAAGCCGGCCCTTCAGAATTGCTGCACGAACCGTAGTTTCTGGGGGAGACAGTCAGTATCAACTAAGCGATAATGAAGCTAAGCCTGAGCATTGTCTGGATGGGCAAGGGCACGAACGCGTAAGAATGACCCCCGGACTTGGTCTGAATCTTGACATTATTTGCCGCGGCGCATTTGACAACGCCCGAAATATCCTCGGCTGTCTGAGGACGCACCACTGCGGCGGGAGTGATTGCCACGTCCAGATTGTACGGTTTGACCCAGGTGATCTGGTAGAGAGGGTCGCTAGGGAATCCAGCGAAGCCTACCCTGCCATTTCCGACTGTCTCGATGCATTGCTGCAGCGAGCTCGGCGAGTTGCCCATACTGCGAGTCGAGCTGTGGATGCGGTTGTTGCGAATGGATTAGGCCGAGACGGTGCGCAACAGCAGCAGCAGCAGTCCAGCTAGTCAATGCTACCCAGTCTGGTGAGGAAGGCACGGTAGTGGAAGGGACCCGAGCCTTATAGGTGCCGGCAGTGACGGGAATGGCAAGAGCAATGTTTGTCCTTAATTTACCTTAACTACACCTCATCCAACGGTTGAGGTACTGGCCCCTGGATCTGGTGATGGCCGCCGAGCGCGACAAGGTGTGATATACGTAACCGAAAACTGCCCAGGTAGTATTCCCCAGACCAATGCCCAGGCCGCGTGCCGTACGCCGTGCTCGGTAGCCATCCAGATGACACGGGTTGCCCTGAGGTGGACATGGTCAGGTTCCTCATGCCTTGCTGGGAGATGAATCCCTTGCAGAATCGGCCCATTGCTTGGCAAGAATCTGGCCAATTGTTGCGTTAGCAAACGCCAAGCCGTAGCCTTGTACATTTTGCTACTTCCTTAGCACGGAGAAAAATGACTGGGGTTGGTTCTCAAAGTATCAATTTCACGTTGTTAAGGGATGCGAGTACCCGTCAATGTCCTGCCGTTGGTAGGTTTGTGTGGTATCAGCACCTGGACGGTGGTCATTCGCAGCATTGGGCCGCGGCAGTTAAACGCTGCCTGCCTGCCGCTTGAACAGACTCCCTGTCACGCCGAGGTTCTGCCATCACTGGCACGGGCCGCTCCGAGTGATTTTGTTGGTTGTCAGATTTGGCGCTAAAACTTTAGGGTAAAATCCCATGGCCCACACAAGCAACCAGGAAGGCGCGAGACCCTTAAGCTTCGCACTTGCAGAGCTTCGCAGCAAAGCCACTGTTCGAAGCCGCCCAACCGTTGGATGCTGTCGCAGATGAAGGGCGATCGTGGAAAGGGGGATCTTGCCACCATGGGGTGTCTAGGGTCGTGTGCGCCTTATTGGCGCACAGCCCCCAACGGCACGGATTAAAGCGACACGACCACAAGCTCGGTCAATCTATCTGGCAGACTGGCAGACTGGCACTTCCCCGGACTTGGGTCGCATTCTTGTGTAGCATGATCGTGATGATAAAGCATCAGGGGGCATCGACCCATCCCCGTACCTACATTAGTGTATTCCAGGTACCAAATAGCGAAGGGAACTTTAGGAACTTCAGGATCAGAAGTTTTACCGATCAATTTCCCAGCACTAAAATCCGAGAATGTCGAGCAGTGTAACCCCCTCTCCATGTCACCTGCTCTGGCGATTCCTCACGAGCTGCGATCTCAGGCAGGTAAGGCAAGATACTGTGGTATCTAGGGTGTACGATAACTGACAAGCACCCTCCCTGGATGGAAGAGGCGTGTAACAATTGACAAACCAAACTTACAGGTCGCCTATCGGTCTGAGGCAGTGTGGCCACATGCCCGCGGCAGCCATCAGTCAGGTCGCGGAGAATTCAACTGATGAAACTCCGAGAAGACTCACGTCATGAAATGAAATCAGTGAATTCAAATCTACCTATGTATCTTGCCACTCTCTTCAACACCTCAAGGACATCCATTCAACATACCGTCCATGGCGGTCTTCATGTTGATACTCTGATGAGACTGCCTGTAGCTAATCGCGGAAACCCCTAGGCAGGTACCCACAGGTGACTCTTCTCCCCGTCCATATCCCCTTGCTCTAAATCTGCCTTGAAAATGACATATTACTTCGGTCGAGACAGGAGTCGTTAATAGTAAATTAGGTCCGAAACGCCGAGGAAAGGAGGCGAGAGAAAAAGAGATGTATCTGGCAAACTTTATCCCAAAATAGCAGAACTGGAAACAGGCGATGCAGGTGCTCTCATCAACGGGCCAAAACTGCGCAACGAGAACGAGAAGAGGTATCCACATTGAAAAAGTAATGAATCGGCCCCAGCCTAAACAGATCAAAGATAAGATATACTCTGGACATTTCACGCCCAGTTCCATGCGCCGGGGACAGCGAGCATGGGCATCAACGGATCAGCTTTATCATTCCCACCCGCCTTCAACCCCAACCTCCCGGTCGGATCCAGGTCCAGCGGCGGCACGCCCATCATCGTCAGTCTCATCCTCTCGCGCTCCCTATCGGATTCAGACCCTTCCGAAGGCTCCGAGTAACTCGAATCCGAAAAGGCCAGGTCCGGCTCAGGACTGGACTCGACGACATGGATAACCGCATCCCGGTCACTGCTGACGCTGTTGGCATCACTCTCATTATTAAAAGCCGCCGCCACATCGTCAATGTAGATCTGATCACCCAAGTCCGGCTCGAACTGGCTTATGTCCAGATCAGGCCCGAGGACGGGCTCGTTGCGTGCCGACTCGTACATGTCGCGCATGAGGACCACTTTCTCGGGCGAGCGGGGGATTGCGTCAAAGGGGAACCGCACGGGTTTGGCGATGAGCAGCGGCGTGTAGTCGTTCCAGTGCACGGGGATCTCGGCGCCCGTGTCCGGGTCGCGCTTTTTGCGAATGTCAAACGCCCACGCCATGCCGCCCATGCTGAGGAACAAGTCCTGCTCCACGATCGGGATCCCCTGGCAGGTCCGCCGCCCGAAGCCAAACTGGGAGTACCCGTTGAGGTTGGGGTACTGCGTTAGGGGCTCGCGGTACGTCGGGAATGACGGGTCGAGCCAGCGGCCTGGGTTGAATGTCTCCGGGTCGGGGTACATGGATTCGTCGCGGGTGATGCCCCTGTGTGTTTTTTTTTTTTTTTTTTTCAGTCAAGGGTTACTGGGCGTGGAAGCAGAAGGGTAAGGTTGCGCATGGCAAGGACAAGACTCACCATTCCAGAGCGTGGATTGTGGCTCCAGCAGGGATGAAATAGCCCTCGTAGACATCGTCTTTCTCGACGGCGTGGGGAATCCCTTCAAGGTTGGTTAGCGGCATTCTTCCACATTGGCAAGTGATATCCTGTAGGCTGTGGGTGACTAACCTGTCGGCACCGGCGGCCTCCACCGCATGACCTCCTTGACCACGGCACGGAGCAGCGGAAGCTTCTCCCGGTCCTCCCACTGCGGGCACTGCCCTTCCAGCACCGTATCAATCTCCTCCTGCAGCGCCTTCTGCCACTGCGGGTAGTGGCACATGGCGAGCAGATAGCTCTGGATCGGGCTGCCAATCGTCAGGGCGCCCGCGATGGCCATCAGGCCGACGACATGCATGGCCTCGTCGGTGTCCCCCCATCTCGTCTTGTCCTTGTCGGCCTCGCTCGCCTTGGTCTCAAAATAGGTGCGGATGAAACTGGGACTCGCCGTGTGGCTGGCCATGCTATGCTTGACAAAATCGACGTTGCCTCTGAAGAGCCTCTCCTCTATGGCATGACGGGTGTTCTCCTTCTTTTTCCACGGGCTGATGGCCGCCGGCACGTGGCGGAGGAAGCTCATAATGTTTGGCAACGCCCCGGAGGGACTGATGGTCTCAAGCAGGCCAAACGTGGTGTGTCGCAGCACTTGGGACGGCCGGGGCGTGCCCCAGGCAAGCCGCGAGACGGTTCTGGTCGTGAACTGCTCAATCCATTCCAGGTACTTGCTTGGGTCTTGGTACATGAGATACAAGAACCGGTCTCGTTCAAGTGATGGGTATGAGTAAAGCGACGCCCGTTGCCCGAGGTGCATGAGATGGTTGCACAACTTCCTCTGCCGCTTCCATGTTTCTGCCGTCGACGCATCACAACGAATGTCAACACGGATCCTCTATACCCCATAGCAACAAGACAGCTGGGAGGAGCTCACCAGTACGCCCGAGGAGCGCCAAATATTCACCACTTGTGCGGTTGTTTGGAAGGTTGGGGATCATGGGCCGATCCGAGTAGATGTTTGCCCGCTTGGAGAGCAGCTCATGTGCAATGGCCTCGGACGATATCCATACGTGCACGGTTCCGAATATCTCCATCTGGTATATGGGGCCATATTGCTTGCTCCATTCGTAGAACTTAAGGTGTGCTCCCGTCTCTGGTATATCATGAACACGGCCGACCAAGGGGAAGTCTGTGTCTCAACGTCAGTGTCGTGGTCCGGTGTCGAGAGGAGAGGCATGCCTCGTCCAGGACCTCATGATGGGAAGGCACTCACTCCTTGGTCCAGGTAAGGGCCGTGTCCCCGGTGGCAGCCTTGGTCGGTGAAGGTATCTGTGTACCGCCACGAGAGCCACGCCAACGAGGGCAAGCAACAAAAGGCCTAACATGTCGATAGCAAGCCAACCTCAGGCGAGTCGGACAAGACGCCTTCTTGAACGATTCCAGGGACCGATCAGGTAGGGCAATCGAATTGCATGTAGGGGGAGAAAACGAGAGATGATCATGGACCCGGCCGCGTCATCTAGGGGGAGCGGGCGGACAACATAAGTCAACTGGTTTACAAGAGATGCACTTCACTGTCAGGCCTTCCATGTACATGTATACCTGTGGATGGGCCTTGACTGGGCGCATCAAAGCTTCGGCCCTGCTGTTCCTCGAACAACCTGCACGCCCAAAATCACCAGGCATCCTGTTATATTCTTCTTCTCTTTGTTTCTGCAGCCCAGACGGGGATACCGGGACTGCACACAGCCTGAGATGCTTTCTCTTCAACGCCTGCAGACGCGTCGAGTTCAGATGAGACTAGTGTAAGTATGGGTTAGCTGGCATCTGCTGGCCGCAGGTGGCGGGACGCCTCCCGCGGGCTGGCGTATGGCTGGACCGTCCCGGCGGGAGCGCAAGGGCCCGAAAATTCCCATTGGCCGGGTAGAGGCCCGCAATGCCTGTCTCGACGCCGTGCGGCCGGATCTGCAACGCCATTTAAGCTTGTGCGGGACCTGGCCAACGCCGAGCTAATCGGGAAGGGAAGATACAAATGAGTCAATCAGAACGATGCCCAAGGTCAGAGAATATGCAGTGCAACCGTCTTTTTGAGCGCTGACGATGGGGAACCTCCGGATAAGAGAACATTATTGGGACTGGAGCAAGGACAGCACACATCCCTGGTATCTCGAGGCCTTTGGAGCTTGGGTTGTCTCTTGGCCCGGGAATCTTCAGCAACAACACGGCAGACTTGCTCTGTGAAGCCGCAATCGGGTATGCTTCTCGAGTTTATGGTGCCACGGGTCAGCCGCAATATGACGTACGGCACGATACACAGCGCCGACCAAGACCGAGAGGGTGTCCTGTCTATGCCACGAGCTGCAGCATGCACCCAGAGGGGTAATGTCACACTGATCGACGTGTGCCCGAAGGGCCATCTTGCCATGACCGCCGAGTAATGATATCGACCTGTAAATGAGCTCAGTTGCGGCTTGACTGATGTGATTCCAATCAACTTTGGCCAAGCGGCGACCCACCACTGGCGCATATTCACCACGCTTGCTGAATACACTGCCAGAGAGGCACTTCCGGCTTCTTTATAGGGCGAGAAGCCGGGCGTCAGGTTGTGATTGTAAGCGAGTGCAGAAGTCATAGGACTGGAAGGAGTGATATCATCAGAAATGGGAGCGCAAATCTCGTCAAGTCTGCAGTGACAGTGTTTCGTATACTGACGAGTCAAGGTAAGTGAAGCGGCTGTTTTGCAGCAGCAGACCTTCTGTTCCGTCGTGGAAGATTAATCAGCATGAAGCCAAGAGCAGTGCCTCAGGGTACAGGGTGCAGGACATTTAAAATATGCACGTTTCGGTGATACCACACTGCTGTGCTGTTAACAAGCGGGTCGCGGGAGAAGAGGTCGGTATCACTATGCGTGGCAGATCGGACGATCTTCAAACAACGACCCTGCCGGCAGCACCGGACGGCTCGATTGCCCCGAAGCCGTAGTCTAGTCTAGAAGGTCAAGACTAAGGTAGCCAATGCGCCTGCGAGTTAAGCGAGCGAGCAGAAGCGGAGACTCGGATCGCGGTTTCGGGCCCGCAAGACGAAGGGAACCAGAAAAGCGGACAGAAGGCGGACCCCGCTGAACGCCACTCATTTGTGCTGTCTACACTGTAGATTAAAGCAACACCATCTCCGAACCGGGTGGCCGTCAAGCCTTCCCTTGAGCTGGCGCAGATTCCGCCCAGAGCAGCCATAGCGCTATCTGAGACCGCTGATTACCGATTCGTTGAGCGCCCGGTTTCATAAGGCAAAAATCGGGGCTTATTTCACCGACTCTCGCGGGTTTACATACTGAGAGTACGTCAGTCCCTGAAGGCCAGCCAGTAGGGGTGCGGGTGGACGGGGAGAGGGGGAGAATCCAACACGTACCGGTCGACCGGGGTCAGTCCCAGCAATCTCATTCCATTGCCCAGGACTATGTGGGCTGCCTCGTACAGGGCCATCCGGGCCTTCATCAACTCCCGCTCACTGCCTACAACCTGGAGGTGGTCATAGCTGCTGCTAAGCGCGTGCGTCATCTTGAACAAGTATGTCAGGACAGTTGTCGGCTCCAGCGTCCTCATGGTGTTCTGCACCGTATCAGGCCACTGAGCGAGCAACCGGACGATGTTGATAGCATGCTGTTCGGTAAGCAGTGAGAGATCGGCGCTAGCCAGATCCTCGTCGCTGAGACCTGCCCGTCGCTTGATGGACGAGACGCGAGCATGTGCGTACTGCAGATACGGCCCGGTGTCACCCTCAAACGAGGTCATGGCATCCATGTTGAATGTATAGTTGTTAATCCTGTCGGAGACAAGTAACGTCAATTCCAAGTTCGGGCACAAAAGTTCCTCGCTTCCGCGTCTGCCAAGGCAAGAAATAACTTACCTCTTGCCAGTCATGTCTTGAACCATGACACTGCTGATGCCCAGGGTATCTGCTGTCGCCTCGGGGTTCTCAACTTGAGCATACTTGTCCTCGTTCTTCCTCATGGTTTCGTGCATCTTGTCGGCGACATCGCGGAGGATATCGTCGAGGAATTTGACGGTGCCTTTGCGGGTGCTCATGCCGAGGACCAGGCCAAAGTTAATGTGCAGGCACTTGTCCGCAATGTCCTTGTGGCCCAGCAGTTCGATGATCTTGAACAGCTGCTTCAGGTGGAGATCCTGAGCAGACGCTACCACGTAAATCATCTGGTCAAACTGGTACTTCTCATGGCGGCTGAGGAGCTCGCTGATGTCACGGGTCAGGTACAGAGCGGTCCCGTCTTTCTTCCTGATGATTGGCTTCTCCAGCCGCTTGCCTTCTTTCCCGGGGACGAGCTCCTGGAAGTTGACTATCATAGCGCCCTTATCCTCTTTGCAGATGCCCTTAGCCTCCATCTCCTTTCCGACCGCGTTCATGGCCTCTTCAGACACCTGGCTCTCACCGCTGTACTCGTCAAAGTGAATATTGAGGCGGGCGTAAGTGTCCTGGTAACGTTTGATGCTCAAATCGCGAAACCTCTTCCACTGAGCGATGGCTGCTGGATCTCGGTCTGTCATCTTCTTGAAGTACCGACGGGCCTGCTCATCCAAGCTGTTGGCCTCCAGCTCGGTCACGTCGTCGCCATCAGCTTTCCGCTTCTCGATCTGCTCCTTCTCGGCTGACATTTCGCTGTTGATGCGCACGTAAAGCTGAAACAGGTGGTTGATGGGATCTTTATTGAGCGCTTCTTCGTCGCCATACTTCTCAAAGGCCAAGGCCAGAAGACCGTATTGTTTCCCCCAGTCGCCGAGATAGTTGATTCTAATAACGTCCCATCCCGCTCCCTGGTACAGGTTGGCCAGAAATCCGCCAATAATTGTGCTCCGGAGATGGCCGGCATGGAAGGGCTTGGCGATGTTGGGTGAGGAGAACTCGACGATGATGCGTTTCTTGCCTTTTGAGGGATCCTTTGGGTCCTTCAAACCGTGAAATTTGTTGCAGCCGTAGTCCCCGCGGTAGTGGCGAATCATGGGAATGACAGCTTGAACGAGGGGAGCGCCCTTGACAAAAAAAGACATGAAGTAGCCGTGGACCGTAGGTTTCTCGAAGAGCGGGTCATTTCCGGGAAACTGTGGGCATGAATGGTTAGAGCTGTCGCGCGCACTGTACCTGTATGGAGGAGTGTTGGGAACACTTACCTTCTCAGCCCATTCCAAAACCAATTCGTCAGGCTTCTTGCCCTTGATCCTCAGCGCAGGCGCAGCAAGAACAAGATCTCCCTTGTCTAGACCCTGGGTCCATGACAGACTGGGATAGATGATTTTGGAGTCGACGCCGGTAATTATGGCAAGTATGTTCGTAAGATGGGCGCGGTAGAGGTCAAAGGGGTTGATCTCGGGATAGCAGTTCGGGAACTTCTCGGCGACGGAGTCGAGGGTTAGGCCATCGACCTGTTGCACCAGCCGGTTGATGGGAGTTTGCGAAGCCATGGCGGATAATACGCGATTGTGGTGAAGTGAGCGGCCGGGTTGGTAGATACTCAGGACGGCCCGGCCGTTTGCGACTGGAACAGTGGGAATGGAGCGCGTGCTCGAGAAGGAGGAAAGTCGAGTCGGACGTTGAGTCCTGCCAAGTGAAGAAGTGAGGTTCAACAAAGACGTTCGAAGAGAAAAGATGGGATTGACGACCGGGCAGAGTGTCATGAGAGGTTACCCCTCCCCCTTTACTTTTTCTGAAGCCACAGATTCACTGTCCAGCCTTGGTCGAGGTATTCTTGCCTTGTTGACTCAGAAGACTTATTGACTCAATGGACCAGCGCCCGACCAAAATTTCCCGGACAATGGAGGGGCTTGCTTGCCCCACAGCGGACAGCCAGCCAATCGCATGCCGCTAACACTTCTGGCCTCGCCTTTTTGTACTCCGTACCGCGGGGTCAAAAAAGGGGAGAGTGCTTCAACCCTCAAGAGTGTCCATCCACAGCATACGGAGTACTTTGTACATTTTTGACGGTCCATATTCTTGGTCCGGTCAGATACTGCCTTAGGAGTATTGAATGTGTTTAATTTGGGAAGGCACTCAGGTAACTACCTTAATCGTCGTGAGAATCCCTCATTAACCTCACTTGGCAGTCGATTCGGGTTAGGGTTCACTTCATACCCCTTTAAATCAGGGGATGTTGATTTTCTCAGGTTCAGCACAATATGCGTCATTTCGAAATGGGTCTTCTCTAACCTGAAAACTGTAGTTGGAACCTAAACAGACCTATAAAGCCGGTGCATAGGTAACATGGGAACACAAGGCACTTAAGGTCTATGGCTAGAGACGAGAACATGTTGCATGACTCAAATCATTGAACTTATATAGACTTAGAAACTGTACTCCTCTACAAATACATGAATCCCTTGGGCTCCTGTCCCCTTATGCACGGCTCTCTCATCCGACATGGAGGCAACGCAGTTTCTCACACTCGCAACCAGCGACCGGCCTCCGCAGACCACGACACTGGTCTCTCCACCTGTTGCTTCAACCGGGCCACGGATGAAGGCCTCCACGTCCGGCCTCACAGAGGAGTAGAAGGTGTGAGAGTCGGCGCTCGCGTTACTCGACCTCTTCCGCAAGGTTTGCTGGGCAATTTGCTCCACGTCAGCCTGCAGCACTTTCTCGTCCGCCCGCTGTCCGATGTTGCTCCCAGAGGAAGAACTTGACGGGACATCCACTGCTTGGATCTTGGTCCCTGCGTGAGGAAGTTCGCTCTTGTATGGAGACGCGCTCTGTGTGATAGCAACGTGTACGTTGAGTTCGATATCTGTACCCCTGGCGAGCTCAATGAGCTCGTGGAGGCGTGAGACATAAAAGTCTACCTCGTCTTCTTGTTTTGCTGCCAAGAGAAAATCGACCCTCTTGACACAGCTGGTCGCCTTCGAATGGAGCACACTTTCCAGAATGGGCAGCGTAAAAGACGCGCCAGTCGAAGCCGAAATCAGGATTATCGTCTCAAAGATATCCCATCGAGGCGGGGAGCCGTATGGTCCCGAAAGGAAAACAGTAAGGTTTTGCTTCCCCGTCGAACGGGCTTTGGTGGCAAAGCGATGTAGACGACGGGAGAAGCCGTTGTGCTTTCGCACGACCAGCTGGATACTGTTGCAGATACATGTATCGGGCAGTTGGTGCGCGCAAGCGATTGTGTAAGGGTGCGCTTCCGCCAGTCCAACACGGGGAATCCAGAGGTAGACATGTTGACCAGCCCTCCATCTGAAATGGACGTCCTTGATGGTCACCACCGTGATCGAGTCGCCCACTGGGCTAAGCTGCGCCTGGTGCCCGATGCGTTGCCCGCCTTTGCACTTTGACTTGTCCGGGAAGAACTTCACGTTCTGCCAAAGAAGCAAGACGGTCCGGCAAAAGCGGTCAAAGCATAGGGCAGCAATTGCGAACCAGACATTGTATCGCGCGTTGCTTGGGATGTGTACATAAACAAGCCAGAGAAATAAAGCAGCGCTGACAATGTGTTGAAGGACGAAGAACTCGTAGGCCAGTCGCCGAAACGGAGCAAGTCCCGAGACGAGAGACCAGAGCAACACTCCCCAAGCGCCAAAGCCATATTTGATCATGGGCATCATCCTGAGTTGGTACTCGACGAAATCGCTGCGGACCCAGTCGGTGTAGAAATGCCAGCCGTGTACCGACGCTGTGACGAGGATGGTGCGGCCCACCCATCGATGTAACCAGTTGAGCCTCTCATGGCTCGTTCCAGTGATGAGCCCGATGATGCTGCATTTGGACGCCAGCAAGTATAAAAGGGGCACTTGAGTAATGGTGACCCAAGCATTGCGGTAACCGATGCGTTCCCAAAACAAGGCGTCCTTAACGATGGCGCCAGCGGTCATCATGTAAATGATGACGGCCCAGTAGGCAAACAGGAGAATGAGACGGCCAAGTGGTGGCGGCGTGAGCCAGGAGAACCCGTGGGCGGAGATGTATAATTGTGGTCCGCTGGCCTCGCGGATGACGGCTGTTAAGGTCGCCCATACTGCCAGAAAGGGGTTGCTTGGTTTGGTCGGGAACTCGACCGAGGTAGTCGCCCGCCGTCTCAGTCTACCAGGCGTTAACACACAGCAACAGACAGCAAGTGTAGACAGAGTGAACGAACCTTGTTTGCGATTTGAACCAATTGACGGCACGACACGCCGCTAAAGCCCCGAGGAACGCTGCAATGATGTACCAAAACCGATGAGCCAGATCAGTATTAAATTCGCTCCCGATTCCGGTACCGCCGTGGGAGTGTGAGTGGTCCATCTCCGGGGAGGTGATGGAGTGACTGCTCGTAGGCGACGCTTATCCGCCGGACCTCAATAGAATTTGGGACGAACGGTCGGATTTCCTTAAGTCGTCCCTAAGGAGGCCGACTCGCACCTTGGAGCAAGCACTGCAGATTGCCCTGTGTCGTCCAGTGCTTAAGGAATTATTGTTCTGTGTTGGGGTATCGCCACCGCATTCTCAGGGAACGGACCATCAGTGGTACAAACGCAGACCGAGCAGAGCGGAACACGAGGCTCAGGGCGGCTTCTGTCGCAAAGGCTCTCTCTGTTCAGTGACGAAACAATTGCTGCGCCGCGTTATCCCCAAGAGTGCACAGTAATCCGTCCTGGGTAGTTGGGTCACGTCGGGGACTCAGCGGACTTGTACTGTTCTTCAGCGATGGTGAAAACAATCCGGATCCGCGCCACGGGGCCAGGCAAGATGATGTAGCAGTGCAGCAGACGGGACAGTCATGCTATAAATTGCGAGATAATAATCGGAAACTCCTGCTGCTTATGTCCCAAGGGGGCTAAATGCCGGGCGTCTGGAGCAAGACATTGTGCCTTGGGAGAAACGGCGCTGGGCTGAGATCGGTTGCGCCAAACAACACGCAACGAGATCCATTGAGGTGCCCTGTGGCGGTTGTGAAGACAATGCATGGCATCCCACTCATTGGCGGCTCGAAAAAGATGTTCCTGGCCTGGCTCGCCTGGTGGTCTTTGTCAGTTGTCAAGCTGCACTGGCGACAATTTGCTCAAAACCGCTCGCCCTTCCGCGCTATACCCAATATGGTTAGCGGCGTACTGCTAGTGGATCCCACCTACTCCACGGTCCTCACCATCCAACCGCCTCGATGGATAACTTCGACGAGGTCCCAGGCTGAAAGCTCCGGTAAGGTCCGTCCTCATGAGGTCTGATGAGCTGTCAAATAGGATAATACTCGCATGTCTTCAAGTATTTTCCTAGAATTTATGGACTTTCGTGTTCAGGGTCGGTTGTAATTCCTTGCGCCTCTAAGGTTCATCAAGGTGTCTTGGCAAAAAAGCTTGGCTGCGGGATGTTTGAAGGATGGGAGAGGGGGCTGTGGAGCACTCAAGTGCACCCCGACTTGACAAGGGGATTCACGCTCACCTTCCTAACAGAACTGAAGATGGGGTCTACAGTGAGACCCTCATCTTTGTTCTGATACTTCGTAGCTCCTCGAGTTTTCTAAGTTGTTTCATAGCGCATACAATTTTGCAGCGCGAATGGTAGATGGACGAGGAGGGGTACTCCATACCCGTTTACACATACGCTACTTTTTTCGAATCGAAGAAGGTGGGTCCGGTGCCTGGATTAGTACGGAGTGGCGATCAGAAGAGGTCTCAGGTTCCGGCCTCCCGGGTGCGGTAATCATGGAGATGGTAAGGTACAATGGTATGTCAAGTACTATAAACTGAACCCCAGGCTGCAAGCGCTTGTCATTCAACGGCTTTTTGGGTCGGCGACTCGGCAAGTTCCCAACCTAAGGTTGCATGCAGCGGTTTGTACCCATACAAATACATAAGGTACCTCATCCGCCGTGCGCCTGCTTGGCCGAATGCTCTTCATCTCTCCTCCATCCGTATCCTTCTCCGCCCGTTCCGTCTGCGAGGCCATCGGCATCCCCAACCCGAGCGCAACAAAATATCCGGCGTCCCTTGTGGTTTAACCTGCAGCGTAAGCTCTCACAAGTTCACACCAATCATTCAACATGGCGCCGGTCAGGTCTTTCCTCGTCGCCACCTTCCTTTCCAGTTTGCTTTCGACGGCAACTGCTCATTTCGAGCTCATTCAGCCCCCTCCGTTGGGAGACGGGAATGAGGACGGACAAGTCAACGGCCCGTGTGGGGGCGTCACGGTGAACCTCGACCAAGACGCCAAAACCGACTTCCACGTTGGCGGCGACGCTGTTGCAGTGCTTTTGGCACATCCACAAGCGAATTGGCTCATACGCGGTACCCTTGACCCAACCGGGGCCGGGAACTGGACTCAGCTCTTCCCAATCGTCATGCAGAGCGGCCGTGGGAACTTTTGTGAGCCGGCCGTGGCGGCGCCAGCAGAATGGGCGGGTAAAAAGGGCATCATCAGCACCGTTTGCAATGCCCCCGACGGGCTGCTTTTCCAGGTTTGTTCACACCACGAATCCAGTCACCACACAAGGCCTGTTGAGAGATTCTGACCTTGAAAACGCTTGCAATTGAAGTGTGCCGCAGTCAATTTCGTGTCGGGCGCCAATACATCACCATCCTGCAGCAACGGAAGTGCAGTGAGCGTCAGTTTCACCGGCGACACGACGCTTGCAGCCCTTGTAGGTGCATCAAGTCAGCCATCAAATACCTCAACCAACCCAACACCTACACCATCTGGTAATTCAGCTGCTGCAATGTTGGGCGGCCCATCGGCAGTTGGGAGCTTCATCACAGCGGCGGTTTTGCTCCTTGCGGGAGCGGCAATGTTTTGAGTTTCTGTACCTTGTGCTGTGGAAAATGACTGAAGGACAGCGTTTCCGGCGACAGCACGGGTAGTGTCCCTTGTATCACTACATACCTACCTATACTACAAGATATTTGAGGACATAGATCGTGTATGGACTCGAGTTCCCTGATACCGATCTACCTACCTCCCTACATTGTCTACTTACCTTGAATGTCGCAGGCTGTCATCATCCATACTACTAGTACGCTGGTAGTTGAATGAAAAACAGAACCGCTCGTAGAAATCGCTGAGATATACATGCTGAGCAAACATATAAAGCTCAGTTGACTACAGCCTCCGACTTGCATGGCTTCAAGCCGCAGGTAAAATCAAATGTTCGTGAGTCTCAACGCTGTCTACCTCAAAAGTGATCTCACTCAACCAAGACACCCTGCTTTGGATACGCGGCTGCGGTGCTCCGAGTCCGACAGCACATATGCAGGCCAGGGAGTTGCGGCATCTGATATGGCACGAATGTGGTCATCCTTAGAAGACTTGAGGTAAAGTGGCCCCTACGTTTCATCATGTTTGAATACAATAAACATTCGAGTCTTCTGTAGGTCCTTGGGTACGGATACAGAACCCGGAACCTGACGCATTCGTAGTATCTTCAAGTCATATGGATAATCTTGATATTTCAGCACGACTTCCCTTTTCCCTCATTTCTAGTCCCTCCAAGCCGTTCATATCCGTATCTGAAAGCCTCATTTAGCACGACCCTGATGCCCGATATCGAAGGGTTATGCTGACGCTCCCGTACGACGACGGGTACTGAGTTGCGCCCGCGACTCTGAGGCTCGGGGAACTGGAGATGATGGTGAACCCTCTCGAGATCACTCAGCATTAAATGATAATACTCCTCGTCCTCCATTCGCTTAGATCTTCTAGATGCCTGGAAACTGAAGTGATCTTAACCAGGTGGCTAAGGTAAGATATGGAAGCTTTCCTGGTCGTTAGTACAGGGTGTCCAGTTGCTTATGAAACCCAAGGTTCCTTACCGGTGACTGTATATGATAAGACAGTCGAGATCAAAGCTGCGCTATGTTGATAGCTGTACTTCAGTTACCCCGGCCCAGTTTGATCATGCGATCGCAGCTTGCGGTGATTAAGGAGGTTTTCCAAAGATGAGTACGTCGTTGTACTTGAACTGGAACTTCATGAAGCAGCGGCGTATCAATGTGAATGGTTCTTATACAGTTTGTAAATACGTCGGGCCATCAACCAGGACTGCGAGGATGGCACCATAGTGGCATCATGTACCGGACGAGGCACTCACCTATACGACAAACTATCATGAGACATACAGATGCCAAGAATTCTGTCTCAATGGGCTGCATGACCGCTAGGAATGTAACATCACAGCACTCTTCAAGCAGCAACCTCACCTCACCACCCCTTTCTCAATCGTTAGCACGAAATTTGGAACAGCACATCAAGCTCATCATCGCCATAGAAGAATTTGGTTCACACAGACAGCTCGATGCACCAAACCAGACAAGATCTGGGTGCCAACATGTACATTATAGATATTAGCATTAACTGACAGCACCCCTCTGTTGGTAGTACCTAGACCGCCTCTCTTGGGAACTCCTGAGGCGCCAGTTGAGCATGACTCATTCCAGTCCAAACATTGAAGACCTGTGCCCACATCTCCTGCTGCCGAGATGTCGCGTCGCGGCGCATCCTCCCGAGTTTTCCTCCGAACTTGGTAGCCTTAGTTCGGCTGCGGGAGGGGAGCCGCCCCAACCACGACCTTGACCAAGGCAAGGACGCCGGTGCGGCAAGTGTTGATGACGTTGATGCAGGCGGTGATCTTGGCGATGAGGCCGCCAAGATCGAGGCTGAGCGAGACGCGGGCAATGATCCAGAGGCAGAAGTCGACGACGGGGCTGCAGATGGACAGAACGAGGTCGAGGAGGAGCTTGACCTCGGCCTTGATGACGAGCAGAACATCTGGAGAAAGACTATTGTTAGCAAAGGCTCACTCATAGCATTCAATGCTAGCCCGGCGGGCGACAACTTACCGGCCTTGACAGCGGCAACCAGCGCCTTGATGCAGACCTCGACATCGACAAGGAGAGCTTGAATCTCGGCGATCAGCTTCAGGGCCACCTCGAGGTCGGCAGCAACAAGGTCGTGTGCGTCATGGACAATGCCGTGGAGGCACGGGAGGACTTCGTCAACGAGGATCTTGACGTGGAGCTTGAGGTCGACAATGGCCTTGAGCAGCGCCTGGGCGTCAACCTTGACAACCGTGGCAGCAGTGAGCTTGGCTACAGGCGGAAATGGATGGTTAGCAGCAGGTCTGGGAATGAACTTGACCGTTTGGGCCACGATTGCTGTGAGAGACTCACCGATCAGGTCAATATCAGCCTTGATCAGGGCCTTAGCATCGAGAACGATCTTGGTAGCCTCGTTGATCTTGACAACCACGTCGGCATGGGCATGGACGTCGACGTTGACATCGACGACGTCAACACCCCCCGCACAGCCACCGTTAGGGCATGAAGGCGGGGAAGGGAGAGGGCAAGCCTGGCAGTCCTGGGCGGGTGTGGTCCGGCGAGTAACGCTGTCAACGGTGTTGTCAACGGTCTCGAGAACATTATCAGCGATTGTCGGAGCAGCCATGGCGGAACCAACCGCCAATGCGGCAAGAGCGGCGCTGAAGAACTTCATTGTGGGCAGTTGGGACTGGAAGGCGACTTGGAAAAAGAGTGACTTGAAGTGGGATTGAGCAAAAGAAAGAACGATTGTGGTGGAGTTAATGGAAGAGAGGGTGTTACAAGATCATGAGTTTTCTTTGGAGGGCGTCTCAGCATCTAAATACTCGTCGTATGGTGGGTTCCAACTTCCATCCTGCTGGCTGCGGTTTCGACCGGGATGAGATCAGTCAGTGACTCCATCTGCTTCTCGAGGGACGATGGATCAAGCATCCTTTCTTTTGCTCCTTCATTCCTCGTGGTGCCATTTGCCGCTGATCCCAATAGCTTGCGCCAAGCCATTCGGAGATGATCGACAGTTCATGGCTTGAACGGGACACAGTGAGAGAGACGTGTTCGTCGGTTTGAATTTTGTTGGTTTGTTGATAAAAAGCATCATTTGATGATTTGAGCACCGTCTCTAGTGTAGAATCTTGACTCTTCAGCCCCAGTCTTCCCGAATTTCAAGTCACCGCCCTAACGTTGGTTTCGAAACCCATGGCTGCTCACCAGCATGCCAGGCATCTGTTGGTTGATTTGTTCAGTTATTTACCGTGCAGAGAGCGAAAGAAAAAGGAATCGGCAGTTGCACGGCTCGCTGAGTTGTTGAGTGGAGCGCGGGTACGGCAACTTCCGGGCCGCTGTCAGGCTCATCCCCGTCTCTGGGTCTCGTAACTGCCGGAAAAGGGGCAATGGGATGTTTCACAGTCCAGGGTGCCGAAGACTTGAGATCTGTTGAGATCTTAAGGTGTGCAAAATAAACTTTAAGCTTACGCAGAAACAAGTGCAGAACATTATACACTCAGGCAGAGGAGCTCGAGATGGGCGACAGTGAACGGTACACGAATAAAAGGGTACTTCGTGCTTCGTACTTCGTCGTTGGTACTGATTCTTATTCTCGTCTACTGTGTAGACTCTACACTAGGGTCCAGGCGGACAGACTAACGTGGAGATATGGTACAGTACATACATGACTTAATTACCGTCCCGGGACATAGCATCCATTTCCAATAACTACCTTTCCTATGTAGGCAAAGCTACGCGTGTCGGTAGTTATTCTGTATGTGCTCCGTACAGTACCCTTGATTACCGGGCACCGGGTAGGTGGAACTCATGGTATGCAGTGACCCTTCTGCCGAAGATAATTATACCTTATGTTTATCTGGAAACAGTAGTGTAGCGCAGACCTCTAACGCTGGAACGCGGCATTGATGTATAATTTAGGTAATTACATGCTTAGACTTATGTCTCAGCCATGGCCCACCAGCCAGCCGCAACGGTCCTGCACAGAGAAGATCCAGGGACTGATTTGATGTTCGATCGTGGTTCTTTGCCATGCTGCAAGACATGAGCCACCGGAAGATGTCTTTCAGTCATGGAGTATACGGAGTATAGTACAGGACAATTACCCATGTCTCGTGTTTTGGCAGGTGATCAACACTCCTCAACGGTTAGGATTCTGTTGTTGGAAGTCAAAGCTAACCAATAGCTTACGTTAGTGGTCCGCCACAAACGGAACGATATGCCAAGCATCCTCAACTTCTGGAAGCCAATTACATTGAGAGCAAACAACGGGGAAGAGGATCCTCAACTGCCGCAAGATGAGACGAAACAAAACGATCTTCGTATAATTACTCCATACAGTGTACGGAGTATATACAGACAGAGTGGCTATCATAACGTATCCGTACTTATACGTGGTTACGTGTAACGATAAGTGTAAGTTTAACTTGCTCCGTATCATGGATGTTTTCTTCTTCTTTAGCAAAGGCAAAGGCGGCGCCCCAAGCCACTAGTTAGACCCTTAAAATGCTTCATCTAGCCTCTAGCTCCATCACGCTTCCTGAAAACAGCAAAGCACCTGTCTCTCTCGAATCTCTTGGTGATTTGAGATCCCGAGTTTCCCCTTGAAAAAAGGGGTTGTCCTCTCCACCACGACAACCAAGAGCAAATCATGCGACTGATCGAGCCCTCATGTCACGGACCGGACCCCTAAGTTAGCGGCTTATATCGACAATAGTCATTGTGCAGGGTTGATTGGTAATATCACCTAGAATGTGAGTGTCCTGCGGCTGAGGCAGCCCCAGAACTCCTGTCATGTCCAAGTCCGATGCACAAACACAAACATGGCTGCATGCCGCTTTATTATGTATGTTCATTTCATGTTACATGGATTATTTATGGCACGCCTTGGCTTCCCAGAACTGGGCTTCCATTGCTCCGTACTCGAAGCTTTTGTCCGGCACTTCCGTCCCGTCTCCTAACGTTAACATTTCTCGTCCTGTCGTTTGACCTTTGCTGGCGCTTCTAGGTATCGAATCCTGAACGGGACAGTCTCTGCCGCGTCATACTCGCTGCCCTGCGTCTCGTCCCCGAATATCCGGAGCGCCTTGACGGCAAGCTTGTACAGGCCGGCAGGCGCGTACGTCCCGTCATCCAACTGGCCGTCCCAATCGTACTCAAAGGTGCCCCGCGCATTGTACAGCGATGGCATGCCTTCGGGCTGTCCAAGTGTCTTGGTCCCAAACACGACGGTGGCCTTCTTGGCAGCCCTGGTGCAGTTGCTCACAGGGACCACGTCCACACGCACCAATCTACTACCCATCGCGAGCGTGGCGACGAGCTTGGGCAGTTCGGTCCTGTTGCGGTATGACGTGTCGTTGGCGTGGCCAGCCGGTGGCAGGACAAAAGTGACGTTGGCCGGCACCGGTGTATTCATGCTGTCACGGGAGCGGCTGAGGAGGGTGCCTCTGCGGTCGAGAACAGTGGCCGAGTGCATACTCCCTGCGACGCCGAGGTACGGCAGCGAAAGCGCCGAACCGTCCGAACCGTTGATGGCGACATAGCCCGAGTATACAGGCAGCCGCTTGGCATTCAAGCCCTTGGGCGGCGCTGCTGTTACCTTGACGATCTTGCGCTGGCCGGGCTGGAGCGTGAATTCGCCGCTCGGTTCGAACGAGAGGGTCGCGAAATCGGCCGTCAGCTCGCCGGGAAAGGTGATGGGTGTGATGGTGCTCTCGTTGGCGAAGGTATAAGCGGTCGCGGCACCCACGTGGCTGAGAGAATACGTGACCGCTTTGGTCCCCGTGTTCGAAATGTCAAACCTCTGGACAGGATTGAAGTGGTCGGTGTCGTTGAACGACAGGCTCGACTCGCTAAGGAGAGTCGTCGCGTGGGCAGCGTCCCACGCTTGAATTAGACCGGCCCCTTGCTGCGGAACCGGCGCGAGGAATGGCAGAGATGCCCCGTTCCGACGGAAAAGATTAGGACGTGCCGTTGCTGAGAGGAGGTTCTCGAGGGTCTTGGGGTCCTTTGTGCCCCGGACATTAATCAGCAATGCGTAGACAGCTGCCGCCAGAGGACAGGCCATCGAAGTCCCCGAAAGCACGCCATAAGATCCCAGGAGACGGGGGTATGTCGACAGGATCATGCCTCCGGGCGATGAGAACTGCGGCTTCACCTCAACCTCAAAGGTTGGGCCCCAGCTAGTGTAGTCGCTCAGGAAGCCCGGCGTCGCCGTGTTGTTGAAGTTGGCAAGGAACTTTGAAGAGCTAGTCGGGCTACCGAGGCTGACCACCACCTTTGATCCTGCCTCAAGGGCGCGGATCCACGTCTCACCCTGCTCGGCCGTGACCATTGCAACACCCTCGATGCCGTCCACCCTAGCCGTCACGGTGGCAGTCCCAGGAACGTTGTTGTAGAATATGACATACTTGGCACCTTTGGCAAGCGCATTGGTCACCTTCTGGACAAAGGTGCAAGTGCCGCGACGGATCAGTACGATATTACCGGAAAGGTCGGGCGTCGAGGCGGGATAGGGGTCGCACCCGTCTGCCGGGTCAGTTGTGTTGAAGTCGACAGCCCAGAGGGGCAGGCTGACGTTATTCCATTCTCCCGGTTCGCCGGTGGTGTACCCAAAGGCCGCAGAACTGTTGCCGTCCACCGAGAACGAGCCGTTGCTGAGCAAAGCAGGTGTGATGATGTTATCGACAGACGCAATCGCCGTAACTTTCTTACCGTTGGCAGCGGTAGAAGCGTAAAAAATGCCTGTGGCGCCGTCATTGCCAGCCGACACCACACAAGGAACACCGTTCTCCACAATTCGCGAGACGACAGCCGCCCATGGATCTTCACTCCAGCCAGAGGGTCCGCCAATGGATGCCGTGATGATGTCGCTCCCAGCCTCATATGCCATGTTATATGCGGCAATCAGTATGTCATTCCCGACGTCACCCTCACAGCCAAAGACGCGGTACGCTCCCAGAGTGACTCCCTGAGCAGCTCCGATGATTCCATATGGGTTGTTAGACTGCGCCGCAATGATGCCGGCAACGTGCGTGCCGTGGCCATTGCAGTTGTCGATCGGGTCAGCGTCGGGTGTAGGCTTGTTGGAGCCGTTGAAGTCGTCGCCAACCAGGTCAGTACCGTAAGAGACCAAACATCCAGACCCGAAGCAGCCACCAAGAGCGGGATGAAGGTAATCGATCTGCGGTTGTTTTCATGTCAACAAAGTGTTCGTAACCGCCTTAAGAACGCACGGGCTCGCGAGTTGACGTCCAGCCTCCCGCTCAGACACACTTACACCAGTATCAATGACGGCGATTTTGATGCCCTTCCCGGTGATACCTGCATCTCTAAATTTGTTGACCTGCGTCATCAAATGCGGCGTAAACGTGTCATTGCCCGAGTCCTGTCGCTTGGAAAGCATCGCCTCGACGTTGTCTCCCGTGGAGTGGACCGTATGATGCGGAACAGGGTAGCGGCGGACGGGGAAGACGCGCTTGACCTGGGGCATCTCGGCCACCTTGGCGGCCACTTCCTCGGCTTTCTTGACATTTTCGAACTGAATCGAGGCGCCTTTGAACAGCTTGAACCGGAGGTCCCTCCGCAGCGAAGCTTCACCGTCAAGACTAGACACAAATTCGGCAGAGTCCTGGGCAAATTGTCAGAGATCACTGTGTCGGACACGTCTTTGAGAACCCCTGGATTTGACCTTACTTGATCTTCCTCATATTCCACAATGTAGGCGCCCGGGACGATGCTCGGCGTGTTCGCTGTGACAGCTCGCGCGACGGCCGTGGCCGTCAGGAGAAGGGCCGCCCAGTCTAACCGGACCATGTTGCTCTCTTGACCACGGCAGGCTTCAACCCAGGGTGTGGTGCAGAGCCCAAGGGAGTACAGGAGACTGGGACCGGCTGCGCAGCTGGCGAGTGAAGACGAATATCAGCACCACGCCTGAGACAGCACCAGCGGAAGGGCTCGCGTGCGTTATGATCTGAGTTGGTGCCATGGTGATTTATATATGCATTATAGACATGTATGTATGAGACTCGGGCGGCTTACATGTGCAATCAGGGGAGGCCCATGCTGAAGAGCATCCGTGTACGGAGCAGGTTGCCGTCGAATTTACCCAAATGCTTATCAGAGGCGCGATTGACGAATCTCATTGGTGGAGAGGGGTTGTATGTGCCTGATTGTGGACGATGAGCCGCCATGCTTCAGAGGGCAAGTCGGTTCGTTGCAACCGTGGAATGAGACCTCGATCGGGCAGTTAATATGTGAGAGCATGGCCCGCGCGGTGTGCCCTGGGGCCGGATCCCTGACGAATATGCTGTATCCATATCACAAATGAGGATGTGTGGATGTGCGCAATGCAAATCCAGCCACCAGGCAGGGACATAGAGCAATTGGGTGTTCCGAATTGGGCTGTCGCTTGGCGTGTTTGCATGACCTACGGAGTACAGGCCTAGGAGACGAGATCAGGGCAGTTATTGATGATCAAGATCTGAAGCCTTGTTCAGTCCATACGGAACGACGACGCCCCAGCCACAGAGACGAAGGTAAGTTTGAAGTCATTGCATGAGCTTGATATGTTAAGTGTCCTGGCCCCTGCATTAGCCCACTCTTCAGTTCAGATCTCGCACCTGCCTTGCTTGGCAGCCCAACTTTATTCACAAGGTTGCCGTTAGAGTGCAACGGTTGCCATTGCGACTGAGGTTACCTACGTAGCTTGGCGAGGCTTGCCGATTCGGGCTTATCACTTCAAGACGCCCTCTGGACTCAGGTCCGACTCAAAGTCAAACTAATCTCGCATCACCGTCCTGGACTGAGAACTTCATTGTCAGGTAGGACGGCGCCCGTTCTGAGAGTAGGTACGGAGGTACCGGAGGCGAGATAGGAGATCCATCAGCGTGCAAACGACCTGCCCTTTCAGAGCACATACCCCGCAATCTGGGGCGACGCCCCGCACAGCCCCGTCCAGGTTCAAGGTCCTCCGAAGCTTTCAGGGGGTTGAGCTCGGGGAGCCGGCCGTAAGTTATTTCACTCAGGTTCAGCGAGCATTCGCATTGCTTTCAGAATTGATGCGGTCCTGCTACTGAATTAAGTAGGATCGATGGGCAATGTTATTCTGAACTGCTTCTCCAGACCACCTCAGGTATGTACGAAACAAACAACGAGTTCCTTAAAACGGTCGGCGTGGCTTTCCAGCTCGGGATTGTACTCTCGGCAGTGAGAGGCGCTCGGCCTTGGAAACGGTTGCACATATGCCGACAGCCCCGTCCTCGGTTATTTCTAGGCGGGTGCGAATAGATTGTCGCTTTTGCCGTCAGCGCTGCCGGGCTATGGATATTATCAGCCTGCCCCGTACATTCCTGTAGTGGCGGCAAGATGGGAGTTCCCGAGACAGAAGACTGCTTTGACTTTTAAGTTCATGGCAGGAAATTGGATGGTTGCCGCGCAGAGCATCTGAGTTGTTTCCGCACAGCCAAGATCTGCAAATCTTGTGCGAAAACACTGCAGTTTTTTGTAGCCGAAAATGTGGACAAATGTAGAACAGGTAGGTAGGAAGGAGCAACTGCTGATGAGATGGAACTTGCATATCAAGGCTGCACTGTCAAGCTCCAACATTGAACCCGCTGAGACTCGAACCTACCAAGCCTGCAAGCCTACCATCTGCATCCAAGATCCAACAAGGCTTTGGTTAGGAATGATCAATGAATACGAAGTATATGGAGGACAACTCACGTAATCTGCCCACGCAGCTTGGAAGTGGGTCAATTGCGAGGTTGAGCCAATCACGGCCAACGTTATGTAATGCCGTGAGCCTGCCTCCAGCCGTTTTCTGTGACGGCTTCCTGCATCAGCAACATCAAGCTCGCTCATCAAGGTGACGCTCGGCCTGCTGCCATCAAGTTTTTGCAGGGTCAGAAACCACCAGTCACAAGTTTTGGAAAGAATTGGTTGACTGGAAGCGAGCTGCTTATCACACAGCTGCGCCACGGCTTCCTGCACTCCAGCAATCGACGCAATCAACACCATGGCCTGCCGACTAAGCTTACGAGCCAGCAGTGCATCCACTGCCGCCAGCACACTTCCCTCAGTAAGGCTACGGCTACTGCCTCAACAAGCAGCCAAGTCGCGAGCCCTTTTTGCCCTCGTACCGAGCCGTTACCAGCGGGACCTATCGACATCGTTGCTTCGTCGAGTCCGACCGTTTTCCACATCATCCGTCTCTTCTTCTGCCTCGGCTCAGCCAAAGGAGACGGCGCCCACGTCCAACCACGCAATAGAAAAGCCGCAATTTCTCTCAGAAGGCGAGTCTCAGGTTTGGGACAGGCTGGTAGCCGAGTTTGCACCCACCCAACTCGTGGTGCAGGACATATCCGGCGGTTGCGGATCGATGTACGGCATCGACATTAGCTCAGAGAAGTTTCGCGGTCTCAGCATGCTCAAGCAGCAGCGGCTTGTAAACGCTGCGCTAGGAGACTTGATGAAGGGGTGGCATGGCGTCCAGCTGAAGACGAGGGCGCCTTAGAATATCAGGAGCTCAAACTTGGCTAGATGCCCGGTCAATTCTCCTCCGAGGAAAGGGCGTTTGGTGCCCCAATACAGAGCATGCAGGGACACCACACGGCTTTGCGTGGACGATTTGGCTCATTGCCGCTCATGGCGAGACCCTTCCCATCTCCATGTCCAGGATGGAGAGCACTCTAGCTCCCTAACGAAGGAAAATCCCATTGCTCGTGCCGGAACCTCGGTTCCACACTCGCGGTCCCGTCCAATCCTCGGCTCAGCCTTATCCTCCTTAACCCGCTCGCTCTTTACTTGTCTACATTGAGAACTGAACATGCCAGCATTCGACACCATGCAGTGACGGCGTGAGTAGCGAGGCGAATGATCCTCTCGCACTATGTTTACCTTCTCTGTCCGGTTTCATGGATACCTGTGTTGCAGACTCGGCGCACGACCTGGGAGTTGCCGGAGCCGATAGCTGGAGAGGAATTACCTTGTGGCCTGACGACAAGGGATTCACTTCAAACAATATCGGGCAAAAATCACGGAGTACAGTAACCACAGTAAAATCGTTGCTCGACGGTAGTTCGGCCGAGAATGCGACACTACCAAGCTGCAAGGTTACTTTGTGTATGTAGCAATGTGGCTTGACCTACCCCGTACAGCCGCAGCGCTTTATGCCACGCTTGTGTGATTGGTGATTGGCCGTCAAAATTGCGATCCATGCGCTGTCAAGTGTCGACTCATTGGGGCATCCCAAAAGTTCCCATACCTAAAGCCAAATCCCCGCAGATCCGCCTAGGTGGTACGGATATAACACCACCGAACAACCTGTGTCCCCAAAGGCTTGAAGTTCCTGATACCCCAGCCAGCTCTATCAAAATACCAACAAGAGGCGTTGACGAGTTCTAACACCACTTGCCACCGTGCTACATCAACCAAGGCTCTTAGGCATACGAAGTACCGCCGTCGTGAATAGCACTTCGCAATGTCTTCAAGTAAACCATCATCACTCGGGTGGTCCCACACCCCTACAACAGCAACGCTACTCTGGATGGCCGTCTCCCTTCCCCTTGTGGCCTGGGACTCGGGCTACGTCCTGCTGCGACCGCATTCTATGCCGGGAGGGTCGCTGCACTGGCCGTTGTGGGTTCCCTATAAACTGTACGGCGAGATTGATCACATGTACGGCTTCAAGCAGTGGAACCTGCACAACGGCTTCACGGCGGCGCAGGGCATCCTGAATGTGGCTGAAACGGTGCTGTATCTCGGCTACCTGGCGCTGTGGTACTTCAACGGGGAGTCACCGGTGCGCGGGGCCAGGAAGGCCGTCAGCGGCCGCGCCGGGGCGCTGGCTGTGTTGCTGGGATTCAGTGGCGCCGTTATGACGGTTAGCAAGACTGTTTTGTACTGTGAGTGATCTTTACGTTGACAACGGCGTCCTGTTTGGAACTGCTGGTGGAAACTGACCACGTTGCTGCAGGGTTGAACGAATACTTCTCTGACTTTGATAACATTGGGCACAACGAGCCGCTGGCTCTCATCTTTCTGTGGATTATTCCAAAGTAAGAGTTCTGTTCCGGCTTCCCTCGGTGTGTGCTTGAACTCTAACCGAACACTTCCTTGCTTCCAGCGGAGCTTGGCTTGTTTTCCCATCGATTCTGATGGTGTATAACATGGGGCTAGAGATTATTGACGGCCTCGCGCAAGCCTCGCGGGTATCGCCGCAAGTCAAGAAAATCGAATAGGCACGAACAGCCTTCGATAAGTATCATGATGCAGCCGGGCTTGGGCGGCACAGTTGCCTAATGCGTGACCGGTTCTCCAGACTTCGATGGGAAATAAGAACTTGAGGGTCCAGTCGGGAACTCGACCATGGAACGAACAGAAGAATCAACCAAACATCTTACCTTACCTCGCTGTGTTTCAACCCTTTGATTTGTACGTCTAATAGCCGGATGTACTAATGTAGTTCTCGATGTACTACCAGGCGCTGATAATCAATGCGGAATATTCAATCATGACTGCCCCTAGATACCAAAACAAGCCGGAATTGTAATAAGGAACAAGATTTCCAACTCCTGCTCGAAGGAATCAGGCCCTTACATAGGTCATGGGACACCAGGGCTTGCCAGCACCCTTCCTATACCGGTTGCCAACTCAAGCGCCTGCCCCTGACTCGGCCGCCGGGCGAAGCACAAACGTCACCATGCTCCGAGAGGGAACACTACCCGTCACCCTCCCGCTGCTGGCATCAACACTTGCCGTAATCTGATTGCAATCCCTGGTATTGTCCGTAACCCAAGCCGTCGCACTCGCAGCTTTGAAATCCCCACCGCCCACAGAGACGGTGACAGACCGCTCGCCGCCGCTGTTGATGACCTGCACCGCAACCGTACCATCAACGTTCTGAAACGCCGAGGTCCGGACACCACTGCCGGAGGCACCCACGCGGACCGCTCCGGGGCGCACAAACCGGCTCCAGTTGGCCATGGCCCAGAGCCGCTTGGACGGGTCGACGGCCTTGTTGACGACGCGTATCATCTTGCTGTTGGTGTTGCTCGAGCGGTCCTGGCCGCCGATCCAGTAGAGATAGCCGGAGACGTTGGCGTTGACGATGGCCGTGTAGATGTTGTTGGCCCACGTCATGCCCTCGCCGGCCCCGCCGTTCTGGTACCACGCCGAGGTCCACGCGCCGTTGAGGTCTGCCGCTTCGGTTTGCCACGTCTTGAGCCTCGTGGACAGGGACGAGGTGGGCTGCGACGTGTAGCTGTGTCCCGTGATGGTGTCGAGCATGGACTCGACCCCCCGCATCTGGCCCAGCATGCTGTTCATGCCTTGCCAACCTTCCTGGTCGCAGCAGTTGATTTTGAGGGTGGTAAGGTTGTTTCTATCCAGCGTCGGGCGTAGCACCTTGATGAAATCGGCTGCTTGGGTGCCGGACGAGCGCATGGATGCGTATGAAGTCCTGCAAGTTAGAGGCAAAGGAAATTAGTCGGTAATCTTCCAACGAAATCTTCTAACCGCCAACAACGTACGTCAGCCCCGGCTCGTTGATGAAGCCCAAGTGTGTGATGGTAATGTTCTCGGCGGCATAGTACTTGACGTATTGCACCAGATAGTCGGCGTAAGCCTGTTTCCAGTCTCCGCTCGAGCAACTGGCGCCGGACACTCCGCAGAGGCTCCCACCGTTTGCATCATTGCCGTTCGTCTTCATATAACCCGGCGCACTCCATGCGTTGGCGTAGATCGTCTTTACGCCGTACGTGTGCACAGCCTCCCTGGAGACCCAGAGTTGCCCATTATCGGATCCATCCCAAACATACTTGGGCGTCGCCCTGGGGCCTCCTGGATTCTGCGGTTGAATCGACACCATGTGGTCGTCCCTCATGTCCGGGGACGACCCAATGCCGTTCCGAAGAATGGTCAAGCCGGCCCCCTTTTCGGTGCTGAACATCAGGTCGAGAAACTTGCGCTGTTCAGTCTCGGGAAGCCTTTGCATGGTAAGTGCGCGTTGAAAGGCCTCTGAGGCTCCGAAACCATCCATAGTCTGGTACTTTTGACCCAGATTGACGCTGATGGTGACGGCCTGCCGACGCTCCAGGGCTCCCGCCAGGGCCAGGCCTGGCATAGAGCACAGGAGAGCCACGATACTTGGCAACTGCATCTTCGTTGCTCTTGGTTGCCCAACCCGGTGTCCAAATGCTTGTAGGTCTACACCTCAAAAGAATGGTACTCGTTGTGGCTGTCTTCAAAACATGACAGGATATGCCAGAACATCTCGAAGGGCATCGTGTTCCTTCCTGAGGCTCCATGTTCCATCTTTGTAATAGAAGGCAAATATTGAATGCGCTTGGCTGGTAGCACTCGCTGCTCAAAAGTAGGACCAGCGGATCAACCATTCCTATGCCCATCATTGAGGTTGCTGCTTAGCAATTAACCGTGATGCTCCGGACAAGGTTTCTCCACACTGCAATACATGGTGTTCGCAGTGTCAGGGGTTGCAGGCGGGCGCAGCCCCATGGCTAAAGTCTGCATACCCCGCGAGTGTATTCTCCGATCCAATATGGGAAAATACTCTGATCATCTGAAGTGATGGAAAGAAAATTCTCCGTCCAGCTTAATCTCAACCACGCGTGAAAGATTGAGCATGGGACATTGACGTAGCATGCCAGACCGACAAGAAATTGTGGAGTATGGAACCGGTACGGCGGTGACACATCACTCGGACTGCCCTGGGCACCAATATGGGAGTACGAAGACATCAAGATAATGATAAGTGGGCTAGGGTTGCGGTAAGTCTGGGTTAGGGTTGACTTCTATTGGAAGTCGATACGAATTCGGCGGCTCTGTTTGACGCGTCAAACCTCAATTTATCGCGTCTTCATCGTCGCCAGTCGCCTGCCCGGGCAATTCCTAGCATCTGACCAATGTAACGTCCGCAATGGCAGCATTTGTTCCCTATACGTACTTTCAATGCCCTTGCTCCGACTCTTCGACTCTTGCGCAGTCTTCGGGTTCAAACTCTCCGTCATCCGCCCATCCCGACCCTGACGACGGCGGCATTGACGACGATAGCGATCGAGCCTTTGATCCTCGTGCGCCACGGTCAAACTACAGCCTGTACCCGCTGGAATATCTTCTGTACTGCGAGGACTGTCACCAGATCCGCTGTCCACGCTGTGTCGCTGAAGAAATTGTCACGTATTATTGTCCAAACTGCCTGTTTGAGGTGCCAAGCAGCAACCTCAAGAGCGAAGGGAACAGGTATTTGGCCATGCATACGCTTGACCGCAATTGCGATGAGAAACTAACAGTGTAATTTTGGCTTGTAATAGGTGCACCCGGAGTTGCTTTCAGTGCCCAATATGCATCGGCCCCCTCGCCGTGACAAGCATCGAGACGAAGCCTGACCCGAACCTCCTTGCCGCTCCTGACAGCGCGTCGCACTCTGGCCCATACGCACTCACCTGCTCTTATTGCAACTGGACATCCACCGAGGTTGGCATCAAATTCGAGAAGCCGAACAGTATACACGCTCAGCTGGCAAAGCTACGAAATGGAGGGACCTCGAGGTTAACAGCTAAGGAACGAAAGGAGCGGCGGAAGGATCCAGCATATACTTCCCAGCGAGCGGCAGCCGGAAGTGAACGCGAATCCAGCGACTGGCAAGAAGATCTGGACTTAGAGACGCAGTTCGCAAACCTCAAGTTATTCTACCAGAGCCAGCTAGCAGACCCGAACTCTGCAGACCATGGCCTCTCATCGCTGGGCGATCTCGGCTTCTCATCGCCAAGCTCACTCTCACGCATAATGAGCATATACACCGGCGGCAGCTTGCATGACAAGAAGGCCAAGTCACGGGTCGGCGCCATGCGAGAAGCCCTAGAAAGCGACGAGGGCCTGCAGCTCGCCGACCTAGACGAGTCGGCCGCCATCTCGAGGCTTCGCCAAGAAGGCTACGACGGCACCGCCTCAACCGAGCAACTCCTTGAACAACCACCAAACCTAGGCGAGGAACATCTCCACGGCCGCGCCCGCTTCACCGCCGAGCTCCGCCCCATCCCCTACCTGCTCCGTACCAAACGCTCCAAGCGCTGCCCCGTCTGCCGCCACATCATCAGCAAGCCCGAGGCCAAGATGCAGACAACACGCTTCCGCATCCGCCTCGTAGCGGGCAGCTACATACCCAGCATCGCCATCCGGCCCTTATCGTTATCCGGCGCCGGCGGGAGCTTCAGCTCCAGCAGCACAACAACCGTCCCGGGGGCTCCCCTGGAGCCGCTCAAGCCCGCCCACTTCCTGCTCACCTTCAAAAACCCCATCTTTGAAACCGTCAAGGTCACGCTGGGCACCCCCGCGCGCACGCCGGGGCGGTTCGCTAGCAAGGTCACGGTGCTGTGCCCTGTCTTTGAAATCGGCGCCAACACGGACGTGTGGGACGAGGCGCTTAAGGACAGCAGCGGCAGCGATCGCGACGGCAGGCGGCGCCGCGGCAAGGGTGATGAAGGAGGAGGAGGCGGCAGCGGCGGCGGCGGTTTGACCAACCAGATCGAGGTGGGCAAGATCTGGGAACGCGGCCGTAATTGGGTAAGTATTGTTGTTGAAGTGATGCCGGCGTCGTTGCACCTCCGTGAGGACGAGGGTGACCTCCCGCTTCGTGAGGAAGAGGACGTGCTGGAGATACCCATGTTTGTGCGCGTCGAGTGGGAAGCTGATGTTGGTGGCGACGAGGTCGGCTCGGCTGCCCATGGTAGGGATAGTAAGGAGGCGAGGGAGAAGCGGGAGTTGGCGTACTGGTGTGTACTGGGATTGGGTAAGATTAGGCGGTCGTGACGGTCTTGGTGTTGTTTCGCAGTGGGATCAGTTTTCGCGTCGGCAGAACTGAAAGGTGTAGTTTTGATACCCCGAAATGAACTTGATGAGATATGTCTGCTTATTGCTGTCTTTGTGCTTTGCTTTGCTGTCTACGCTTAACAAGGCTGTTTGTATTCTTTCTATTCGTTGCTTGACTATACAGACAGCTATCAATACATGCCGTAGCTCGGCGTGGTCATAGATAGGCAAGACGCACTCATGCCCCGAACTGGTCCTCGTAGTTCGTCAGGCAAAACCTGTATCGCACGTCGTTCTTGTGCAACCTGGTCATAATATTCGAGAGGTTCTTGTCGCTGATGGGCACCTCCTCCACCCACGTCCTGATCCCCTTGTCGGCGGCCAGCTGCAGCATCTCGAGCGTCTCGCGCCTGCTCCCGAGATGCGAGCTGCCAAAGAAGCAGCCGTTGCTCAGGAAGGTCTGGTTGCGCACCTTGATACCGTCACCCTCGGGCAGCCCAACGCTCACCCACTTGGCGTGGACATCAAGCAGGCTCAGGTAGGCGTCGAGGTCGAACCCGTCAAAGCTGTTTGCCGTGTTGACAATAAGGTCGAACGTCATGACATGCGGCTCGTTCCAGCCCTTGTCTGAAGTAGCCAGGAACCCATCAGCGCCGAGCTTGAAGGCATCGGCTTCCTTGGCGTGTGACCGGCTAATGACCCAGACTTCCGCCCCTAGCGCCTTCGCAAACAGGACGCCCAGATGTCCAATGCCGCCCAGACCAACAATGCCGACCTTCTTACCCGGCCCACAACCGTTCCGCACCAAGGGCGAGTAGGCCGTCAGACCGGCACAGAGCATTGGTGCCGCCGTAGTACTGGGGAGGGCATCGGGTATAGGGAAGACCCTGAAAGGAGGTAAGCCGACCCTGAGCAGCAGCGAATATGACGCGGTCTGCAACATACCAGTGCTCATGTGTGCGCACGTGCGATGAGTATCCGCCCTGAGAGACGACGCCAGAGTCAGGCCAGACGGCGCCGTACGTGTCCAATTGCTTTCTGCAGTATGTCTCGTTGTCGTTTTTGCACTGACGGCAGTCCAGGCAGGAATAGCTCTGGGCGCCGACTCCCACACGCTGGCCTTCCTTGATCAGGGTCACCTTGGGCCCCACCCGGATGGCCCTTCCCACGATTTCTGGAACATGTCACCATCAGCATCAACGCTGATGAAAGGGTATGGTGGCGGGTTTGGGGGATCCTACCGTGTCCAACAGCCAAAGGGAAATGTTGCTCGCCCCAGCCTCCGCTGATTGTGTGGACATCGCTGGCGCACACGCCGCAGCACTCGATTTTGATGTCAACATCGTAATCGCCAAACGGCTTGGGCTGGAACTCATTCTTGTGGAATTCGAGCCATGTCTCAGGTCCCTCGACCTGGAATCCAGTGAATTTGTCAGGGTACGGCATGGTGGAGGGATGTTGTCAGCTGAGACCTAGCGAGTACAAGAACGTGGGAACAAGATTTTGATGTCCGTGAGAACCTGGGAGGCTTTCAAGATTATACGAGATAGCTTCCCAGATTATCACGAGGAAAGGACGGGGGAGCGCCCCTCTTCCATTTTAAACAGGCCCCCTCCGCGGGGGAGAAAGGCCCTGCCCTCAAGAAATCCATGCGCTGCTAGGCGCACCAGATGATATTATCCAAGACTCCATGACGCTAATGACGCAGCTGCGCCAATGGGCGAGTGTCTTGCTGTCAGGCCCGAAATACGGCACTTCAACACGTTGAAGTTGCCCTCCCCTCGTCCGTGATACCCCGCCATCCGTACCCCACAAAGGCATGCCCCGGGCCAAGAGGCTGCGGGGCTGGGCGGGTTCTGCAGTGACTTTTGCCGATTTTCCCACAAATCAGAGACGTTACCCGTTCCGTGATCCACGCCGATGGGATTGCGATGTGGGATTGCGATGTGGGCATGCTATCGGATGGTTGATAAGAACAGGGCGATTCCCGGGCATTCGAGAAGAGGCAGGTAGGGCATGGCCGGTAAATGAGACGTTGACAGTCAAGAATATCTCGCAATGTTTCCGGCTGGACGAGGGAGCGCCGCGTGTGTTTCCCGTCGTCATGACACGGAGTCTTCCACCAGATGACAGTTCGCGTCGTGTCCGGACCGCCGTACCCACATCGTTCCCTCTCCGCATTCCTACATGGTGGCTCCGCATTAACCGTGAACCGTCACTGGGACTCTCGCCGTCTCCGACTCTCCTGAGATCTGTACTGTGTAGTGACTCCGCCCTGTTAACCCAGGAAGCTTCGCCCGCCTGGGTTAAAAAATACGTGGAATGACAGCAATTGCCTCCCTGGCGATGGACAGAACCGAAACTTATAGTCAAAAATGGCCCGCTCAACGAGCCTGCAGCGATTCCTCTGTCTCCGATCTATCCTTCCTTCTCGATCATCAGAGAGTTTTCTGCAGTTTCTCTCCCTTTGGGCCAAAGCCAATCTCCGCTAGGAAGGCCACCCGCATTGATGCCCCAAGATAGACAAACGGAATGTTTCCCCAGTCGATAGCGTTCCACCTCAAGATGCTCCAGTAAATCTGGTAACCGAGCGATCGGACAGTGTAGAGATGGCCAAAGTCTGCAAGGAGCAAGCAGAAAAGCACCGTCTTCCAGACGCGCAGGTCCGAAGTTGACCGCAGGACGAGCGCCTCACTTAGCGCAAAGGCAAAATAGAGATTGGCAAGCTGCGACATAGCGATCGAGGTGCCGAGCGGAATGGGTGATGGGGCAGAGGCGGCATGAGTGAGCTCGAGATACCTGGATTGTGCAAAGTGGGCGTAATAGGCACCGACGAGAGTAGCGATGGGTTCGATGACCAGGAAGAAAAGCCGGTAGGGCAGAGGAAGGCTGAACCCAGTCACCCCAGTCTTCGAGGCTGCCGAGGACGAGGCTTGTTCTCGGGAAGGCATCGTCGCACCGATAGATACTCAGATTGAAGAGAGCGACTGGGACCGCGGACAATGTTCAAGTTTCATGGAGTCTTGGAGACATGGCTGAGAATGTCCCTGTAATTTATGATTGTAATTTTCAAAAGCGTGACATTCGTTCGTATTGTATTGTCCCACTCCACGGCTACTCACACCGCCTGCCCGTTTCGACTCCGGTCCACCAAAAATTTCTGAGGGCTGCAAACCCTAGCTTCCTTTCGCTTGAAACTTTGGCATAGGCTTTATCCCACGACTGCGATTCGAAGATCCCTCCCAACCCCGATCATCGTCGACAACCGCCAACATGAGTGCCCCTCAGCTCAACAAGATCGCGGCGAACAGCCCATCGCGCCAGAACCCGTCTGAGCTGGAGACCGCCATTGCTGGCGCTCTGTACGACCTCGAGACCAACACTGCCGACCTCAAGGTCGCCCTCCGGCCCCTGCAGTTTGTCTCTGCCCGTGAGGTGAGAATCCGCTCTTGAAGCCCCAATCTGTGGCCGACAGCTGCGCATCCTACGAAACCAAACCCGAGATCCTGTTCCACCGACATCGTGAGCGCGATTGTGTCATCGCCGCGGTTAAGGTCGTCGCGTTTTGGAATGTTGATCGCACATTGGAAGGCGAGCTGGCGGAGGCCACGAAAGCCCACCCGCTTTGCACGACAGCCATAACATCAAAAACATCCACAAGGCGCGCGGAATAGGACGGGTGCGGTCCAAGGATTGATTGCATGGTCATCCTGGAGCTCGCATGCTGACTTGGGATCTGGAACAGATCGAAGTTGGCCACGGCAAGAAGGCAATTGTCATCTTTGTCCCCGTCCCTTCCCTGCAGGGCTTCCACCGGGTTCAGCAGCGGTGAGTCCTTGTTGAAAACCCCTCTCTTAGTGCCCATGCAGGTTTTCTAACGCGTGACTCGACAGCCTGACCCGTGAGCTGGAGAAGAAGTTCTCGGACCGCCATGTCCTGATCCTGGCTGCTCGCCGTATCCTTCCCCGCCCCAAGCGGTCGAGCCGCTCCCGCAACACCCTCAAGCAGAAGCGCCCCCGCTCGCGTACCCTCACGGCTGTGCACGACGCCATCCTTACCGACCTCGTCTACCCTGTCGAGATTGTCGGCAAGCGCCTCCGCACCAAGGAGGACGGCTCCAAGACGCTCAAGGTCATCCTTGACGAGAAGGAGCGTGGCGGTGTCGATTACAGGCTGGATACCTACTCTGAGGTCTACAGGCGCCTCACAGGTCGCGGCGTCGTTTTCGAGTTCCCTCAAACTGGCGCTGCCGATTATTAGGGCTGAATTGCAGGGCTTTCTTTGCGGGCTGGACAAAGGGAGGTTTAGGTTTGGGTCTGATATTCAGGTTCGGGTCTGATGCTACGCATGCATGGGCATCTAAAAGGGACGGCGTTAAGCTAGCTTGTTTTGTTAATGCAAGCTTGATCTTCCACTAAGCTCCTCGTCGCCCGCAATACAAGCCTGGCGTTCACCCTTGTCGCTCCTCTCCTGTGCCCTCTGCAGCCTGTGCCAATATGACGCCTTGGTCGGCGGAAAACAGAGTCGGTGGGCGATTGTGAAATAGCGTGTGCTCAGAGTTTCCAGGTTGAGACCGAGTTTACCAATACCGCCACGACCTAATGCACCACGAGATGTCGACCCGCAGCATTCCCATGTTCTTCAGGGGACGGATCTAACCGCCGTGACCTCTGAAGCCGTGTTTACAGGTTGTGCTCAACTCGGCCGTCCGTTGCCACAAGACTGGCAAGCACTCATAATCCATCAATCCACAGTGGGCTACCTGACCGACCCTTTTCAGGGCTGAATCCCGCTTTTTGGACGCTTGTCCCGTGCCCAATCCAAGACCTTCTCCCAGACCTCTGGGCCATGATGATGCCTCTCCATGGCTCGCTTAAACCTGTCTAGGGCTGTCTGATTTCCATCCTCAACCCCAAACCACCTTGTGACGTCTCGCAGCCTCAGCATGGCGCATTGGGCGTCCTTTTCAGGATGCCCCTGTAACGTGAGGATAGCGTTGTTATGGCTCAGGAAGGACTGGTTCCCATACACCAACTCTGAGAAGCCTTCTGGCGGTGAGCCAACCGCTCGGCGATGGTGCTGTTGAAGGAGAAGCACTCCGCTGCCGGTATGCCGCGAGAAGAAGCGCCGCCCGGCCGGGGTGAGCTTCGCCTCGGTGACTCCCAACTTTGAGCAGATTAGCATGGTGTGACTGGGCTAGAGGGAGAGGCAGGGCAGTGTTCGCGTTTATTACCTCAGGAACCTCCATATCGACCACTTTGGCGCCGAACAGCATGGAAATGGTTTGATGTCCCCAACAAATGCCGCAGAGCTTCTTGCCGGGGTGTTTGGCTACAACATCTAGGATGAAACTGTGGACTCTCAGGATCCATTGGTGCTTCTTGCGAGGGTCGGTATTGCTGCCTCCAATGACTATAAGATCAAATTTCTCGGGGTCGGGGAAGTCATCAGGTTTCTCGGCAGGGTAGAAGAATGAGAGAGAGGCATCATGAGAAATAGCACCGATAGTGCGAATGTACGAGTCCCGGATCTCGGTGATAAAGGGTGAGCGGTAGGAATTGAGCAGGATAGCAATGTTGAGTGGCCGGTCACGCTTCGAATTCATGTTGAATGAATCGACGGAACCGATCTTGTCTCGTTGAGGGTAGGTACTGTAAGTAGGTACACTAAGGTTATTAGCAAAAAATGTTGATTGAGATTCCCTTGAACATTTCAGGGGTTTTGTTGGGTATATCAGGGGTTTGATGCATGGCGTCAGCTGATCTGTTGCCAGGGAGCCATGATTCGATTCGTGGCTAACACTAACTCCATCCAGACAGAGACATGACATCACGGCAAAGAGTCGTGATGGGTTTGTCTGAGACAAAGAGACAACAATCGCATTGAGAGACGTGTCACTGCAGAAGACAGGTACGATGCCCCAGGTTAAGTAGGTATCAACTAACTCGAATCCTGTTTCCAACGCGCTTAGTTAGGCAATAAGCGAAAGTCTGATTGGTGTATTTATTTCTCCCTCGCCTTAAACACATTTGACCGTCTATACTAGCTTGAGACACATTGATCAGTTTTCACGAAGTTATGGGAATGTTGTGCCTGGCTTGCTAGGGGAAAAGTCTGCGAAGGCTCAGGCTGATAACTGGAATGCCTGGGCCGGATACTTCCTTTGTAGCTTGTAAGCTTCTAAATCAACACATTGGTATAGTACACGGGCAGGGTGAGCTGGTAGTCATACGGTTTCTGACTTGGGTTTTTCGAGGTGATGATGAAGCAATCATCAGTAACGACTACCAAGGAGCCGCCTTTATGCTCTCGTGTCCACTAGCGGCCGTCTCTACCTGGCTCTTACTCGCAAGATGTCGCACGGTATATAGGCACGCGGTAGGGCACTGGTATGAGCCTTCCCGGCGAAGGGTTCGCTTTTGCCGTTTTCGTCTCACACAAGAACACCGAGTCGGCTATGCTGTCCTTTTTTCTTTTGTTTAACAGGCCTTTTCCATGTCCTCTCATAACGTTGCCGTTGGCTAGAATCTTGAAGCTGCCTGTGCCCGGAAATGTTACCGAAGACATTTATAAGGGCATTGTAGAGTGTATGGCGAGGTATCTGGCTTTCAAGGGTATCGCCATGGATTGTACCTCAACTATTGCATGATATAGTGTCGCTCACCATCTCTTCCATAATGACAGCCAGACTGCAATACGAGAACGACTGAGGTCTATCGCGGCATGCACGGAAACGGTAGGAGAGATGCTGGGAGTGGCCATTGGTGACTTGAGTTGGACGAAAACGAAACGGATTGAAACTCGGAATGGTTGCGCGACTCAAGATCAGCTGGCTGTGGGGCTAGCGGTCCCGAGACTGTGGACATCGCCGCATGGGGGATTACACAGTAAGTTCTCAGCCTCCCAGGTGGATCGTTGCGGCTGTATGGGGGATACATAAAATACCAAGCGAGGCAGTGGCAAGCTTGTATCTTCCTTTAGTTAGTAAGGCAGTCATATGTGTAGCGACTGGAAGCTCAACTAACAACATGATGTCCCAACTGGTTTCCGACGGTCGAGGATGACCGTTGTGATGCGGTTTCGCAGGTGACACTGTGCGGCGCTTAAGCGATGCCTTCGATCATGTCGGGTGCTCTCCAACGTACATACAAATGGGTGTGGTGGAGAGCTGTAGTGTAGGGACCCTGAAGACCCTGAGGACCCTTGAGGCCCTGATTGCCGCAAACTCAAAAGATTGAACTATCTTGCGATTCCCGACTGCCGAGGGTGATAAAAACGTCGATCTGTGGATGGGTGCCGAACAAAGCGATGTGAAAACTGGACCTGCCAAATTCTCAAACAAACCAGACACTAGTGTATGATCGAGATGGTGTCCAGCACGGACGACATAGGCTCGAGATAGGTAAGAATTGCAGTGGATCGTCAGAGTCGAAAAACGTGTTGGAGGGTTGAGTTTGGCCACCGTACCCGTGGCTGTCAGTTGTCACCGCCTCGCCGCGCCGAGACCTTCCATCCCGAAGCGCTTATTGTACTACATTAGCTCGAGATTAGTTAACGTTAGTGTGTATTTGGTGGAAGGGACTCGGAAGATCAGCAAGTCTCGACGCTCAGAGGGCGACTTGAACCGGAGCTGCCGTCTGACAATAACCAGTAATCGTTCCTGGATCCATTCTTTTCTCGCATATCAGTGCCCAATGTGATGTCCTCGTTTTATGTTCTCTTAACTCCTAAGCAAGGGAGCAGCATCGAGCAGCATCGAGCAGCAGGAAGAAAGCGAAGTCGCCGCTATCCGATCGAGTAGTCAGTATCCTGACAGACGGGTTCGCCTGTCGGAGGTCCTGAGCGGGGTTAACGTGAGTTAACCGCCAAGCAGTGGGGGCCCTTGCCGTCGCCACCGGAAATCTCAGAGACAGGTGACAGTAATCATGTACTGTACTGTACAGTACAGTACCGAATCGTGCAACACAAGTAAGCACATACAAAATTGTGAGCGATGCCGCTTCGATCAGCAAGAAAAGATTTTGATCTATTTACAGAGATTTATTCAAGAGAGTTGAGTCGTCTTGCTAGCCTGATGCTGAGGCGATTTTGAACATATCACATAAACCCTGATGGTTCGCGTCCTTAGTAGTGAGTAACAGGTATTTACGTACAGTACATCTTAGTACCAGCGCATACAGTGTCAGCGGGTCACGGTCCAGTCTGAGTGGGCTTTCGGAAGGCGGGTGAGTCGTCAGGTGGAACCTGACCCTCCAGTCCACTGGCCACCGGCACTGCGCAAGCCTCGCCTTTTGTCGTGTGCTCCAGTAAAAATCCCTGTCCTCTTGCCGCAGGCTGCGGTGTTGAGAACTTTCACGCTGCATCGCATCCCACTCTGGCAAAGTTGATGAGTCGGGGAGCGTTGAGTGCCAACAAGGTGTCTCCCTACCTCCCTATTTTGCAGAGCCGCTCTCTCCGAACCAGCATTTCCGGCAAGACTTTGCCGACCACCATGGCGAGAGAACATCGAGGATGTTTCACAGCCATTGAGTGGAAAGAGCTCCTGAATACCAGCATATAGGTGCGAAAAATGCGAATTGGACTACCTACCTGGGTACGGATCGCCTTGGTGCTGCTTACGCTTGCTGTGTAGATAGTCGGTGAGTCTCATTAGTGCCTGTACAGAATCGCATTGGTCCAGTCCCATCATGTTCGGCTGGGGGATTCGAGTCGACCGGGATTCGGCTTGGCTACAGGTGACCTGCGCCAAGTGATCTCGATGCGTTGAGGCTTTTGGCGATGTTTGTGGCTTATTGACATGCGTAGGCAAGGCTCCGGGTTCTTACGCGTACCTTATATATATCTACCTGCGACACCGCCTCGGCGCAGGCACCGGGTGACTTTGCTACCATTCCGTCTGTCGTCTACGGAGTTGGGTAGGACTGCGGGATCCATCCGAACGCCATGCCGATAACGATTCGTCCCTGATAACAATACAGCGGTATCCCGACTCGGCTCCTTTGTCTGTGAGTGCCGCTAAGCCAGTCCCTGCATTTCATCCCCTTTTTCCTCGCCCGCCGCCCCTCTTTCGGCCAGGGACCGGAGAGCCGATCGTTTCTAGAACCCCATCCTCCCGCCACCGCTCAGACCGAGCCCGGCCCGCAGGGTGAACCAACAACGGACAATCCGCTTGACACCTGCCACCCTATCTCTTATAGTCTCCTTTGTTCTGCCCGGTCCCTTCTTCTCCTTTGCTCTGCTTCTTTAAAAAAGACCCATTACTCACCTTGCTGCCTGGCTTCACAGATATATTCCAAGTCACTCTTTAGTTAGGAGGTGTTCCCTTCTCCCTTCATTTACCAACAACTCTCTCCTCAGCCCCCCGCCCCGCGTATATATCCGTCCTTACGAGACCTAGGCGTCGAGAAACACTTTGACCTGAACTCCCACGGAGGGACCTCACGCCGAGTTCCTAATACCGAGACTGGTTCCCCCTGCCCGTCATGTACGGCTACTCGTCGTCCTCCGAGTCGGACGGTGAATATAATTACCGAAAACACAAAAGCGTCGTACCCGCTACAACAAACCAGAACGATGCCAACAAGAAGAAGAAAAAGAGGAAGCTGCCGCCGCAGCAGAGCATAAATCGCATTTGGAAAAGGTTTAGCAACAAGCGATTCAACAAGGCGCTAGCCGTGTTACCTTTCGACCCAGTGCTACCGCCCACCATCTCAGATCGGTCCAACGAGTTGTTGATTGCGGGTTATGAACGTGCTGCTGAAGAATGCAGGCGGAAAGTGAGAAAGATCATCCAGGAATGTCGGCGGGTCAACACCCGGTACCGAGATCCGGGCTGGGATATTGTAAGTGACCCCCTTTTTGCCCTCGCTCGCTTGTGCTCCGCGGGCCCCGCCTCCCGCCTGGCCGCATGGCGGGCCGCACTCCACGTGGATCATGGGATCTCGCATATACCGTCCGGGCATTAACAGGCTTTCTGTAGGATTGGGATCTCAAAATGGAGAAAGGTCATTGTCTCAACAGCCTTGGCCGTACCAAGTTCGATTTAAGCATGTCGACCATGATGAACCCTAGCTCCATCGTGCCAAAGGCGGTTAAGCGCGTCCACGAGATCTATGAGAAGCCGACCTTTATGGCGAACATTAGTGGCTCCGACGTTAAGCAGGGCAGTCTCGGGGACTGCTGGCTGATGGCTAGCCTCTCGGGCTTGGCCAATGTGAAGGATGGCATCAAGCGCATCTGCGTCGAGTATGATACCAAAATTGGTATCTATGGCTTTGTTTTCTACAGGGGTGAGTACCGAAACCTGCCGGCGCTGCCTGAAGACCGCCAAGTTAACGATGGGCTCCAGATGGCGAGTGGATCTATTCGATTATCGACGACAAATTGTACCTTAAGTCACCATGCTGGGATTCTCCGAGTATGCAACGTGACCTTTTGCAGCAGATCGACCGCGAGGACGTCGAGCGCGTCTATCGCAAGACATACCAGACGGGGTCCAAGGCGCTTTTCTTCGCTCAGTGTAAGGACCAGAACGAAACCTGGGTCCCCCTCATCGAAAAGGCGTACGCCAAAGCCCACGGCGACTATGCGTCCTTGTCAGGGGGCTGGATTGGGGAAGGGTTGGAAGACCTTTCGGGTGGCGTTACCACGGAGCTCTTAGCATCGGACATCCTCGACCTGGATGGCTTCTGGGAAAATGAACTCAGCAGGGTCAACGAAGAATTCCTCTTTGGCTGCAGCACCGGCCTTCTGGATGGCGGCTATGGAGATCGCGACGGTATCTCGGAAGGACATGCGTATGTCGTTATGGAAGCTCGGACTCTCAAGAATGGCACCCGCTTGGTGAAGCTAAGGTGAGTTTTCTGCAGAGGAAACGTGGCTTGTGGGTGTGGGCATTGAACCTCGACTGACAGCGGTGGGCTCGCAGGAACCCTTGGGGAAAGACCAAGAAGGGTATATGGGAAGGTGCCTGGTCCGATGGCTCGAAAGAGTGGACCACCGAAGTGCAAGAGGAGCTGAACCACCAATTTGGCAGCGACAGCGTCTTCTGGATCTCGTACGAGGATCTTTTGCGCAAATATCAGCACTTTGACCGTACACGCCTGTTCCGCGATCCGGACTGGCGTTGCTGCCAGAGGTGGATTGGAGTGGATGTGCCTTGGAAGCCACAATATCACGAAAAGTTCCACATCAAGCTGACCCGCGAGTCTCCCTTGGTCCTTGTGCTGAGCCAGTTGGACAATCGGTATTTCAAGGGACTTCATGGCCAATACTCTTTCCGTTTGCAGTTCCGTCTGCATGAACAGGACCGCCCTGACCCGGAGGACTACATCGTTCGCAGCCACGGTAACTATCTCATGGATAGGTCCGTGTCGATTGAGCTGCCCGCGATGCTCCCTGGCAATTACAGCGTCTTCATCAGCGTGGTGGGCGAGCGCGATACTGACCTCCCCAGCGTCGAAGATGTCGTCAAGCGCGAGTGCAAAAAGCGGGTCGAGAACGAGAAGCTCGCTCAGGTTGGATATGCTTACGACTTGGCGCACAGCAAGGCCGCAGCCCATCTCGAGGCGGTCAGGAGACTGCGCAAGAAAGCGGACCAAAAGAAAGCTAGCTCGGCCCGCGTGAAGGAGCGCCATCGGCTGTGGGAAAAGCGACATCTCAACCGTCAGATAACCAAGAAGCAGGGCCGCAAGAATAATCAGAAGCTCGAGGCTAAGCAAGCGGCTAGGGAGGAGAAGAAGCGCCAAGCTGAAGAGTTGAAGCCCAAGGACCAGGGAGTCCAGACCGAAGACATTCCCAAGCCGGAAGATAAGAAGGTGTCACAGCAAGATCCAGACACCAAGGAAGAAGCAAAAGACGACAAAGCATCCGAAGACCCATCCAAGACGGAAGACAAGAAGGCAGTTGATGAAAAGGCCCAAGGCGAAGAAGCCAAAGACAGTCCTGATACGCAAAAGGACAAGTCGTCCGAAACGACTGAGAGCAAGAAGCCCGAAGACGATGGATCTCCAGACGCCACACCAATCCCCACTCCCGCCGAGACACCTACACTCGAGAAGTCTGGGCAGCTGACTCCCGACAAGTCCGACGGCAAGACCGATGAGACTCTGGATACTAGGAAGGATGGTCAGCCTGAGAAGAAGTCGGATCAGACGACAGACGACAAGTCGGAAGAGAAAGCCGGAGAACAATCTGACGACAAGAAGACAGACAAGGCTGAGGACAAGACGGAAGACAAGACCAAAGGCAAGGCCGAGGACGCGCAAGGCAAAGACTCTGGCCCTCCTTCATCAGGCGCCTCAGACTCTTCCGGCAGCCCGACTTTCACCCCTAAGAGTGACGCCTCTTCGGTACCTAGCACGGACGTGAAGGATAAGGAGAAGGTGCCTGTACCGCCTGTCGATGCCTCCAAGGTATCTGGATCGCCTCCCCCTCCACCAGCTCCTAGCACCAAGACTACAAGTGGTACCACTTCCGGGACTTCCGGGACGAGACAGGGCAATGGGCAGAACCAGTCCTCAAAGCGAGCGCCAAACATGTATGTCACATCGGACGGCGAGTCGAGCGCATCGCCAATCGAGGACTGGGAAGAACTCTACAGCAGCGACGACATGTCGCGGAAGCCGCGCATGGCCGCACCCCCGCCTCCGGGTACCACCATGGTCAGCAAGTACCGCGATGATACCGAAGACGAGAACGAGCCCGACCCGTGGAATGCCATCTGCGTCGTCGGCTTGCGAGTCTACTCCAAGGACGAGGATCTGGAGCTGCGGATCGTCATGGAGGGCGGCGAGCTCGAAGAGGACGGCATGGGCGAGAAGGGCGGCGTCGACCTGGACAATGCGCAGGCCAACGCCGGCGGTGCCAGAAGCAGCCGGGTCGAGAAGAAGGAGGATGAGGATGCGTACGAGGGTGACAGCGAGATCGAGAAGACCAAACGCGGCGGCAAGAAGAAGGATGGGGAGAAGAGTGATGCCGAGTCGGAGAAGGAGAAGGAGAAGGAGACGGACGAGAATCTGGCTCCGTATCCCGTCATTGTCCAGAAGGGCAAGGGTGACGAGGAGTATGAGACGGCGGTCGAGTCGCTGATGGATTGAGTGACTCATGGTCTGAGGGATGTTTAACGGAAATACTAGACAGCTACATGAGTTTTGTCACAGTAATCATGGACGGATACCCGATATATTTCGACATTTTTGCGATTTATATAGAACAAGCGGTAGTACGGTATAGCTTGGCATTTGAGCGCACAGATCATGGAGCGAGAGTTGCCTGACTTGGTGTTGAGCGCTACTCTAGTCATATTCTGCTCCTTACTTTGTTATTAGTCGAGTATACGACAGACATCCACTCACTGGCTTGTATTGCAGATGGTGCTTATACATGTCTGCATGGTTCCATTCCCGTATGCTAGACCTCGGCTCCTCGAGCGTCTTGTATTCAACCACAAGACTCTCAAGTCTCAACTATTTGAATTCATGGCGATTTCATCCTGCTTCCAATCCTCATATCTGATGTTACAGTCATACATACGCCGCCCTGGTATCATTTGATCATCATAACTCAAGCATTCAGTCTCCCAACGTAAACTCCCAAACAACTTCCACATAGTCCCACCCAATACATATTCAAACAGTACGCACTCCTCAGTCACCAGGCGATCCCTTGGGTAACTGATTTCCCCGGCCTAAACCCCACTCTTGCCTTCAATATTTGAATTGGAATGAAGCGACTCAGTTTAGTTGGTCTTCTTCCCTCCCGCGCCGGCACCATTCATGCCCACCGGCTTGCGTCCCTGGCGCTGTTGTGGTTGGACATAGGTGATGTATGCATAACCCGCGGCAGCAATCACGCCCAAGACGACAATGTTGCCTGGCAGTGAGTGATTAGCAAATGGATCGACCAGTCGCCAAATGTGAGTCCGGTCAGGTCCCATCAGGCGGTTCCTTCAACAGAATCATGCATCAAAGCCGACAACAGACTCAATGGCGTCCTGCCAGACGGACCGATCACCGACGGACGGAGATGATACACGCAAAGAACCGCAAGGAAGGAAAACAAGTAAAATAAACAGGGAATGATGGAAAACTTACTGGCAACGAACTTGCCCACCCCGCCAACAAGGTCGACCACGCCCTTGCCCAGGTCGCCGACCAGGGCAAAGAAGCCGCTGAAGAGGCCAAAGACTCCGGTGATGAAGGAGTGCACGATGGAGTAGGCTGTGCCAAAGACGGACGAGAGCAGCTCGGCGATGGACTTGAGGAAGTCGGCGATTGCTGAGGTGATGGCCATGATGACTCGATGTGCTGATGTTGGTGTTTGTGTTGGTGCTGAGTTGTGGTTTGTGTTGGTTCGGGTTCAGGTAGGGTTGCTGGCTTCAGTTGGTGTGATTCTTTAGCACACGAATTGGTGATGGTACTGATAAACTGGATAGGTAACAACAGATGGCTTTTAATACAGGAAAGGCAAGAGGTGGTGGTGTTGTTGTAAGTGACGGCTGACGTACGTGGGTGTCATGACGTCAGATCCCTTACTTCAAGTCTCAGGCCTGTCAACAATGAACTGATCGACATTGGTTCGCTGAACTCACAGGTTTATTATGTGAGTGAGTGAAGCCTCGCCGGATTGGGTGCATCCATCTTTGATGGTGGTGGCTTGCAAGCAAATAATACCGGTTTGCTGTGGGCGAGCCAAGACTGTTCCGATGGTGGTGTAGGGAGATGTCATCACGGTCGAGGGAAGCATGCCGCCGAAAGTAACAGTCAGGCGCCAAACATGCAATGGGGTATCTATTACAATTACTACTGCGACCAGATGTCCTCCAGTTCTAGTACTCCCAGTTTGCTAGATATGACTCTACTTCCCACCACCGCCAGATTCTACCTCCTTTCCTTTCCCTTGTGATGACTCCGCAACAGCTGGCTCATCACTCGGCTGCGCGGCCTGCGATGATGCACCAGCAGCTAGCCCCGCTGCCTCACTGCTGGCACCCGCGTCTTGACCTGGGTTCGATACAGGCGCCGGGGCCACCATGGGAGTCGAGAGTTGTGAGCTGAGAGCAGGAAGCTGAGGGGCTACGACATTGGCCGCGGCACCTTCCTCCTGTCTCTCTTGAATCACCGGCAAAGGCCCCGGCGGTCCCTGCGCGACAGGCGCTTCAGGCGGACCCTGAACCGTCTCAGATGGCTGAGATTCTGTTCCTGCTTCCTCGCCTCCTTTCTCCGTCACAGCTCCTTTTCGATCCCCCAGACAGAGGCGTTTCAAGATGACGGCAGCCGCAATTGCACTAACAAGTAGCAGCACGCCAAAGCCCACACCAACGCCGATGGCGACGTCTCGCCAGTGGTCGGCTTCCCAGTCAGCCAAGATCTGGTCGGGGGCCTGGGAAGACACGCCGTTTGTCGACGTGGGACCGGCGCAACCGGCGGTGCCGCAGTCAGATCTGCATGACGAGCTGGTGCAAAACAAGGCAGCGGATGGCGCGTACGCCCCGTATTGTTCGAAGGCTACAATTCTAGGTGAGGGCGCGTCGGAAGAGAACCTGGCTGGGGCGATGGCGACCTCCTGGTTGGCAAGGTCGAACACGAGGTAGGAGCGTCGGAGCAAGGAACTTCCGAGGTTGTAGTAGTATGAGGATGACGACGAGGAGCTGGATGAGCTGGAGCTGGTGGTGCGTTTTTGGACACCAAAGAGGCACACATTTGTCAAATTCCGGTACCTATAGCTGGTAAAGTCTGGCGACATGGTACTCAGTGGAATGATGAGGTCAGAGAGCTGCACATTAAGCGAAGGTCCCCCGGTGCCACCCAGCTCAAAAACAAATCTGGAGGAATTGGTCTTGGCAGCGTCGCATGGGATTGTGGTATAAGCCAATGTCTTGTTGTAGGTGGCCCCGGCCATGGTTGCTATCTTGTCGGCTAGCAGCTCAGGGAGGTAGGAGAAGAGCTCTCCAGGCCCAATAGTGACATCCAGGGGGAAGTCATTAGACTTGACGGGAGGCATAACAGATCCCGAGTCGGTTGTGCCGTTGATGCTGTTGAGGGTAACACCAAAAGAACCGCTGTATGAGTAACTATATGGGGACTTCCCTGGCAACCGGAGCAGACTGCCTGTGAATCTCGATTGATCGACGGCACCAAACAACAGGCCCCCGGATGAGCCTTCTGGGTTGTCGAGCCACATGCTGTACGCTGGGGTAGCAATCTTGCCGGACGAAACCATGCGGTCCATGAAGTTTGGATAGCCGCCGCTAGAGTAGCTCACGGACCGATTGCTGCCGAGTCCAAGCACTCCGATCCAACGATTGGCCGTCCTGACTACACCCATGGGATAGTCGTCCATCTCGACGCCGCCCACCACCAACTTGTCGGTGATGTTTTCGCCCGACGCGTACAAGTCGTCCACGTAGTTGGGCATGAAATCGCTGTAACGCGAGTTCGCGGGAAGATATGTCTGGGACAGGGAGGAGTTGTAGCTGCCCCAAGGGCAACTAGGGTCGGGTATTTCGAGCTCGTCATAGTACGAGTAGTCCTCGTAGTCTCCGTAGTAGTTGCGGTAGTACCAAGTTGGGGAGCAGTCTAGTGTATTCGCGTCAGGCACCCACGTGTCGCCGGCAGAGGGCGAGACGAGGAGGGACAGCGGTTGGCCGGGCGTGCCAACTGTGACATTCACAACCCAGGCAAAGCCACCTGCCGACCAGAGCCCTGCCTGCTCTGAGGCAGCGCGCGCTGTGAGTCCATGGACGGGCACATCTCTGTGCTGGGAGAAGGGCAGGAGGACGTATGCGGCGGTTGATGTGGCGCCCAAGGCGCAGATGGCGATGGTTGATAAGCGAGTGTGAAGCGCCATTCGCGCGGTGGCTGACGCCAAACTGATTAGGTAAAAGAACGACGGGAGTAAGTGAAGGAACGCCGATCTACATCGACATGGTGAATCGTGTTATACACGTATCTGAACGAGCGACAAGTGATCGAGAAAGAGAGACACAGAGAACGATTGATGCAGCGGGCTTGTGAGAAAAAGGAGTCACTCGAGGATATTTTCCGTTCCTTGCTTTGCCAAGAAAGCGTTAACGACCCTGGAACAGGCGCCGGTGATGATTGGCAACAGAAACGACAGCTTCCAAATTAGGACGTTGAATTTGGGGGCCAAGGATCAGGGCTCGGCAGACCCAGTTTGTATACCTGGATCTTCTGATAGGTACCTTAATGCACAGAGAGCTTCCAGAGAACAGATACAAGACCGAATACATAGAGTGGCGGAAAGGCTGAAATGAAGAAGAGAAGGGGAAAAACTCCGTAAATTTCTCTGCAATGTCGTGACAATTCCCTCATGTCTCGCCTCGGATAGGGGTGGCTGCCTATTTTGTCCAGAACTCATTGCAACTCTGCAATTATGCCTGGAACTTGTGTCTGCTCACGTTGGTCCAAACGGCCCGGATCGATAGCCCAATGTTACTGCTTTGGCATAAATGATGGGTGCAGCGGAACTTGGGAGCAAACAACTCCAAGATTCCTTCAGGGACTGATCGATCCATGGAGTGAGATTAAGGTCGTGGAACTGGAACTTGTCGTTGGGATGAATCTACCTTAGGATGGAGACAGAAGTGACAGGACTCAGGAAGGTGCACCGCGCAGCTTGTCGCCAAATGGGGCAAAATGCCTTCCGCAATCCGCAGCGCCTTGCACCCCGCAGTCCCCCACTTCATCTGATGGTCCCACTGCGTGACAGCGGTACCAGGTTCCCTCCAACAACGTGGAGGCTCGATAAACAAAACAGAAGGTGCACTGTGTCTCGTCTTCACAATTCTGCGGGTCAAGTCCCTGCGACGAGCTCGTGATGCAGTCCGGAATATCAGGTGAACCACCACAACCCTAGCACGCTTTACGTATTGAGAGAACTGTGCGGCTGATGGCGTGTGTTCCCGGTTGATTGCAGCCTCGCAGGAGCTGGTCTCCCAGTTCAATGAGCTCCTCGCCTCCGACAGGCACTTTGGTCTCCTCGCTACCATCTCGTCCGAGAAGCTGCAGCCTCTAACGCTGCTGACAGCGTCATCTCCCGGGAGCTCTTTCTCGTCCAATGTCGACACCCTCCTCCAGCCGCACATCAAGCCTAATGAAGCCCTGTACATCATCCTACGCCGGTATACGTCCACCCCGGCCCTCGTTGCCGTGACGTATGTGCCCGATCCCGCTCCGGTGCGTCAGAAGATGCTGTTCTCCTCGACGCGCCTGTCTCTCGTGCGCGAGCTGGGAAGCGAGCACTTCCGCGAGACTATTTTTGCGACCACTGCCGAAGAGCTCACCAGCGCCGGCTTCGAGAAACATGACGCACACACGGCATTGGAGGCCCCTCTTACCGAGGAGGAAAGGAGCCTAGGCGAGGTGCGGCGCGCCGAGCAGGAAGCTGGAATGGGTACCAGCACGCGCGAGCTCCATCTGAGCAAGAACATGGCCATGCCGGTTGCAGAACCTGCCATGGCGGCCCTGCGAGAGCTGGGTTCGGGGACTGACAGATCCTTGGTTATGCTAGTGAGTGCCAACAGATCCGCATATCAGTACCACCTACGCATCATTAGTGCTGACATGTCGGCCTCCCCGTCTTCACAGAAAATCAACCCCGACTCGGAATCTGTCGAGCTCGTTCCCAACGAGGCAACCCCTTCCTCGATACCAGAGCTGGCGCAGGCAATCTCGACAACGGAGCCCCGCTTTACCTTTTACAGGTTTACGCACTCGTACAACGGCAGCGAGACCAGCCCGCTTCTGTTTCTCTACACATGTCCCAGCAACCCTAGCACCAAGGCGATCAAGTTCCGCATGATGTACCCGCTGATGAAGAGGGCCCTGTTGGATATTGCCGAAAAGGAAGCGAGGTTGCTTCCCGACAAGAAGTTTGAAGTCGAGGAGCCGAGTGAGATCACAGAGGAGGCAGTTCTTGCCGAGTTGCATCCCAGAGCCGAGGTGAAGAAGGGGTTTGCCCGTCCCAAGCGGCCAGGCCGGTGATGATATCACAATTTTGATTGTCAGTTAGCGGAGCTTGCGCTCTTTGCAAGGGCTGCGCCGTCGAGCCATACTTAGATGGCGAGACAACGCCCCTCATGAATCTGAATCAATGCCCAAACCTGGCCCTATTCCTCCTACCGGTTTCGCTACGTCCCCAGTGCATCGCCTATGCCGTGGCGGAAGTTATTGTCGGGAGTTACGCATTCTACAAAGCTAGCATCTCTGTCGGGGGAACAGAGAGCAGCGGCTATCTCACACAGAAGACGATCTGGTTCCCGGAATCTTTGTTTGGCTTCGGTTTAAAATACTGTTCGAGACCCGTCAAAGCCTGTATGCGCAAAACAGGCTTGGTAGAATTCGAACTGTTGACGTGTTAGCAGCGAGCAACAACACCACATCCTCTTCGCTGTTCGAGGACAAGTATCCGTCACGAAGATAATTGCTCACTACAACTACCAAATACATGGCTATAAATAACACATATAAAAACGACTCTGATTTATCCCTGGAACTGATAACATCAACAGCCGCTTTACCATCGACTTCGTCAACAGCCGCTTTTACCAGCAACTTCATCAACCACCAATCTTCCCATCGTCTTCCCCATATCTCACCCTATTCCTCGTGACAACATCACATGGCGGCTACCACAATGTACGGCGCCCTCTTTATGGACGTCAGTGGCCATTACCTGTTCGTTGACCAGCTTTCCGCTGGCTACACTTGCCAAGCCCAGCTCGTTTACCATTGCGAGACAGGGGAGTTGGCGGTCCGGAAGGTCCTCCATCGTCGTCTTCTTCAAGGACAGGAGAACGACGCTAACGTTGATCGCCGGGAAGCCCGGACTCGGCCCGCAGCCGAGTTCCATAACGAGGTTGTCATTGTGCCGGTTCTGATTGCAGCCGCGGGCGGTGATGTTCGCCTTCGCATCCCAAAACTACTGTCTAACGCGACCATCGCCAGCGAGGGGTCGAATAAGTATAGCAAGGTTTCATTCTGGAGCCTCTGCAACGGGGGCACCCTTCATGATTTTGTCGAGCATTGCTGGGACCGCGGGGTAAGCCTCCATTACGGGTTTGTCCTTCGATTCCTTCGCCAGATGCTCGAGACCCTGCGTGTAATGTACACGAAGACAGGTCCCGGGATGCCAATCTTCCATGGCGACCTGCATCCCGGCAATGTGATGCTGCACTTCCCATCTCATGAAACCATGCCTGACTTCTACCTCATTGACTTTGGTCAGGCCGGCTATGCCAGGCGATACCCCTATTACCAGGGAGACGATCTCCGCGTTTGGGACATCCCCGACCTGATGAACATCATCGAAACCAAGCTGTTCAGGCTAACCCTCCCCATTGCAGGGCCCGGCGCCGTCCACCACCACGAGGGACTCATGGCTCTCCTCAACGAGCAAAACACCTCCAACCCAATCTGCGTCGCCTACCAAGTCCTGCGGAGACTCGACCGTCAGTATGCGATCAACAAGAATCTCGCCGTGACGCAGAGCCGTAGTACCCAGCAGCAGCCGACGCGCCTCGTCGTGCCCTGCCTGGACGGCATCATCAACTATGTCGCGGCCCACGCCACGCACGCCGAGCCTTCGCTGGTGGCCAGCGGCAACTGGCGGGCGTTTAACCAGACCTACTGCTCGCTGTACGAGCTTGGGTCGTGCCCGCCTCAGCCCGTCAGACGGCCTCTTCTCTTCCCGACGGCGCAGGAGCTGCTGGCGATTCGGAACGTGCCCGGCCCGTGGTACGTGGCGCGTGTGGATGTGGCGGTTGGCCAGTACGATTTTAGGGTGCGCAAGGTGCTGGATGGCGCGCATCATCGGCCGAATGAGGACAATACCGACTCGGATACGGAGGAGGCGTATATGTGGTCGGATGAGGATGAGTCGGGGGGTTGTTAAGAGGGAGTCAGCGGCCATGAGGGGATGAGGATATGAGGATATGAGGGAGTGTTGCCCGTAGGGTAGTGTAGCGTGTAGACTACCTAAATAACGAACATGAATATATGCTTCGGCGATGAGCCAAGCGAAGATTGACCAAACACCCGCTTCTGAGCCCATTCAGGGAGCCGCTTGATGGCCTTCTTGTACTCATCGTACGCCTTCTTCATCTTGTAGGGCGAAAGATTAGTGATCAGTGATGTCTTTTCTATATACCGACCGAGTGGTGTCTGAATAGAATAGAGAGGGAAGCGATGACCAAAGAGAACGACTGAGTATTACAAGTAGGTGACCGTAGCCTCAGCTGCATGAGGGAGTGAGTCAAAGTAAATGCTTGTTTGCAACACGATGTAGATTCGTTTGATTCCTTTACTTTCTACAGCATGCCCCCGTTTGATACTTGCCTGCTGTGGTATAATGCGTGGCCGACGATTCGACTCAGTCCACGCGCAATAGCTAACTCCAACTCCCAACTAGCCACACAAGGTCACGCTGTGCGTGTTTGACGATATGTCATGCCATCAGTGCGATATGCTTCAACTCACTAATACAGGCGTCAGTTTGTATACCGAAACAACAGAGCAAGAATAACATACTTTGAAACTTGCTCGCCGACTTTGATAGGCGGGTACTCCGCCTCCTCGCCCTCATCTCTACCAAGCTGGAACTGCTCAGCCCGGACACGCCGCGCCTCTTCGGCGAGCGCGGGGATCGGCGCCAGGTCATAATCCGAGGACAGATGCCAGAAAAAAGTCGACGAAATCCGGATCAAGGGCCGTTCGGGGAACCGTGTCTTACGGTCCTCGATCACCTGGACTGTTCGTTCGTTGACCACCACCTCGTGGTAGCCGGCCTTGATGAGACCGCCCGTGATGTACTCGAGCTGCTTGCCCGCTTGGACCAGCAGGTAGTTACCTTGGGGGATCTTGACTGGGATTCGCTTGCCTGTGTTGCGTGCCCAGATGTGCAGGCCGGGATAGCGAGAGCGGCCGTGGATGGTTAGGAAGTTGAGATCGGTGTGGAAGCCGGCGAGGATGGTGTCCTTCTTGCCGTACTTGGAGAGATCGGAGGCTGTTGGCGCGAGGAGATGAGGCCTAGGATTAAGGGGTTAGATATTTTTCCCCTGGCGGTGAAATGGGTATGTGTTTGATGAGAGTCATACCCGTATCTACCAGCATCTTTGAATGTGTCTGCTGGTAGTCCCAAGCCCACGGCGGTCATTTGGGCGAGGCCTTCAACGCTGCCATGCGAAGTTAGATAACCCGTGTAACCGAGTGTGCAAGGCTCTGGAACAGCTCACGCATTCTTCATAGATGAGCCCCATTTGTTCATCACTGGGCCCCAGCGCTCCTTGATATGGGGCGCTTCAGGGGTGACGTTGTCGGCATTCAGCCCTGGAAACTGCGTCTTGTAGGGCGGTGGCTCGACCATCCTCCAGAAGAATCTGCATTTTGGATCCGGGTGGTGCCCCGTAATGTCCAGCGGCCGCTCCGAGGGAGCAAGTCGTTCAATCACACGCAGACACGGCTCATCGACGGCGCACTTTGGCTTCTCCGTGTTCTCCAGAGTTACTCCGATCTGGTAGCTGAACTCTGGGCGCTCATCCTTCTTGAGAAGTTCCTCGGGTTGGGCAAAGTAATTTTCAAGCAGATCGAGGAACACGGTGTTGTCCTCCTCTGCCACCCGAGAGTCATGCAACACCAGGGCGCCATATGTGATCAAAGCGTTTGCTGCCTTGGTGCATTCAGCTTTGACCTCAGGAGAGTCTCGCCCCTGCTGAAGAAAGACATCGAGATCGATGATGGGCAGGTCCATCGAGAATTCCTCTAACGCCGACATGGTCCGGGACGGTGATCGGTTTTCTAAGAAACTTGAGGCGGGATATCAAATGGTGAAATTCATCAGATCTTAAATTTGAATTGCGAAACAGGTCTCGATTCTCGAACGGTCTGCCGTGGGGCTGGAAACGGAAAAACTTCACAGTAAATACAGAAAGCTCAAAGATAACTACCCGAGGTGCCTGAGCCTCAACTTAGACGAGGCAAATTCAGCGTGGAGAAGACCCCAGATAAGGAAGGTGTTGAGCGGGTTGATGGGGATGCAAAGAAAATCTGGAGAGGGTTCACATGCTCAACACGCCCTCCCCACTCACCCAATCCCGCCAGTCGCCGAACGCCGATTGGGGGTTACCAGCCAGGTGAGACCTGGACGAACTCATCGTTGCTTGATGGAAGCAAGACTTCGCTAGCATCTGACCCAACTCTTCGGTTCGCTAAGGGGGGAAAGACGGAGGGGGGAACAATGGAGGGGATGGAGGGGCGAAAAAAAGGAAGCAAAAATTAGGTCTCTCCCGCCGGGAATTGAACCCGGGTCTCGAGCGATGTCGACAGGTGACAAGCTCACATACTGACCACTATACTACGGAAGATCTGCTGGTGTTGGCACCAGCCGTAGTGATTGGTTGGGAGGATTGCAAAATGTGCGGTATATATACCTCAGTACGCATCTCACACAATCAAACCATCCCATCAACAGCCCCAAATCATTTAGATGCTGAAGATCACCAACCATCGCGCCATCCCAACACTAACTTACGTGCATGGCAGTATGTACAGAGCTTTATTGAGTATGGGCTACTTAAGTTGCGAACAAGAAACTGTGTGATCCAGTCGGGCGGTCGGCTTTCACCATTGCAACTGAACTCCAGGTCCGGTAGCATCCGTCTTGAAGTTGACTATGGCATTGACAGCATGGGCATGTAATCAAATTCAGGAACGGGGCAGACGTTCCTTGCAGGTTCGGTATAACTGCTGAGCTAAGGACAAGGGAACACAATATGGGAATTCCTGCGAACCCCAACCCGCAGTACCTACACCGGAGTACACCCTGTCCTGGCACGCAAAAACCGGTTTCTGGTACCGCTGTACAACACGATCGATCTGGGAAACCAAGGTTTGGCTTCCGCCGACCAGGGGTTATAGAAAACAATGCCTCGCCTGCAAGCCCAAATCCATACCTGCCAACGCACTGCAATGTTCCAGGAGCGAGCGAGGCCGAGGAATGGGATGTGAAACCTCGGGCTGAGAATAACACGGAAATCGTACATGATATGTGGGCTGTCATCATTCCGTTAGCAATCGTTGCAGCATGGCTGGGCAGAGCAGTGGCCGAGGTGCCCTTGAATTCAAACTCATCTGAGGGAAACATAGCAGGTTCGGCTGCTAGTACCTTGAGTACAGATTCTGGTTGCGTTTCAGTGGTGCAAGTCACGAAAACATCGGCACTGAGGTATGTTGCCATTGCCGGCTCGATTTTGGTGAGAATAACGCTCACGCGACTGCTGACGACTTGGACAGCACCGTGACGACAACTTTGACGGTTGCCAGTCCCTTCCCGTCAACGAAGACAAATCTCACAAGACATGGCACTACGACGCTTCAGACATCACCTGCAAGTCTACGACGAGCTTCCCATGGCATATCTGCTAACTCGACCAAGACCTTGGTCTGCTTGTCGGGCACCGCCTACTCGGGTCCATGTACTTGCCTCAGCATATCTCGCTCGACGGTGCTTGTGACGGCAGACATTACGACTTTCACTTTGACCACGACGGCGGCAGCGAACGGGACGAGAGCGCCTTCTTATCCAGCTAACCGGACGCTTGCTATGGGAGCAAGTAGCAGCCCGACATCCCTCAGCTCCAGTATAACTCGCTTCTCAGCAGTAGACCAAAAGACCACAACGCCTGAGACGCATACACCGGCACCGGCCTTCTCCAGCAGCACCTCAGCTCCTTCATCCATCGGCTTTGAAACGTCCTTCCGTCGAATCATGGACGGATTCCCGGCAATGACGCCAGCCTTCAGCAATACAACCATGGAGTCACTCCGTCCGAGTAAGAGCCCAGTGGTTTACGTGCTAAATGCCACGACACTGGTCACTGTGACAACACCGGTCCGGGGAAGCACTTCAGTTCCCGCGTCCTTACCCAAGGACACCACCACCAGCGGGCGGTATCTCAACTCCGCCGCCCAATACACCAACACATCGAGTCTGACCGTCACCCCGCTTGCCAGAAACTCGACGACGGTTAAGCTACCACCGTTCGGTAATCTCACCACAACACCACCCGCCAACCACTCAGCCACAGCCCATGCCAACCCGCAAACCACTCTCCCCGCTTGGCTGCTCAAGAGCACACTACCCACCTACCACCACCCGACAGCAACCCTCACCCACAACCGCTGGCTGAACCTCAGCTCGCTCCCAGCCATAAACACAACCGGAACAGCAAGATGGTTCAACACCTCCCGCTACCTCAACACCTCCACGCCCTTGACCACCCCCACCCCCACCTCAACCTCAACCTCAACCCCACCCCCAACATTCACCTCACCAACAGCCGCATGCGACCCATCCAACCCAGGCTTCTCCATACGCATCTCCCAACAAAACGGACCCTTCCACAACTGGTACCTCCGCACCAGCGGACGGGGTCTGCTCTTCACCAGCCAGCGTTCCGGAGCAAGCTCCTTCAGCGTCGGGCCCGCGGGGCATCTGTGCGTGGCGAACGACGAGCGGTTTCTTGACCAGCACGGCATGCCCTATGTCGCGGCTCTGGGGATCAAGGAGGCAGTTGAGGGTGGGGCAGGGGGGGCAGGGGGGAGTAGTGTCTGGTTTGTGGCGGCGGGGGCGGTGGGCAAAGGGGGTTCGTTGGAGGGATATTACACGCCGTTGGAGTGTGCTGTTGGGGGTGGTAACGGGGATGGAGATGAGGGTGGTGGTGGTGGTGGTGGTAGGGGGAGGTTGAGCTGTCATGGGAGGAGTGATGATGGTGACGGTGGTGGTGATGGGGTTGATGAGGAGCAGGTGAGGTATTGGCTTGGCTGTGGGATGCAGTTGGACATGTCGAGGGATGGGAGCGCGGTTGTGCCGGTCAGGGGGCTGAATTGCTCTTCGGTGGCGTTGGAGGTTTTGGAGGGTTGATTCTGCCAGGAGGGAAGTCTCAGGGGATGTGATGATGGGCGCCCCAAAGAAGGGCGACACTGTTTGGTTCGTTGTTAGCATCCCTATTACTTGGCCAGTTTTGTAGACATTGGCCTTACAATGTCAATTAACGCGTGGGCAAGCATAGAAGCTCTAATTAGCGGTGTCCCCGGTGTAGGGACCTAACCCATAGCACACTCCATTCGATCGGTCGAACATGATGACAAAACGGATTCTGATATATGCTAGCTGCATTCGGCGTGAGATGGATACATCCAGTTCTCCAACCCGAAAGGACTGGCAGTGCCACTGTCCCGAGCCCATTGCATCCCCGATTCTTGTGTGACTACCGACAATGGAGAAAATGACGCTACATTATAGACGCGACACTCCCTAAAAGTAGAATTGCTGCTGTGGTGGCTGGCCAGGCGGAGGATGGGCGAGGAAGTCAAAGTTCATCGAGTCCATCCCGGTATTAAACGGGTCAGGCGATTCTACATTCCAGGTCAGCCGGGCTACTTGGAGTCCCAAAAAAGCTCAGTTGCCGGGATATGCCACCTACCCCAGAAGATGGAATCGTACAGATCCATCGGCGACATGTACGTGCTGGGATCAAAACTGGATATGTCGGGCATCTGCTGCTGAGGCATCTGAGAAAACGGGACCCTGCTTCGCGATTGGTCAGCTATCGGTCGACTGAGAAAGAAGGGGGTGACCTACCCAGCCGAAAAGTCGGCCACGGAGCCGCCGTTTTGTTGTTGCAGCTCTGCCATCGCCAATGCCGCGTTCTGGTGCGGATCTAGGTCTGCCTGGACACCCCGTGCTAGTTGTGCGTCCTGCCCGGGCATGGCACTGCCGATGAGATGGGCGGGCAGCATGGACTGTGAGGGGGTGCGAGTGCCCGAGCCGCTTACAGAGATGCTTCCTTCTCTCTTGAGCGATGGAGCAATCACGGACCCGTGGTCATAGATGTTTTTTAACGCCGTCAGAGCTCGTGACAAGGGGCCTGAGAGCTCAATGTCGTGCTCCGACCTGCGTATGTGGGGTTGGGGAGACGTCTGCTCCTTCGCTGCTGTTGCCGATAGCGCCGATATGAGGTCTCCCTGCAGTTGACGGACCTCAGGGTCGGTTTTCGTCTCTCCCAGGATGCCTAACAGGACGGCCGACGATAGGCCGTGGTAGGTGAATGCCCAAGACCTTGTGGGAATGACGGAGAGCTGGTGCATAGCGAGGAACATGCGCACAGTCTCGGCCAAGTTTAGCTTGCACCTGCCCGCGAGAAATTTCCTCTGGGGAGCATCGAGCCGGTTACTGTCACGTTGCAGTAGGGCGGGCCGGCAGCACACCGATATGATGAAGGATGTGTGAAGTCGGATTGCGAAATGCTGCAGCCGGTCTAACGCAGATTTGCACGCCTCTTTGCTGCGTAGTTGCAGTAGAAGCTTGTCACGGATAGTCTCGACTACCCGGCAGTTATCAAGTATCTGCCGGTAGTCTGCATTTGCAGCGGCGTCGGGGTTTAGCCTCTCGGAGATGAATTGGCAGAGATGATACATGGCCTCAAGGTATGCCCACCCCTCGGTATCTGCGGTCGGAGATAGAGGAATCGGACAGCAAGGCATATTCGTCATTGGGGGTCTATCAGGGATTTGTTTAGCAACCCCCCGCCGTCGGGTTGGGACGACGTGGGACTTCAAACTTACCGATCAAAAGAGAGTGAAGTTAAGGTATCATGCCAGCGGCAGGTCCACCTTGGCGTACTGTAAGCACATGCCTGGGTTGTGGTTCGTCTGACCAGGCCTGGACATACCATAGTTTTCTCCTTGACATTTCCTTCCTGACTGCATCAGGGGTATGCCGGCCGTCGAGTGGCTGCGTTCGGTGTAAGCCAAGCGACTGTGCCAGCCGGCAAGTGAGCCCGAGCAATGCCCACGAGGCCTCGGCCTTCATGTCGTTCAGCAGCACAAAGCTGGTCATGAGCAAAGCTTGGATAGAATCCAGGTTCGGCCTGCGGGGAACTTAGGCCCGTGTGAAGGCAGATATTGAGAGGGTCTTGCTCACCTCAGTAAGAAGTTCCCGAGCCTCAGGAAGTGAAAGGAAATTTGGATGTACTTTTGCGAGTCCCTGGTTCGAACATGATACGGTGAATCATGATATTGAGATCCGACAGCGAGAACTGCGAAGAGAATGGCCAGCCAAGATGCTGAAACCCGTTTCGTCGTTTTGGTCGAGGCCCTTGCATTCTTTGCGCGGTCTTCGAGGTAGACCATAAGCCTTGCCTCGAGGTCGTCAATGTCGATGACGAAGCCCCAGAACGGTTGCGGGATTTCCTTGTACGTTCGAAACAGTCTGACAGGGCCGTGTAAGCAAAGCAGTCTCACCGAAACCAACTTGGCACAGCACAGAACAGGCGTACTTCATAACCTCGCGGTCCGAGGGCAGTTCGGAGGCAATATCCGCGGTCAGTCTGTCCAGGTGGCGAGAGGACATAAGGGGGAAGGGCGCCGAGTTGTCCAGCCCGAGGAGGGAGCGCATGTCTTGGCGGATCCCGTTGACCTCCTGCTGCTCGTTGGCGGAGGATGTTTGTTCTCTGAGCAGGGCTGGTATGCTGTTTTGGCCAACATATCGTGTGGTCTCGGTGACATCGGGCTCTAGGAAGAAGGTCGGTAAGCGACGCGGTCAGCTAAGCTGGCTGTTTGTCGGTCTACGCACCGTATGCGCTTATAGCCTCGCGAGCGTCGTTGCTCTGGCTTCGGGCATCCTGCTCGTCGGGCGACCGCGCCCTCTTCTTTGCTGGCGTACTGTCCGGGGCAGTGGACGCACTCTTTGCGGTGGCCGATCGATTCGGCTTGTACGAGCAGAGCTGGGCATGCTCCCTCTTGACGCAGTTCTCGCACGGGCTCTTGTTGTCACACTTGACTTTCCTCTGTCTGCATGGCCAGCAGGCGGTGCCTAGTGGGGCGACATGAGCAACCGACATGACCTCGATGTATGACAACAGGCTGCGGTGCCGGGGTTTACTCACCGTATCGCACCTTGCGGTGGGAATGGATGATGCGGTTTGCCTCCTCCGGGGTGAGCTCCTCGAGGTTTGGACTCTGGTGCGCATCCGACATTTGCGGGGTTCGGGGAGACCGGGAATGCCGCTGAGGGCTGCGGGGGTGAGCCCGAAGGCCTGAAAGGCGGCAGGATTGCCTTTGTCGTCAAGGTCGCGTTCTGTGCCCCGGCCGCAGAAGTGGAGCGGGGGGCAGCCCGGGCGGGGATCTTGTGTGGGAATTACGCCGTTGACAGATCAATTGAATGCGGTTGGCTTCCAGGTTTGTTATCCGCGGCGGACAACGGTTCCCTACTCGACAAGCTGGGAGCCGGGTGTTGAATACCGATGGAAATCCGAGTCGGCGGCTCGTGGGCGGAGAAAAGGCCAAGCAATTTGGGTTCGGGGTTGTTGAGCCGAATTCAACCTTGGCAGCATCGGAAACCTCGGAGTTGGCGGCAAGATGGCAGTGTGGAAACCAAGCGAGGCACTGAGGTGCAACCCACAAAGTGAACGCGCCGCACCACCTATTGCAGCTTGGGTAAAACAGTTTACACCATTCATTCAAGTAGTGGCTAAGGTACACTACGGAGGTACTCCGTACAGTACTCTACTGTACATACTTTGTGGGTTGCACCTTACGACAGTCAACATCGCTACTTCTAGTAGATAGTGGTTCAAACCACTTACCACTGCTTCTAAACTTCACACTTCTACCTGACACGCCTACCTGGACCATGGGAAGTATCGAATCTTTGAAGTCTGAAGAAAGCAGCCGAAGAATGGTTGTATTATGTATAGAAGGTTGGTCGGTTGATGGGGGGTGAGGAGCCAAGCCCAGTTCCCAGCACTGCAGTGGCTCCAATAAGTACCGTACGTACATACTGCGTATGTATGTACATACAGTATTGTACAGTACAGTACACAAGGCACTGTACAGGCCTTTCAAGTTGCGCTGCCAGTGAGTCGCGGGTTCCTCCTTCCCACTCAACAACTCAGAATAACTCTCATTGCAGGCTTCAGCTAACCAACAAAACTCCATGTTGACCCACCCAGTACATGAAAATTATCATACAGGATTATCTTTGAGAGGAAAGTGCCACCATTCTCCTACCTTGTCGACTTCTGACGGAGTCCTACACGGCTACAACCCTTATCCTTGCCGTTGGGGCCTCCTCTGACTTCTCCTTGAACTTGGCATGAAGAAGCTTGCTGGTGACGACGATCCTCTTCGCCAGGGTCGAAATCGAAGAGGGACTAATTTCTCCGACGCTGATTCCCTCCGTTTGGAACTCCTTGGCCAGCCACGTCTTGATCTCGACAGCCACAAGCGAGTTGACTATTCGACGTGGTTAGTACTACCGGTACTTAATGTCGGAAACTCCGTGCCAATTCTGAAGACAAGACAGATTTTACTCACCTCCATACGTCTGAACGGGCTCGCTGACGGTGATGTCATCCTCGGGGATCATGACGGCCACGGCGACGCGCCGAATCATTATTTCCTCCACGATGGCGGCCGCCGCGGCAGCCGTGTCCGCCTTGGCCAAAGCATCCAGCCCGGCATGCATGTCCGCCGTCCGCTTGGTCAGCGAGTCCTTCAGGGCGAGGCAGAGCTTGCCATCGCGGACCCACGGGCTGCGATCCTCGCCGATCTTGGCGCCAGCCAGGCCGGCGATGATCTGCCCGCCCATCGCCTGGCCCCCGACAGTGTAGCCCGTGATGGCGTGCTTGGTGAGGAAGTGGATGTCGGCCTCGCTGACTGAGAGTGCCACCAAGTGGCTCATGCTCCAGTACCGCTGGTCTGTGGCCTCGGCAAGGTACCCGACGTCGCGGACCGCGCCGATGTCCAGCGCTACTGCCTTCTGTCCCTGTCGCCGTCGATAGTTCGCCAGCGCGTCCTGGAAGGTGTTGCCGGCGGCGTAGTTGGCCTGCCCCGGGGTGCCGATCACGCCCGACGTGGACGCGAGCATGATGAAGAAGTCGAGGTCATTGGGCAGGACGCTGTGCAGGTTCCAACTGCCCTGAATCTTGGGCCTCGTGCAGGAGAACCAGTCGTCGTACGTCATGGTTTCGAAAATGCCATCCTGGGAGGAAAGATCCTGTTAGCCCAAAGCTCAACTAGAACCGACAGGAAAGAAAGTCTTACTTTTAGCATCATTGCGCATTGGATGGACCCCCTGATGGGCGGCATTTCAGACTGGCACTGCTTGATAGCCCGAGACAACTGCTCGCGGTCGGCAATGTCGCATGCATAAGCGTTAGCTGTGCAGCCCAGGCCTCGGAGCTGTTTCAGGAATGCCTTGGCGGCGTCTTTTCCGTCGCCCGACCTGGAGACGAAGGCCAGGTTCCGCGCCCCGTGGGCATGCAGCATGGTGGCAATACTCCTGCCAATACCGCCCAGTCCACCGGCGAGGAGGTACGTGGCATTGGGGTCGAGCGAGAGAGGATGCTCGTCGCGCGGGACGACGGGGACCATTTCGTCCGGATTGGCGCGCATGATGATCTTGCCAACCGTCTCTCCGGACTGAAGGGCGCGGAAGGCTTTGGGCCCGTCGCTGTAATCATAAATATTGATCGGAGCCAGGGGCCGAAGCTTGCCGGCGGCGACAAGCTCAAAGATCCGCTTCTGCGCTCCCTCAAGCGCCCCGAACTCGGGCCGTTCCTCGGTGTACTCTTTGAGATTGACGCCGATGAAGCTGACATTTCGAATAAAGGGCTCCATGTCGAGCCCTGTGTTGCCCAAAATGTTGCGTTTGCCAATCTCAACGAAGCGCCCAAACGGGGCCACGAGATGCCAAGACTGCCGGAGGAACTCGCCAGCCACCGAGTTCAGGACGAGGTCGACGCCCCGACCGTGGGTCATCCTCCTGACGCCCTGGGCGAAAGTCGTATCGCGGGAGTAAAAGATGTGATCCTCGGGCACTCCATAGCGCCGCATGAGGAGCTCTTTCTTGGGCACGGAGCCGACGGTGGTGAAGACCTCGACGCCGAAGTGCTGGCAGATCTGGACGGCAGCCTGCCCGACGCCGCCAGCGGCTGAGTGGATCAGTATTGTCTCGCCCTTGCGCATTTTGGCGAGCTCGACGAGGCCGATCCAGGCCGTCGTGAAGGCGAGCGGGATTGTGGCAGCTTCCTGGATCGAAATATTGTGAGGAACGTGATGGCACGCGGTCGACTTGAGCCGGGCATGGCTGCCAATGCCTCCGGCGCATAAACCGACCACTGTTGGAGGACATATGTGTCAGCGCATGATGAACGAAACTACAGCCTTTGCAGACAAGCAGCCTACCTGTGTCACCAGGCTTGACGTGCGTCACAGATGACCCGACGTCAATGACAATGCCGACGACATCGCTGCCTAGACCTGACCTCGGCACCTCTCCAAGAGATGCCATGATGTCGACAAAGTTGAGGCCTGTTTCCGTCTCTGTCAGCAAACTGATGCTAGAAAGCAGGGGATAGAGGACCTTGGACGACTCGACATACCCGTGTACAAGACCTTGACTTCGACTTTGTCCTGAGGAAGCGGCCCGGCACATTCGTAATTGTCCTCAAATTGGAGTGAATCGAGCACCCCAATCTGCCCGACTGTCATGACGAGCTTTCTGCCCTCCTGGAACAGCCTATCCGTCACCGGTTGCGGCATCACTCCCGTCGTCGCCCTGGCTGCGGCCAGCCCTATGTCCTCAACCACGCGCTGCACGTACACGACACCATTGTCCTCGGCAAACTCCTTGTCCGGAGCGTGGATGTCTCCTTGCGCAAAAAGAGTCGTGAAGAGGCGCGTCACCAGGTCTGCGGCTCCGGCCGAGGCGAGGTCCACCCTCGCGGACAGGTCCAAGGAGGCCAGCGGTTTCGCCTCGTACTCAGACCGCACAGCGCGGAAGAGGCCCATCGACACGCTGTGGCCCGGTGGTGCGGTGCCCGAGACGTGGCCGGCCTGCGTCAGCCACAGCACGCCGCCGGCGCGCAGCGCCATGGCCTTGGTGACGTGGAAAAGCGCCGGCGCCAGGTCAAAGAAGACGTCACCGTCCAGCTCAATGAGCGAGACGACGACCGTCTTGCCCGAGACGTACTCGTCAGTTAGCTCGGTCCACGGCAGCGTGGCAGGGCTGAGCCCGAGCCCGAGCCCGGCCAGACGGGCGGCGCAATTCTCGGCCAGTCTGGCGACCTTAGGGGACGGAGTCGCAGGTGTGACGAGCAACACGTCCGTGTACTCAAAGGCCGTCTCGCGCGTCGCGGAAGAGAGCATGACTGACAGCTGGTGCACAGCCGGGTCATCCGAGTCAGCAAAGGCCTGGTTGACGCCTGTGAAGCCGTTGGCCCTGAGCAGCTCGTCCCAGCGCGCCTCGTCGAGCCGCTCGCCAGACGCGCCTTCGCGCCACCATGGAGGAGCTAAGCCCAGGACGAAGGCCGTCCGCGGTTGGGCCTTGGTGATGGCTTGGATGATCAGCTTGCCGTCGGGTTTGAGGAGCTTCTTGATGTTCTTGAGGGCGGCGTCAAGGTCGGATGTCGTGAGGAGGAGGTCGTCCAGGATAATGTAGTCGAATTTCCCTGGGATGAAACCTTGAGCCTGGATGTCGCCCTCAACTTCGAGCGTCTTGAAATCGATGCATTCACCCGGCTTGCTGAGATTGTTCCTGGCTGCTTCCACGGCTTCTCCGTCACGGCCGGTCCAGATGTACTTTGCAACGCGGCTGTACTTGCCGGATAGTCGCTTCAGAACTTCTGTGGCAACCGTCGTGTTACTACCGCTGGCGAGCTCGAGAATTTCGAGGTTGGGATTGATGTTGCCAGCCTGGTCGAGTATCTCAACGACGGTCGAATCGACCACGGAGCGGCCCAGCGATCGGTTGATGAAATCGGCTAGCAGAGTCTTGGAGATGACGGTGTGCTTGGTTTCATGGCTCATCAGAATGCTATTGATCTGGGTGCCGATTTTTACGATGGAGCTGAGGACATCGGCATCAGGAGCTGGTTCGGTGGATTGACCATGCCCGATGCCGTCGAGAGCAGCCACAGAATCCGAGAGGGAACGCATCCAAGCGATGTAGTTCCGCAGCTCTACTGGCAGGTTCTCCACCTTTATGGCTTCGGGAGCCCCAACAAGCGCCAGCGCCTCCCGCATGAACTTGGCTGCGACCTTGTCAGCCAGCCTAGCAGTCGCCGCATATTCCTTCTCGTAGCGCACGCCCAGCTGGGCCGGCAACTGCGAGTGGTTGACGTCAACTACCCAATCGAGGCGAGCATAGGCCTTGTTGGTGGCCGACTGGGGTCCCGGAGCGGCCGCGACGATGAGGCCCTTAAGCACCAGAACCGGCCGGTCCCCTGACTCGGTCCAGAGGACGGAGCACCCGGACGCCTTGACGGCGCTCTCAGGCACGCGTGTGCAGTATCCCTTCAGGACAGTGCCGGCAGCCGTCGGGGCCGTCGCAGAGACGTACAGGCTCTCAATCGAGCTGGGCAGCATAGGGAAGTCGAGACTGCGCCCGCGGGCGGTGGCGGCCAGCATCTGGAACGAGGCGTCGAGCACCGTTGGGTGTAGGGGCAGCGCGGACTCGACGCCCTCAGGCATGGTGGCAGCCGTGTCGGGCGTCTTGATCTCGCCTTGCATGAACCCCTCGCCCGACTGCATGTTGGACAGGTTGCGAAAGACGGGCCCGAACTGTATCCCGTGGGTTTCCAGCTTGTCGTACATGGTGCGGGCGGTTAGCGAGATAGTGGGCCGCGCCTTGATCGCCTCGTACTCCGCTTTGTACCGCTCCCATTCGGCCGCGGCCTCGATCCCCTTCTCCACTTCACCTGGGCGCGTGACGTACTTGCGCTCGACGAAGCCCGAGCAGTGCTCCATCGCCTCCTGGTTGGCGCCGATGGTGGTGATGGAGAAACGAGTCCAGGTCGACGTGGTGGCCGTCTTGGTGCCGATTTTGTACGGCGATAGCTGGAGAGAGATCTGGATCTGGGCGTCGGGCGACTCGAAGATGATGGGCTTGTGCCAGATGATGTCGCGGAACTCGTAGGCTTCCAGCGTCCTCGTCGGGTCGGCTGTATCACGGCAGGCCTCCATAACCATGGCGATGGACACAGCACCCGGCATAACAAGCAGGCCGTGGACTTTGTGGTCCAACAGCCAAGGAATTTCGGAGGGGCAGAGTAGATTCTTCCAGGTGGGCATCAAGCTGCTGTAGTCGAGCGTCTTTTGGCCGAGAAGGTCGGTTCTGGGCGTCGAGTGGCCTTGAGCCCAGCGGACAGCGCGTGGCTCCCGCCAATACCTGCGCTTGTGGTTGAAGGGATACCGCGGCAGGGTGACCAGGGGACGGCTATGCAACGCCTCTCTCTCCATCGAGTTGACGAGGTCCAGGTCCAGCTCAAATCCGGCGGACCACAGCCTGCCAGCGGCCGTGATGGCCGTCTGGAGGGCGTTGACGCCGCGCTGCAGCATCGTAGTGTACGGGACACTGCCAACGTACGACTCGTTAGCGGCGGCTAGGATATCCCTCAGGGGACCTTGCAGTGCACTGTGAGGACCGATCTCGACTAGGGCCTCCACGTTGGCGACGCCCTTTCGCCGGCTCCGCGCGTCCTGCGGCTTGAGCAGCGAGCTGACGGCAGCCGAGAACCGCACGGGGTTGACCAGGTTCTTGACCCAGTAATCGGCGGTACCCATCTTTTCGGGGTTAATCTGGGAGCCTGAGACGGATGAGAAGACGGCGATGTCGAATTGTCCCTCAACAACGGGGCGAATGTCCTGGATGTCCCTGCGGTACTGGTCTGCAATCAATTGCATGTGGGGAGAGTGATACGCCGTCTTGACCAGAAGCTTGCGGCACCAGATGTTGTCGGCGGCGAGAAGCTTCTCGACCTCGGCCACCGCAGAGTCATCGCCCGAGATGGTCACGCTGTTGGGGCTGTTGATGCATGCGACGACCACCTCGCCTCCCTTCTTGACCCTGCCCAGGTACTGCCGGGCTTGTTCCTCAGGCAGTGTGGCGGCCATCATGGCGCCTTTGCGGTCCGGGACGAGCGCGTTGATTTCGGCAGAGCGAACACCCCGCCAGTAGGCAACCCTCCACGCATCCTCCCGGGAGAGCACGCCGGCGGCATACGCGGCACCAATTTCTCCACTCGAGTGGCCGACCACGGCCTTGGGGTGGAGACACCAGTGCCGCAGCAGATCCACGAGAGCCACCTGCAGGGCGGTGCACAGCGGCTGCGAGATCTGGGGCTCGTTGACGCGGCTGGCCGCGGCGTCGCGGCACAACTCCTCGGTCAGCGACCAGGCACAGTCCAGGGAAGACGCCAGGTAGGCGTCCGCCTGGGCAATGCTGGTCCGGAAGACCGCGTGGCGGAGCAGCTCCCGCCCCATGGCGTACCACTGGGCGCCCTGGCCGGTAAAAACGAAGGCGCACGACGGCTTCTTGCCGGACCGGCCGTGCTTGGGCAGGCCCGACTCCTGAAGCGAGGTCTGGAGCCCGGTGAGCGAATCGGCGACGGCGAAGCTCCTCCAATTGAAGATTGTCCGGCGGGATGCCAAGGTGTATGCCAGGTTGTGCATCTTCTCTATCTCGTCGAGCGTGTTCCCCTTCAAGCTACGCGAGAGAGAGTCTTGGTCCAGGTACGTGGAGTAGGTCTCGGCAAGGCGCGCCAGGCCATCTTGTTCCGGGGAGCTGAAGACGAAGAGCTTTGACTCCGGGGCAGGGAGCTCTGCTTCCGGCGTGGCTTGGGTGACCGAGATGGCCGAGTCGGAGCTCTGCGAGCTTGGTGTGCCCGGCCGGTTGGGAGTGGGGACCGTGTTGTGGTTACCGATCAAGCCTCTTGCTTGTATCCCCTGCTTGTCAATATACTGATGTACGAAGGGTGAACGGTGAACGTTGAATTGGGAAGCTCACCCTGAAGGTAGTGCAACGCATCATCTAAGATGGCATGCGCGTTGGAACCGCCATATCCAAACGAGTTGATGCTCGCACGCCGGAGGCCATCGGCAGGCCAGGGAGTCAATTCAGTTGGAATGCTGACCCTCCATTCGTCCTGCCTGATGCGAGGGTTGAGGCTCTTAAACTCAGCTACCGCGGGGATCTCGCCGTGCTCCATAGCTAAGACAGTCTTGATGACGCCGGCGATGCCTGAGGAGCCCTCGAGGTGGCCGATATTGCTCTTGACGGATCCCACAAGAATGGGATGATTATGCTCGCCGAGCGAGGCTCCGATGGTCTCACCAATGGCTCGCAACTCCAGCGGGTCACCGACGGGTGTGCCCGTACCGTGGGCCTCGAAGTAGGTGGTGTGGTTCATGTCGAGGCCGGCTCTGGCATAGGTGGAGCGGATTAGATCCATCTGCGCGTGAGCGCTGGGCACCGTGATGGCGGGCGTCTTGCCATCTTGGTTGATTCCGCTGCCCTGCATCCCAGTCCCGTTGTCAGACGAGGCCCGATTCACATCACAAGGTAAGTACTTGGTCACTACTTACTCGGATGACAGCACGGATCACGTCATTGTCGCGAATGGCATCCGCCAGGGGCTTCACAATTACCACTCCTACACCCTCGCCGCGGCCGTATCCGTTGGCCTGCTCGTCAAAGCTGTGGCAAGTTCCGTCGGGGCTCAAAAACCTTTGACTTGACAGGGCTCGCCAGAGACCCGGCACAAGCATGAGGCTGGATCCTGCAACAACGCCCTACGGCCGGCGGGTCAGCTTAGGAGCGGGCGTATAACATGAAGGCTATGGCGATGCGTGAACGAAGTAAAACCCACCACGCTCGTTATTCCATCCTGAATGTCACGGCATGCTTCGTGAAGGGCGACCATACTGGATGAGCAGGCCGTGTCGATGGTGAAGCTCGGCCCTCGCAGGTCATAGAACCATGATAGCCGGTTCGACAACATTGAGTTACCACAACCCGTGGCCTGGTACATGGACTGCTCGTGGATTTCATGACCGTTGAGAAGCAGGTAGTCGCTGCTGAAGCCGCCCACGTAGCTGTGTCTTTGGGCTCAGCACTTGTGTTTTTGTTATATAACGGGGTGTGCTAGAAACCGAACTGTCACTCACCATCCAGCATCACTCCCGGCAACCTTGGTGATGGGAATGCCGGCTGTTTCGTGAGTTGGTTGAGTTAGAACGCGGCTGTGTTGAAGGCTTCGAGGCGCTGAGAAGCTAACCATTTTCAAAGGCCTCGTATGTGACCTCTAGAAGAAGACGGTGCTGAGGATCCATGGCCTCAGCTTCCGAGGCCGTGATGCCAAAGAAGGGAGCATCGAAAAGTGCAATGTCGTCTTTGAGGAAGCAACCTTCCTTCGTGATGATCTATTCAGGGGTTAGAGCAGACATGCAGGGCTTCAGTAAACACGGGATAGGGGCCTGTGCAACAACTTACCGCTCCAGGACGGTCGGCATTCGGATGATAGAAGCCATCCGGGTCAAACCTGGATCTGGGTATCTTGGTCCTCGTCGACTTGGCGTTGCTCAGAATGTCCCAGAAGCCTTCGGTGGTGTTTGCGTCTCCCGGAAACCGGAAGCTCATGCCTACAATGGCAATGGGGGTTTGCTTGTCATTCTCCATCAAGGGCCAATTTGAGTCATTCACCAGGCCCCAGGCTCTGTTGCTACTGGTCTCGTCTGAATGCGACGGCTTCAAGTTGACACGCAGCAGATGCAAGGCTGTAGGATGCAATGACACGTGTAGAATGTAGGGTCCTTGGACGCGTCATGAGCTCCCCTCCAACGCTGTCTTGGCTCCGTTTTATCATGCAAGGAGTCATGCGAGATCTCAACAATGAGTCCTGGCCTACAAACCCCCTGTAATTCACCGAACCCGCCGCCAACAACTGGACACAGATGAAGGTTACAAGGAGAAGGGGATGCACGGCCCGGGGGGGGGGTGCGGGTGCCGGGCAAGGTCGGTGGGTTCGTTACAGGCAAATAACCCTCTTGCTGGACAAAGCCCTCCGAATAGGGTACATGTAACTCGGCCTCTTTAGTCCTCTTATTCTTGCGTCGTTCATATCTAGTAATTCCGTTTCCCGCATTAGGAATGCCGGCTTCCCCATCAGGCTGTGAGTTGGCGCCGTGATCCTACGGGCCGTTTCACTCCCCTTGCACAGCCGAACTCGCCGGTGTTACCGTCGGAGTTCGACGATACCTATGTGGTACGTACTTACTTACATACCGGCCACTTTGGCAGTTAGAGAGTTGTCTGTTGAATGCAGCCTAATGCATCCACCGAAATCCGGCTGAGGCTTTGTTTGGCGCAAGAGGAAAGAATACTAAGGTAGGCTGACAACGCTACATGGGTTGTTGTGAACTACTCCATCTGTCCTTAGGCAACTGTGACTTAGATGGACTTGAATGACGTTGGGGGCTGTTCGCCTTGCTTCACATTATAGAGCATAGAATTCCCAAGGAAGATCTCTCTCGGGGTACGAGACTGTAGCAAGAAGAACCCCGAGTAAGCCAAGTTGTTTGGGATTCATCGGACATCGGAATTTCCGTCAACTAGCATAGGAAGGGGGGGTCTCTGTCCGCATGTTCTGTCTCATGACATTATAGTTCGGCACTAGCCAAATTGAACTTCACGACAACATTATGGTACCTATTAGGTGTCATTATGTTTCCTAGCCGGTGTCATTATGTTTATATAATGGCAGATTTGGCTAGTGCCGGACTATAATGTCATGAGACAGAACATGCGGACAGAGACCCCCCCCTTCCTCTGCTAGGTACTAAGTAGACAGTTGAAATCTCGTGTATGCTACCCAAACAAGACGAACTGAGTAAACAAACGTTGCCAGTCATGATTCGTTGATTTATACCAGCGTCCTTGGCCCCTTAACACGCGGCTCGGCCAGTCGTCCTTTCCAACCCTAGCTTACTTTCGCACATGGCACGGTTCAAAGTATTGGTATCAAGGGATTGGCTGCTCGTTACCGGTAGCAGCATGTGCGTAGAGGGTCTCCAACTCCTGCAGCCGCTTCTGGATGGTGGGGGGGTTTTTCTGGTAGGTGCAAAGCGACGAAACGAGGCATGCCGCCGAGATGCCAGCACATATGTACATGCTGATGTTAAAGGCGTCGATGTACGCGGTCCGGACGCCCAGCTGTTTAGGCACGTCGAACGACTTGGTAATGGCGGGCGACCGGTAGAACGCGTCCATCTCCTCAGCAGTGAGCAAGCCAGTTAACGTCTCGGTAATCCTGTTGTTCAGCACGATGAAGCCTGCTGCTACTCCTAGACTGCCGCCCAGGATACGCAGCTGAGCGACGATGCCTTGGGCAATAGCTGGCGAGTGCCACAGCAAGTCAGCGACGACTCCAAGAAAGAGAGTATGGAGAACTCCCCAAGGCTAGCCAATACGTACCGAGATCCTCGAATTCGGCGTTGAGTGAGGCGAGGAGTGTTGCCGTCGACAGGTTCATGCCAATGCCCAAACCGAGAATGACCTCGAACCCCCACTGTTTTGCGGCCAAGTTGACCGTGTCTGGTAGGGTCGACATGATGCCACAGCCGACCAGCATGAGGATGCTTGCCGCGTTCAGCGTCCCAAAGGTCCGGTTTTGCTTGCCCGACAAGGCACCGCCTACCGCAGATCCGACCGCCGTGGATCCCATCAGAGGGAGAAGGAGGACGCCAGACTTGACCTCGTCGTACCAGTTCACAATTTGTGCGCGCATAGGGATGTTGACGATGACGAGTAACATGACGAAGCCAGTCAGAATTGTGCTCCTAGACGGTCAAGGATTAGTTGGCTAGGACCTACTTGCATGCACGTACTGTCCGGAACTGCAGTCATGACTTCAAGTCAAGTTTGCACTCACATGACAGTGGACATCAGAACCCGATGCGAGAGAAGTCTCCACGGGATCTGAGCCTGAATATGCCCAAGGCTAGGCGTCTGGGAAAGATGCCATTGCCACCATAATAGGACGAACCAAGCTAATCCGCTGAGGGTAAAGACGGCAATCGTCTGTGGGCTGTTCCACGCATACTCCCTGACGGTTGCCTGGTTGATGATGAAGACGAGGAGGACGGTCGCCATCATGAACAGCAGCGCGCCCAGGAAGTCGAGCTGCTTGAACGGGATCTTTTTGAAGGTGCGCAAGTTTTTCGGCCATACGAGAATTAGGGCAATGCAGGGAAGTATGCCGATCGGACCGCTGCGGATGATTACCTCAAGTCAGCCGTCATAATCATATTGCATGCTGTGCTATCCGACGACGCTCAAATGACATGACATGACCTACTTCATCCAGAAAGCCCATCGCCAGTCCGAGTAGGTTGCAAGAGCACCGCCGATGACGGGACCGCTGACGCCGGCCAGCGCCACTACCAGGCCGATGATCGATGACAGCATGGGCACAAGGTTGGGAGGGCTGATCTCTGGGTAGATGATCATAGTCATGGCGTACAAGCCGGCGCCTCCCACGCCCTGGGCAGCCCGGAAACCGATCAGCTGGTCAAGGGTCGACGCCGAGCCGCATGCCACAGATGCAGCGAGGAAGATTGCAAAGCATCCGACCAAAACGGCTTGCCTGCCGAGTACATCCGACAGGCGGGCGACGAGAACGGTGCATCCTGTTTCAGGGCGGCATTATCAGTCAGGTATGCTGGAGGAGCAAACAGAGGGCAGAACACCTGACGCGATCCGGGCTCTTACCGAGGTATGAGAGAGTATAGGACAGCAAGACCCACGGGGACAGTTTGAAGCCGCCAAATTCATCGGAGATCCTGGCTAGCATTGTCGCGACCACGGTCGTGTCCATGAGCGACAGGAACAAGCCCACACCGATGCTTTGAAATGGTTAGATCTAGGCACCTGGATCATTTCAAAATGAGAGGCTGTAAGGCACCTACCTCACTAGAATGGTCACCAGCCGCCATTTGGGGATAGGCTCTCGTTTTAGTCCCAGGTCATCGCTTGGTACCCTCGCCAAGGCCGGCGTTATCTCGCTTGTGGGAAGGGCCGCTAAAGAGGTCTCCTTTGGCTCGATTGCGCTACTAGCTTTCAGGTCTGCCATGCTTGGTGATCTAGTTGAGACTCCTGTTCAGTCAAGCATGAAGCGTTTGTCCCGGTCTTCCGAAGTCGAGGACTGCGGTAGTCAACGCATTCACATGTGGGTGACTGCGACAGAACCCCAAAAAGAGACGCAGGCCGTGTTATTGCTGATTTGATAGCCAACAAGGTGCCATCCACCACTTAGGGGGCCTGAGTGGTGATTTGGATTTAATTGATCATGGCCGGACCACAGTCACCAGTGACCAGACATCCTTCCTGCGCCCAACGACACCTCAGGTACAGCCAACGGCATAAACACTGCAGCCGGGTTTCTTGGCGGCCACGGCGTGTTTTCCACGATGAGTGACTTTGAGAGAAACTCTCCGTTTGCACTTATGAGGTGTTCTTGTGAGGTTGAGGACCTGGCATGTGATTCTAATAAACGGTAAAGCTGAGCTGCACATTGCACTAGCTTATTGCGAACCTCACCTTGCCAAGTCACGCATCATCGCAACACCTCCGAGAGTGTGCCAAGATAGAGGTCCGGGGTTGCTGCCTTGCTGTCATCATGAAGATACTCTGTCTGCATCCATGGTGAGGAGAGCTGCCCAGAATCAGGGGACAGCCCCCATTGACCTCTTGCTCATGTTGCCCACGCAGGGGCACCTCGGGCTTGATATTCGAGAAGCAGCTGGCGACCCTAACCGACATGCTGGGTCCGACGCATGAATACGTATACATCAATGGACATATCCCATGCGCCCGTGCTCAAGGTACGCCCTCAGATGGGCACCAAGCTTGTCACAGCGACGTCATGAGCCCGAATCCATCACACTAATCCCCGGTACCTTGCCGTGCTGACAACAGTCGTCGCTAGCTCTCCCGGATTTCGTCAAAGGCCCGTACTACTGCTGGTACGAGGGGCTATCGACAGCCCAGTGCCAGGAGGCTCACGACATCATCGCAGAGACGATCAAGGAAGAAGGCCCCATCGATGGGGTCATCGGTTTTAGCCAAGGAGCCTCGCTGGCCTTATCCTTCATCCTGCACCACGAACTCCATAAACCAGGCGTGCCGTGCCCTTTCAAGTTTGCTTTGTTCTTCTGTGCGAACCTGGTTATATCTCCTGACCCCAAGTTCAACCTCGATATGGTGTTCAAATACAGTCAGGACCACAAGCCTGCCGATCACGGGCTCAGACCAGCGGCCAAGGCGGACGACCTAGACAAGATGGCCAGGGAGGCCCAGGCTGCCGAAGGAGACCACGAGGGACGGGGGCAAAACGGCGACCGCCACGAGATTCCGGCTGCAGTTAGCGGCGCCAAGCCCAACGGTCCGACGAAGAAGCGCGCTCTGCTAGTTCATCCGGACAGGAAGGAGGCACTGTTTGACGAGCTGACGCGGCTGATCAACGAGATGTTGAACAACGTGCCGGGTCAGGTGGACGCAGAGAGGCACTCGTGGCCCAAGGACCCCAAACCAGAGGACTTCCCGCGGCTCATGCACCCGCTGACTGTACGGGCACGCGTCCCTATCCCCTCAGTCCACATCATTGCCGAGGCCGATCCGCTCATGGGCCACGCCGAAGCGGCGGCGCGACTGTGTGACAAGGAAAAGACAAAGCTTGTCTACTTCATGGGCGGCCACCGCATCCCAACGGCGCCCACAACGTTGCGCACCATCACATCCGCCGTCGAGTGGGCCATGCAGAAGTCGCAGTTGATGTGATTGATTATGTTGACGCGCTTGACACATCGAGCATGCCATTTTGACTTGGGGAATGCGAAGTTCAACTGCAGGGGATCATGGATGTCGAATCGGGACACCAAACACATAGTATCAAGCTCCAAACAATGCATACATAGCATGTAGGGGTGGGCAATGGAAATCATACCTGCTCGCCATCGAGCTGCTCAAGCCTCAAGAGTTTCGGTGAAACCGCGTGCTTTCTTGATTCGGCTCAAAGCGCCAGGCAGGAAAGCAGTTGAGAGTTGAGACCCTGCATTCAATTGATGCAGGGAGCTGAGCTGACTCAGCTGAGTCAGGGAAGCTGCGCCTCGAGTCGCTCGAGTCTCGGAGGGAGCAACTCGGTGTTGGCCCACTGTTGGGGGGACACAGAGGGAAGGAGTGTCCGTTTTCCAATTCCAGGTCCTATCTCCACCCAGTTTGGAAGGATCTTGGAAACGTACCTACCTTACACTTACAGGTTTGACCCAAAGGAGTACATACCGGTAACAACCGTTAACGATTTGTGATAAGTGCACCTATGCCAATTAATTACCGTTTGAACGGGAACGGGAAGTGTACTTGAATTAATTACACCCTAACCGGGAATTGTTGACTCTACCGACAAAGTAACTTTAATGGGTTGTTGGTGCTCAACTGTGATTTCCAACACCAACAGAGCGTGAGCTTCTTGGCAAAACATTTAAAATTGCTGAGTCGAAAATTGGATCGAGACGTTGAAGGGCTCCTCGAGTCCTTGGCAACAATCAGCGTGTCCGTAAGCCACAATACATTGCTGATCAACTACATGATGTCGAATTGTCCAGTCTCCCAATCGCTCCTGGAAGTATTGCCCATGAAGCTCGCAAAGAAAGGTCATCTCAATCTCACTCTACACTCTACAGCAGCACAAACCTAAACATCGCGAGTCCAAGAGAGCCAGCACTGCTCTAACTAACATCGCCTCCCACCTTTGCCTCTGCGCCGTGCTGCGGGCATGAATCGCGTGGCATGGTCGCATGGTCCGCATGGTCCACATGTTACCCAAAGCGTACCAACACGCCGCCAACGTACGTTCCTGCAGTTCAGGTGGCTGGCCGCGATGCAATTTCAGTATGCCCTCACAACAACAAGGCCTCGATGGGACCTGCCCCCTGTGCATGTGGGTAGTAGTAGAAAGCCTGATGGTCCCCAGCTGTCGACGCTGTGACTGTCTCTGCGTGCCCCTACCGGGCGGCGGCACTTGAATCTTCGACCAGTCTGAAGTTCTGAGCAATGACCGATGCCGGCTTACGAGACTGGCCTCCGGGGCTCACGGACCTGCGGCTGGCATGCGAGGAATGCCACAAGCGCAAGATCCGCTGCGAGGCCCCTCAGGATGGAGCCCAGGGTTCCTGCCAGGCGTGTCGCGCCAACGGCCGGACGTGCCTCTTCTCGCTGAAGAACAAAACCGGGCGACCCCGCAAGTCCAAGCCGGCTCAGTTTCACTGGGCCTCCAAGGCTGTATCCCCACGGCCGCTCGGGGCCCATGAACGACCAGGATCCCCTCTAGACAGCGTCGCGGCGGTCCGCTCCTATGGAATCGCGCGCGGTTTGAGTATGGAGCAGCATGAACCCGGTGGTCAGTCAGCAATGGCCGAGCACTACGCAGATACTCTCCCCTGTGACACCGGCTTGAAGGCCCCTGGCGGACCCCCATATTTCAGGCAGCTCCCATGGCCCCCTGAGTTTGCAACAGGACGAGACGTTCTCGATCCTCTTCCGGGCAGCACTCCCGGTGGCGAGGAGCAGGCTCCGAGTCCGGGGCTCTTTCACCTCGGAGATGATTTTGTCTTCGACATGCCCGAAAGCGTGACCAACACTAAGCCGGCCTTCTCGGCCATTTCGCATAACGACACGCTGGAGCTGGACCAGGGGCGGGAAACCCGACCGCACCTCGCAGCTCTGAGGACAACCCTGTCGCCGGACGAGGCAAGTGACGCGGGGGGCTTCCGAGACTCAGGTCGTACCGACTCTGTTCACACCCAGGCCGATACCGTGACAAACGCAAGCTGGGGCAAGGCGATGCGCGGCGACTTTTCAGACTTGATGCGGCTGTGCGGTGAGATGACACCGCGCTACCAGAGCAAGGTACTGGACGTCGCGGCGCGGGCCGACAAGCAGGAGCTCGCGGTCGTCGTCGGCAACATGGAAGAGTTAGGGCACAAGGCGGCGGCGGCGATGCATGACGCCGCCACCACCGCGAGCGCATCGTCGGGGGCTCCACCCAGCCGGCAGGAGCAGTATCAGTGGATGCTGACGCGCGTGGCCGTCTTGGGCGCCGTCGACATCGCTGCCGACCTGGTCCAGCACAACCTGGCCATCAACAAGATTGAAGCACGCGGGGCGGTGGATGCGACGGCGGCGAACGAGGCCGACATTGAAGACGGGTCCGACCTGAGCATGACGGACGCGACGGCGGCGCTTAGTACTAGATTCGGGGCGCAAGGAGACCACGGCGAGGAGGATGCATTGGGCGGAGGGCGGGCGGCGGACTCCCTCGAGAGCGTGCTGGCGCTGGTTCGTCTGGACCACGCGCTGCTGCAGTTCTCTCTTTTCCTCATGGCGGATCAGTGCGACGTTGAGGGCTGCGGTGATCCGTGCAGGGGCATCGGATCATCCACTAGTAGGCCTGGACACAGCTGCCCCGGACGAACCAGGACGTCGACGCTGGACAGGTTAGAGCAGATACGCGCGCAGGCCTGGGCGTTGGCGGAGGGAATGAGGAGGCTGTGGTGACTTCCAGGTTTGCTGCCTCGACAAACCCTTCATTCCAGGGCCTTGGGTATCTCGGTGGTCGGGACCGCTAAATGGGTGGGCGTTACAATACGGGGTGGGCATCATTAGAGGGACAACGGCGGAATGATAAACCACGGATGGGTATGTAGTACTAATTGGCCCGGGGGCTCGGCGAGACGGCGAATTTGGGCGTCGCCGCGTCGGTTTGTCACCTTCAACGGTTGGCTTGTTAACTTCAATGGTTGGCTTGACCGGAGGTTGTTGGACTGCTAGGCCGATTAGGGAATTTCGTTCAATGACCCTTTGGAGAATTTAGTTTCCTATGTATAGGAATATTGAAAGACGTTTGATCATTGTTGTGGTTGATATGGGGAAAGTGGTAAATGCCACGCCCCACTTATCCTGTGCTTGTGGACTGTGTTTACTGACTAATCTTAAAAGTGCCCAGTAATTATTGTGCCCACTCCCCAGCATAACTGCTGAAAATACGGAGTACACAGTGAGGCAAGAATCCAGTGCGAATTGCCCGCTGATGATGAAGTTCTTGTGGTTGGTTCTCCGATTGATTGAGCAATTGTAACTCAAAGCTATCCTGATTCCTCAATGGCTCTAATTTATCCGTAGGCGCGTGAAAGGTCTCACAGGCCATTTCGAGGCCTGTGCAGTGCCCAGGGTCACGCAGAGTGCCACCTAACGTTATGTACAGTACACTAATTCCAACAATAAGGTACCTACGGAGGTACGCACCGTAGGCACTATTGAGTGGCTCGAGTGGGAATGAGGAACCTGGGAGACCTGTAGTATTTATCGGGGCACTAGGGCTTGGCTCTTCAGCAACGAAGCGGTCTTCAACTCTCCTCATCCGCCTTGTAAAGCTCCGTACAAACAATCCGTTCTTTGGCGTGTGTCTTCAACACTTCCCGTTCACCTGAGTGAGCAAATAGTTACGACCACATCCACCCATTGCTCTCAACCCGAAACCTGGTTTCGACCTCATATTCCCTTTGGGCTTTGATCCAGCAACTCCCATCACCTTCGAGTACTTTCCCAATCGACTCTCATTTCTCGGATCTGCCAGCTTGTTGTGCATCCCAGCGATGCATTTGCAGGGCTCGGACCGCCACGGGCGCAAATGGTGCAGCATACCGGATGTGGACAACATGGAGGCCAATATATGACATGCATATGGTTGATGGACTCGATGGGTTCTGTAAGTCATCCCACAAGCGTTGCAATTCGACAGCATGCACCAGCTTTGGTGCTTCGGCAGAAAACAGACCGACGTGGTGGCTAACCTCTGCCAAGACCCCTGCCGAGCGCTAGTTGTTGGTGGTTGTTGGTGGTTGTCCGTGCTACCTAATAGCCCCAATAGGCACCAACTACTACTGTAAGTATCGGTTGCTACAAGTGAGGGCTGGACGGCTGGTTCGTTCGTCTTGCATGCGGCCGCACAGGCTATAGCGGTATAGCCACTTTGGCCGGATCTCCCCTCAACAAAACCAATCGCTCTAGGGGATACAGCGAAAGAGCAAAGACTTAGCGCAAGCAGCCGCAAAGGTCCTTGCAACATGGACTCAACCTACGTTCCGCGGGGAAAAACCACGAGGCTGAGGCCCGCGGACGAGGCTGCCTCGTCTAAGGCTGCCCGCGACAACATGGAGCGACAAGCCTTCCATGAGTGGCCAAACGAGGCCGGGGTAAGCACTCCTCTCCGCTTTCAAGTTCCCCGCCCTGGGACCATATGGCTGAGGCGGCGTCCAGTTTGACGGTCTGACCGAACAGCGCGGCCCCATCGAGCTCAAAGTCGAGGGCAACATCCCGGCATGGACAGCCGGCTCCCTCTACCGGACCGGCCCCGGCCAGTGCAAAGTCGAAGACACTAAGTCGGGCACCTTCCACATCTCGCACTGGTTCGACGGGCTCGCCCACACCCACAGGTTTGACATCGTCGTCGATGGGCCGGTGGTGCATGTCTATTATTCGTCTCGTCGCCAGTCCGACAAAGTCGCCGCTGACATCAAGGCCGCGGGCACCTTGCGGTCCATATCCTTTGCCCAGAGGCTAGATCCTTGCGTCGGCCTTTTTGGCAAGGTTATGAGCGCCTTCGAAAAGCGTTCAGATATTCACAACGTCGGCGTGACGGTCGGCGTCAACCTGCCTTCGTTCAAATCTCGGCCAACCAATCCAGACGTCGACGTTCACGGCCACCGTGCCACCAATCTTGTCATCGCAACAGACGCCGCCGTCCTGTGCGAGATGGACCCTAGCACCATGGAGCCCATTAGCTTCCCGAACCACTCCAGGTTCCACCCGGACCTCAAGGGGCCCCTCGGGAGTGCCCACGCGATGCTCGACCCGGAGACGGGCGATTACATCAACTACAACCTCGACCTCGGCAAGCAGCCTGTGTACCGCGTCTTCCGCGTTGCCGCCGCCAGCGGTAAGACCGATATCCTTGCGACCATACCGTACAAGGCCGCCTACGTCCACAGCTTCTTCATGACGCCAAACTACGTCGTCCTTTGCTTGCCTGTAGCCGACTACAAGTGGAATGGCCTGAAGATGCTGTGGGAGGGCAACCTGAAGGACTCTTTCAAGCCCTTCGACCCGTCCGAGAAGTGCCGGTGGTTCGTGATCGACCGGCACCATGGTAAGGGCGTCGTGGCCGAGTTCGCCTCACCGGCCAGCTTCTTCTTCCACACTGTGAACGCCTTCGAGGGTGACGACGGTGATGTCTTTTGCGAGCTTGTCAAGTTCCCGAACCGATACATCCTCGATGGGCTATACTACGACGTCATCCTCGACCGCAACGGCAAGGCCACCGAGTTCTGGACCGACGGCCAGCGAGCGCAGCAATGCTTTCCGCGGCTCGTGAGGTACCGCCTGCGCAAGAAGGACTTTGCCATTAGGGCCCCCCCCGCCGCGGGGCCTCCCGCCCCCGAGCTAGTCACTGAGATCACATCGCCGCACTCCGGCGACCTGCCTGTCATCAACCCCAAGTACCGGTGCAAAAAGCACCGGTACACGTACATGGTCGTCTCTCGCGTCTTAAGCACCATGCTCGACGCCATCATCAAGCTCGATACCGAGACGCGTGAGCTGCTGCAGTGGGAGGGCCCCAAAGGCCACACCCCCGGGGAAGCCATCTTCGTCCCGCGTCCTGCTGCCGACGCGGAGATGCTGGACGAGGACGATGGCGTGCTACTGAGCGTCGTCCTCGACGGTGCCAACCGCATCAGCTACCTGCTGTGCGTGGATGCCAAGACCATGACGGAGCTGGGGCGCGCTGAGTGCGAGTTTGCCGTCGCGATTGGACTGCATGGCTGCCATGTACCGGCTACGGCTGATTGATAGGAGCAGCTGCGGACAATAGCATACAGTGAGAGTTGGGACTTTGTTCCTGGCTGTTACAGGAATATGCTTCCGGATTCCACCATGAGAAGTGTGGAATTCATGCGCGTAGCTTCGTGGCGCATTTGAATCCAATCGTCACACCTCCCAAAACTTGCCCATTCGAATCAGTGACTTCACCTTGTGCGTTCGGTCGCCTGGACGCGTCATAGCCGCCGTCAGGACAAGTCAAGTCCTTAGCTTGAACTTTCCCATATTCTGGGGCCATCGGCTTACAAAGTGGCCAGGTCATATACACATGAAGGACATTATATGCGATGCCAGCCCGCTAGCAAGCCACATAAGCTGGCATCTGGGTCCAAAATAAAACATGAAGTCAAGGTACGCTCACTTGTTGATTCCCACTACGCTCAACTACCAATGCTATCATCTTAAATGCAAGTCGTAGTTACTAGTAGCTAGACTAGCTACCTGTAGACGTGTATTGGTGCGACTCTGTGAAGTTTGTGGCGCCTCCAGCATTTCAAGGGCCGAGTAAGCTCTAAAATATGCCAATTTAAGGCCACTCCACCCCATAACTAGCGCAAGTATCGGTCTTCCACTGGATCATGGCAACCCTAGAGGAGACGAGGAAATCAGTTTGTATATTTATGAGCCTCAAGTTTACCCCAGACCATCGATGTGGGCGATCATTGCGCTTTGACTGGCAGCAAGCGCGTCGCGCGGAAGGGGGGCGGGGGGTGGGGAGATGTGCGAGTCGAGGGGGGAGAGAAAGACACATACACGTCTTTGAAGCTGCAAGCTCCGACGATGCAGCTGGCGATGACCGTGTTGTACTCCTCATCGCTAAGGCGATTTGGAATTCATAATTAGCGAAGAGAACTTTGAACACACCATGGGCCGGCCATTGCGATCACGGCGACATAGGGACAGGGGGTAGACTGGAACATACGCCTGACAAAGACAGGGGAAGTCGTAGAGGTGGGCGCAGCCACTGAGGGGGAACACGCTTTCAATGCAGTTGGTCTGTTGTGTGGCATCCATATTAGTAGTGGGTTGCCTGTGCGTGGTTTTGATGCAGTTTTTTCAGGGGCTGGGCAAACGTACGGCGCAAGCAGGGATCCCGCCGGTGTCTGGGACCTCTTGGGCGGTGGCAAAAGCGGCTATAGCGGCCATGAGCATAATCTTGAGCTGCATCTTTGGTGGGTTTGGGTTCGTTCGTTGAGTGTTGACTTCAGTGTAAGATAGCGTGAACTGGAATCAGGGGGAAGGGCAAGTTGTGGCCTGGGTCGCAGTGCACATAAGGAAAAAGGTGGGATCAAATGACTGTGAAATGCACGCCTAAGGAGGGTTTCTATAAAATTGAAAGAGATAAATCGCAGATGTGTTCCACGTCCATGTCAACAGCACAAAGGTGACAGGTCCCTGCAGGATTGGTCGGGGTCCGGAGGATGTCAGACGGGCCAAGAGAGCTTGGCCCGGACCGGGATGTGGGGCCGTTGCCCTGGCAATCGGCCCCGGGCGAAAGACGCCGACCGGCGCCTTATATGCAGCTCGCAACCTTCGGCGACTTTGGAAATTCTTCCTTTGAAACTAAAAACGGAGCGAATAAGGTTCATTTTAGGTTGCTAAATCAAGGGGCCGCCCTCCGAGTTAGAAAGCAACATGGCTCTCCATGCCGCATCAGACCCGACTACATCCAGTCATCGCATGAGGTGTATGAGATAAGCCGCTCACAGTTTATAAAGACGGTCCGTTTTTGAACAGACAAAGGCTCGGAAGGATTCATCATTCAGAAGACAGGTCCTTGCAGGATTGGTCGGCCCGCCCGGAGTATGTCAGACGGGCCGGGAGAGCGGGACCAGGACCGGCCGACCGCCCGAAATGTGGGGCCGATGCCCGTCACGGTTAGAATCGGCCGCTAGAGAAACGCGCCGACAGCCGCCTTCGGTGACTTTGTTTCCTTCAGAACTGGCTGGAGAGGGAGTGAATGAGGAGCATTTCAGGTTGCTAGATTAAGGGACCGCGCTCATGAAGCGACTTAGCTACCTAGGTACCTTAGGTAGGTGCTTATCAACTTGAAAGGCGCCACATGAGGGCCACAATATCATTCGAGAATGCGGTCCGACTTCGCACAGTCACCTCAAAGCTCCGCAAAGATTCAGTATTTAGAAGACACTAGCTGTATTGAATGCCACTAAACATGAAGCCGTTAATCGCCCCGGCCTGGCCCCAGAGAGAATGAAATGGTCCTTTTTGGCCGTCTAGCCACATACTCTACCATCGTCGCACAGCTTAGGGCAATACAAGGCCCCAGTCCTATCATACATGCACATCCAATGGCCCAAAGCACATCCATCGGTCCATACCAGGTTGAAAACCAGCTTCAGGGTCTGCCCAATGTTACCTGCGGCGGATGGCGGTGCGTCCTGTTTCTTTTCGACAGCAAGGCCCAATCTGACGAACATCCTGTCGCTTGCGCCGTTTCTGGTTCCATTGATACCGGGCTTGCCGTCACAGCTGGGTGAGTTCATCTCGGTGCTGTTTGTGACGTGTGCAGAAAGGGGCGCCTTGTCGGAGGTAGGACCCGAGATTTGCACCGACGAAAAGTTTTGCTGATTCGAAACGAGGGCCAAAGTCAGCAAGCACTGCAGTTTGAAATATAAGGTACCTTAGTCACCTATATGATAAGTAAGGTACCTAGGTAGGGTTGGAAGTCGTACCAGTCTCTGATCTTGGTCCCAGAAAATCGAAGTCGTTACCTTGGCGACTACCCCTTCGCCCAGCGAGACAGTGCCCTCCACATCCGCACTTGGGATATGCAACGACGTGTTGTGCGCTGAATGGTAAAAGCTCATCCACGCGAGGCACTCGTAGTGGCTGTCCACTTGACTTTCGCCATGACCGACGCTTGCCAAGGCGCTGTGCTTGCTCGTGTACACGAGTTCGAGGGCCGACAGATCCTGGTTTACTTGCCAGGCGACGTTGAAAGGACAAACTGTCTTGGGTTCAGCAATCCGGAATTCAGTAGGCTTCCCCGCGGCAACCGCCACGGTATGGATCAGGATTTGCAAAAAGGAAAGCACTGAGGGCAGCTGCGGCGCCATCTTCAATACGTCGGGCATTGGAAGGCTGGGAGGTCTTCCAGTTCTGGCCGATTTGTGAGGTCTACAATCGCGACTACACTTCGTCCTTGAGAGAATCAAGTCACCTTTTGAAGTTCCCGAGCACTCCTGACTTGTCCCTTGTTGTACTATATAGGCTAACCCAGTGTCTCTGCAGGTAAGAAGTTCCTTTTGCCGTATTGCAACGGTAATGAGCCCGGTGTTGTACTACATAGGATACATGTAGGGTAACACCAGAGCTTCTGCAGGCAAGGAATTCATTTCAACCGTATTGCAACATCCCTTGGGTAAGGTACCTACCTTATACATGTCCTACAGGCTACATGTAAGCTACAGGTAACCTTACCTTGCATATTTTCTTCTCGGAGATACCGGATGATTACGGATCTAACATGGAATCAAACGATGCATGCACCGAGAAGAACTCAATCTACGGAAATGCAACATCACCTTGAGGCTTGGCTTGGTATGTGCCGAAAAGGGGCTTGCATTCCCCGCGCGGTCCCGTTTCCAAGTTGGGGTATAAGACTGACGAGTCAAAACACTGACCGCACGGTGACAGCGCTGACCGGCGGGCATACATGTGTTTGTGCATGACGGCACGAAATGGGATTCCACAGTCCATGTCCCTGAACCCGTCCGCTTTCCAAGTCGGGATATAAGATTGACCAGTGACAGATGGCGAGGCATATTGGTGCTTATGGCGTGGATGTCCATGACGGAAATGAAGATTGCATTCCTCGAGTGGTCCAAGTCCGCTTTTTAATCCGGGATGTTGTGGGTGGGTTAGATGGCATCTTAAGAGTGACCGGTAACACTGGATGGCTTGGACTGCCGAGATGTCGTACATCACGAATGATTACGGAGATATGCCTCCGTCCCACGAGGAGGACTCTTCCTGCATTCACAAGGAGGCCCTTCTAGTTGCCCAGGTGCTGGGCCTCGAGTCAAGTAATTGGCTCCGGATCATGACAATAGCGATGACTGACGGCATGGTGGCATGCTGGACGGATTCCATCATCAATGATGTCTCAGCCCAGTGTCCAGGTCATCGACATAAGCTCATTTGTCAATGATAGCATTATAAATCCGGGTAGAACGAGACGTTATTGCAATTCACGCCGTGAAATGTCTACCTCAGAATGTTGAAAGCATCATACGCATCCAGGGTCCAATTCCATGTCTCTCTCTTCTCAGTCGCAACTAACACTAGCTACCTCTTACTGAGTAGGTACCTATTCTCCATTTCTCCATGTGCCTCACAACCCCTTACTGCGGACTTCACTCCTAACAGTTTTGTACGACTCGCCTAGCCTCTCCAGACTGGGGGCCCAGGAGGCAGATACTGGCTCAAGTCCGTATCAGGTGATCCCTGTCCAAACTGGTTGTCTGGGACCCAAATACCCTGTGGGTGAATGTCAGCATCGTTTCCGTATTTCGATGTGTCGTTAAGGCTAGCATCAGACGTACCGGGTCATCCATCTGGTAGGTACCGGGGAATTTGGCAAACTCGGTCGGTTTCCCTCCGCCTGGCCCGATGATGTTCACCTGGGCGCAGTTGATATACCATTGGGCCTTGTCCAAATAGTAGTAAGGCATGAAGTACTCTGTGCGCATGAGATATTTTCCAGGTGGTGTGGTTAGCGGAATCGTGAAGTTGAACTAGATGTAATTTCCTGTTAGCGAGCACCATCTCAAAAACTCTAAAGACCCGACATCCACAAGACTAAGAGAGGAGACGTACATCACGCGTTCCGGGCAGCAGCCACTCGCCCTTCGATTTTGGCCCTGCGTACGCAATCTTGAACCACTCGCCATCCTCGCCGCTGTAGTGTTCGAGATCATCATTTGGGGCGCGCGAAAGGTATATCATGCCAGGGCCCTCGTGCCAAAAGGTGGGCTCGCCGTAGTAGTTCTTGCCTGGGCCTACATCCGAGATTCCGTCATACGAGACGCGGAAGCCAACTTCGGAACCAGCAAGCACATCGGCTGTTTCGGTCTGGGATGCGAAACTGAAGGCGTTGCGGCCGCACGTAATGTTGGTGTTGTAGATGTCATATTGCGGAGGCATTTTGTTGTACTGGAGCCAGGGATATTCCTTCAGGACCTCGTCCTCGATGTCAAACAGTCCGGCAACGTTGCTAAATGAAATGAAATATCATGTCAGTTGCGGTTCATGTCTAGCTAAGGTAAGGTACCTAAGCAGCTTGCCAGCTACTGTCTAGTGAGGGTATGCCCTTACCGAACGTATTGCCATTCTTTGGTCTCAGTGCCGTTGACGAGAAGAATGCCCTGAAGAACTGAAGCAGCGTCAGTAGTAGCAACCAAGGATAAAGTGAAGTCCAACTCACGATGGCAGTGCGCCGTGAGCACCAGGCCAGCGCCAACGAGTGCGATGGAGGAGGACCACATGGTCGTCAAGTGTTTGTCTCTGTCCTGGCAGTCAACTGCTTTGCTTCTTTGAACTCTAGGATATCATTCAACTCTTGGCAGGACGATAGGCATTCAAGAATCATTTATAAGTGTGATTTCATCCTCTAGTATTTCAAGGACAGTTCAGTAGTTTTTCCACTTTCCGACTGCCATGTAGCTGTGTCATTGATGGTGCATGTAGATATGTGGTAGGAAGCGCCAACGGATAGGGGCTAATATAAAGTAGAAGCCTTGTTAATTGATACCTACTACCTTCCGAATTCATACGAGCGGCGTCAAGACCCCATCTGAAGCCCCCCAATGGTGTACGACTGAATCTTGATCATACCTTACTTTGCCGTCTGGTAGTGGAGGTGATTTCACTCTTGTTAAATGCTGCAGGCGGTCGAGGTCGTTTGCGTTTAGATTGAAAGTGCCGTACATGTATGTTTGCGCCTTGACGTTACGTGTAGTTCCTGTTTTTGTGTCCGCGGATCAAAACTTCCGCATCAATGTCACCAGCATGATGGCGTTCTCGTGCCGTCACCCTCAAAGCAGCAGGCTCACGGTCTGGTGTCATCCGGGTGATGAGAAACGCGGGACGGGGCGCGATTGGGGATGTGTCTTGATGTTCCGAGCCGTCACTGGAGTGATGTTGGCCACCGGGACTGAAGGCCCATTGGCGAATCAACTTACACGTAACAGTTGAACCTGTTACGACGACAAGTACTGTACAATACACTACAGTGCTCGGCAGGAACCTTGGTTTGCTCTACTGCAGGCCCCAAAGGTGCAATTATCCAGATAACATATGCCAACGATGCCATGGCCACGCAGCACGGGCTCAAGAACATCCGCGTCAACTGCGTTAGTCTGGGGGTCGTATCCAGACCAATCATGACCAGGAGAGGGGAAGACGGATGAAATGAGGCAAACGAGGCGGAGGATCAACACCAGAACCGTTAACCTTACCTATGAGGCGAGAGAGCAATATGAGATGTCGGATATGGTGTGCAAATGCTTCAAGTCGCTGGCAGAGGTACTTGCTGACTTGGTACTCCTTGAGAGCTGACTTCCATTGGTATAGGACCGTAGTAGTAGTAGGTAGCCGTGGCTACTTCTCGGTTCTGATGCCTGTTAAGCTGTTGCGAGCTATGTACTAGTAAAGGTTGCTGACATGCGCTGTATTACTGCAATTTACTGTGGCAGACTCGGAGTTCCAGGACGGCTCGGGGCAGTTCGGACTTCGGAGACGGGCGGGGTGGAAACTTCCGGGGGTTGATGATGTTCAGAACTTCAGTGTTGGCACTTGGCTGTCTCCACTGTGGCGTTTTTGCTAATATCTTTGGTGGGGATCTACTGTCTCGCTTATCGCCTGCTACCATGCCATCGGTATCTCCCAAGCCGCTAACCCCGCGTTTCCCCACAAGCTAGGTAGGCAATGCATACCCAAGAGCCAAGCACGCAGACATCGAGTCTGCCATCGACCGAAACCTTCGACCGACATCATTCCTGTTGGACTTTAAGGATCCAAGATGGCTCCGGCTGGCCATGGCAAAACTGTCTGTTCCAACCGCCGCCCCGTCGGCGGGTGATTCAGTAGGATCTTCAAATTTCGAATAGCAGAATGCCAGTGTCGACTCAGTTCAGGTTTCAGCGTCAACGCCCGCGAGCATGTCCGCAACTATGACCCTACCCCGGCACCGTCCATGGACCCCCACCCCAAGGCCCAGCCATTGCCCGAAGGAGAGGCCGGATCCCCTGAGCCTGAACCCTGAGGTACAATACGGAGTATTACATGTATCGCCCCACCTCAACTTGAGATTGATCCATATGTTCCAACTTGACAGTTCTAATCATGAGGAACTTGAAAGGCCGTCATACTGCTTGCATATCTTGCGCATGGTGCTCTACGCCCGTAGCTGTCGCTTATACGCGCCCTTGACGGATTTGGGAGGGGAGCATGCAAGGGGAGTCATTCGAGCAACTGACCGACTCTTCTGCGCGGCAGGGCTCACCGCCGCTCGCCTTAGAGACTCTCAAACCATTCAACTATCCCCGGCTAATGAGAGTTGAGAACCTTCTCTCGAGGTTCGCGCGCGAGATATTCCCTGCCATTAGTTTTGACAGGCATCAAGGTTGGTCCTTCACTAGCATACTGGCCTCCTGTGTAGCAGTTGACAGTTTCACCACTTGAGGCCTATATGTCTTGCCTACTACTAATGAGCTTCCTGCTTCAGCATTCCTCCAGGGTCCGTCAGTGGCCACTCTCGCCCAATGATATCGAGATCCGCCAACGGCTATCGTGGGCTTTAGGAGCATCGACGGACTGAGAAGGGACATATGACGGTGCTATTGCCTAGCAGTACTCTGCAGGTCCCTGACCGATTTATGGATGGCTAGGAACTAGTACTACTACTAGTAGTAGTAGTTCCAGAGGTCGTAACTTCTGATCGAGACGAATAATGTCCCCTTGGACCTTCTTGTGATGACATCCCGAGGGCGACTACTAGGTGCCAATACTCCCATGGTCACCTTCAATCCAGGATCCTGTCATCATCTCATGTTTCTCCAAGTGAGAAGTGTAGGTCATCGTAGTCATAATCCGGATATACATTACCCGAACCCTAACCCTTCCGCTGAGCGGGCGGCTAATTTGGCGGAAATGTTATGCGTCGAATCTGATTCCTTTTTTGACCGATTCTGCCCAGGCCTTGTCTGGTTAGGTCTTTCCAATCCAATGCAATTGTCTTTGCTGATGGTGGCTGCTGCGAAACTTTGGTGGGAAGGAGATAATGGCGGCTTTCTTGAGCAATCCAGCTTCCCCACCCCCCCCCAAAACCGAGCCGCTGGAAATTCTCCATTTCCACAATGCTGAGCGCCAAGCCTTCGTGGAGGAATCAGTTCGCTTCAACAGTTTCTGAAGAGACAGAAACAGAACCCCTCAATTTCCCATTCTTCAGCAAATCCATGCCTGAAATTTTCTGATCTCTCGATTTCACAGAATTCCAAGAGTCAAGTTTAGGTTTACGAGGTTTCTTTCTCGCTTGGTCAGCACTTCATCCTTCACTCATCAACGCTCAACTTTGGGTACAATTTTCTCCCAAATTTGACAATCCGATTTGCTTTTCGGTTTTCCCTTTCCCAATGGTCAGCAACATCGCTTCAATCCAGTAGTTGGCCTGTGCACGATTTTCGTCTGCAGTGAGGCCCACCTCCGAGCTCAGCGAGAGCCTCAGCTTTCGATTGCTTTGAAGTTGACCAACAAGTCCCTGGAGACAACTCTTCCTTTGGGCGAAGCGGATTTCAGCCAACGCTTTTGAAACGACCGGAAGAGAGGCTTTGAAGACGCGTCCCAGGCTGAAGAGAGGTTAACAAAGTGGAGAGGGCCTTCCCTTCCCGGGGAGCGCCGTCACCACTCCTTCTCGCCTTATCTCGCTTTGAAAAGACTCAATTGACCATTGAAGTCCAGGCATAAGATCCGAGCTGGTGAGCTCTGAACGATTAGATCCATCACCACTTTGTCTAGGACCGTTAACCTGCTTGATGCGTCTCTGAATCCGCTTCCAACCTCCCAATCCCAGAGGCCAACAGTTCGATCATTTTGCTGTCAGCTCGCAGAGCCCTTTATCATTAATGCACAGACGGCGACTTGAACTAGTAGCGCCTGGAGCGACTTAGCAATGGCTCCATTTTTATCCGCGGGATATCCAGTAACGCCGAGCAAGCGCGATGACTCGGTCGAGAGAATCATCCGACAACTCAACAACGACTACGGACTCGACATTGAGGTTCCCGACAGTTCCCTAACCCCATCTCGCCGAAAACAGCTCAGTGCCGAGGATGAACAGTATGCGCAGTGGGACCGCATCTGCCGCTGCATTCGCTTCCTCTATTACCAGCGAGACGACACGCTGGATCGGGCCATTGAAGCCTTTGCTAACGAGGCCAAGGCGGCGAGTCTGAAATGGGTGCCCAAACCCCGTGCCGATCCCGGCACTCTTCCTTCGCCGAGAAACGTCCCCAAACCTCGGACCCCAGGCCAGCAGTGGGCTCTTCAAACACTTCTCGTCCATGTTCTTGAAGAGTACATGGCACTTAAGAAGCCGGCGCTGCTAATCCCGAGACCAAATCTTGGCGTAGCCGGTCCCCCGATGTCTCCCGCTGGTGACAGTGACCTAAGCCCAATCCTGGCTTCTCCGGAATCCGCTGGCTCAAAGAGATCGTTTGATAGTGACGACGATCAATTGTTTAAGCGGAGGAAGGGCCGGCGGTCTTCAATCTCGCCTTCACCTTCGGTCTCTACCACGTCTTTTGTCAGCGCGTTCGACAACATTCCATCTCGACAACGACCTGGTGTGGGTCACCCGTTAACAAAGGAATCTTCTCCCGAGCGTCCGTGGAATGGTTCAGGGTCTACAGCACGCGTCTGGAATTCACCACGTGGTGGTTTGTCCCGTGAACACCGGCTTAGTGACCTAGGATCAGATCGCATTTCATTGAAGTCGTTTGCCAGCACCCGCATCTCTAGCCTCTTTAGTCAGCGCGACGGGCCTGAGCAAACACAGACAACTCTTGAGGCCAGCTCTCAGGAGAGAGAGCGGACGTCGGCCTTCACCTTTCAAGGAGATGTGCGAGAATCGACGCCGCAAGAACAATTCAAAGAGTATGGAGACCCTAGGCCGCGTGGGATTACTCGAACAGTTGTTGGGCGGCGCGCTGGAGCGGTCGAGACGGCGTCGGGGCCAACCTCATCCTTGAAATTGGCTTCCCGGCCTCTACCTGACGCGGTTGAGCCAGCTGTTCCTCCATCACTTACCACCGTTGAGCGTCCACAAGCGCCCCAAGACATTGCCCCAGATCTCTACTCGCCGTCTCCTTCGGTTAGTGCGGCGACCTCATATTTCTCAGATCAGTTGGAGGATTTCGTCAACGCCATCGAAACGTTAGATCCCTCAGCACCAAACTCACAGACAGAATTGCGACAACGACCTGGTGACGGCGGGAATGCTGGTTTGCAAGCAAGGTTGGAAAACATATGGCGTGAGTGGATTCACCAAGACAAGACCAAGATAATGTGTGCTGTGATAGCTGAGAACTGCACAGCGAAATTCCCCCGCTGGCTCCACGATGCACCGCTCGCAATTGCTTGGGAAGTTACACGTATTTGCCTCCATTGCCGTGTCGATATCGATGACGAGACATTATCTTACGACCCTGCTTGGACCACCTCTGACATTGCTGCCATCTGGCGAGGTCTCGGTCGCCTTGATATCTTCCGAGGAAAGTCGTTCCCGGAACGACCCGCCGCTGAGGTATTTTCGGCAGCTCTCACGAGTTTCAAGAGCGGGCAAAACATTGTTGTCATGTCGGCTGCATTGGAATTCAACCCGGAAAAGACAGGCCCCCTGTTCTTGGTGGATATGAAGCCCCTCAGGTTCGATGAGGGCTGTCGGTTAACAAGGCGCTTTGGACCGGATCGCTTCTTCGAAATTTTGGTACCTTCTCCTACTGCAATGAACGCTCCGCCCATTGTCAGGGAGCACGGAAACGCACAGCAGGTCATAAGATGGCTGACGGAGCGGCCGCACTCCCTGGTCGGACGGGAATGGCGTGCATTTTACGCAAAAGATGTGGGATACAGAAAGCCTGCTAAGGAGTTGAGACTGGGCCCCGAAGCTAAAGCCACGTTCAAAGAGCGGGTGCACTTTTTTGCCGAGAATGGGCACAACTTCCGTCCTCTGCCTACTAAAAAGAAACTCCAGCCCGTGCCAGCAGATGATGATTTGCATCAACGGACAGAGTTCACGGTCAGCCAGATGTTGGATTGGCTACTGCAGCTGAAGGACAATGAAGACCAACCGCACCTGAAGCTCTTCTCACGTATCCAGCTAGGTCTGAGCAAAACCTTGCCAGCTGTGACGCTTGAGCCGGGACAGATCCGCCACCGTCCCGTGGACATCCTATCGCCAACCGGGAAAGTCATGAACGACGGTATTGGTCTCATGTCCCGCAGCTTGGCCAGAAAGGTTAGGAACGAACTCGGATTGAGTGACATTCCGTCCGCCATTCAGGGGCGCATGGGCTCAGCAAAGGGAATGTGGCTGATAGATGTCACCGACTCGGGTGACGATGACTGGATCGAAACCTATCCGTCACAGCGTAAGTGGAAATGCGATTTCGCGGATCCCTGCCAGCGGACTCTTGAAGTCCGCAGCGTGCCGTCCGAGGTGAAATCCGCTGGTCTCAACTTGCAGTTCCTTCCGGTGCTAGAAGCCCAGGCCGAGGATCCACAGCTCATGAGACAAGCCATAGGAGCCCGCCTCCAAAGAGATCTGGAGAAGCAATTTGAGTCTCAAAAGGCAGCATTCAGACTCCCACTGCTCTTTAGGCAGTGGGTAACCGAGAACTCAAACAGCAGGTCTGACCGTGTCAGGCATGGCCATGTCCCGTTCCTCGGTGGTCTGCCCGAAAACAAGGGCGAAATTTTCCACTTCCTACTGAACAGCGGCTTTGATCCCAAGAAGCAGAAGTATGTTCAAGATCTCGCTTGGGAGTTGCAGATGCAGCGGTGCGACCTGCTCAAAACCAAGCTGAACATCAAGGTTGAGCGTTCTGCTTACCTGTACATGGTTGTCGATTTCTGGGGCGTCCTTGAGGAGAATGAGGTCCACGTCGGCTTTTCTACCAAGTTCCGGGACGACTCAAACGGCGAGTCTTACACTTTACTGAGCGACTGCGATGTTCTTGTCGCGCGTTCCCCGGCCCACTTTGTCAGTGACATGCAAAAAGTCAAAGCCGTCTTCAAATCGGAACTACATGCCCTCAAGGATGTTATCGTGTTCTCTCGCAAAGGCAATATCCCTCTTGCCGACAAGCTGTCTGGAGGTGATTACGATGGAGACCTGGCTTGGGTGTGTTGGGACAAGGAGATTGTCGACAGCTTCACCAATGCGGAGGTACCGAACGAACCAGACCTCTCGGCATATTTGGGCAAGGACAAGACCACCTTTGCTGAGTTGGTTCAAGCTACCGGCAAGACAGGCACGCGTGCACGCTACGAGGCTGTCTATGACATGATTAGCAAGAGCTTTCAATTTGCTATGCAGCAGAACTTTTTGGGTATCTGCACCAACTACAAGGAGAAGCTGTGCTATCACAACAACAGCGTCAGTGACGGTGACGCCGTTATTCTTAGCACCCTTGTGGGCAAGTTGGTGGATCAGAGCAAACAGGGAATCCTCTTTGACAAGACACGCTGGGAGCGGCTGCAGAAAGATCTGCTTGGCGGCAGGCCCTATCTCAATGATCCCGCATACAAAGGGGACATCTGGACCGGAAAAGAGGAGCCCCGGCACATCATCGATTACCTCAAATTCGTCATCGCAAAGCCAGCCGTCGACCGCGAACTCGAGGCCTTTCACCTCGCCATGCAACCCAACGGGAACCGCATCTCCGGGAGCCAGAGCCAGGACAAGGGGGCCGAGTACTGGGATCCAGACCTCACCGTCTACTACGAGGCCTTCAACAGCCTTGCATCCGACTCCCGATCGTACAGAGCCATCCTCGACTCCCTGACCAACGCCATCGGCAACATCGAGATTGAATGGTCGCGCTCCATGAGCAGCAAGACCAAGAACTACCCGGAAACGGTCAAGCAGCTCTACGCCAAATGGTGCGCCATCGAACCCCGCGTCGTCAGCAACACGGGCTCGAACAGGGTCGACCCTAAGACGGCCGCCTTCCTGGAGCAGCCGTACCTGGCCAACCGCGACGGCACGGGCTACTGGGCGCTTCTGAAGGCCAGCACGGCCTTCAAGATTTATCATAGGAAAAGGCCCAAGTTTGTCTGGCAGATGGCTGGGCGGCAGCTGGCGTTTATCAAGGCGCAGATGGCCTCGGGCGAGCAGGCGCCTATATTGGTCACGCCGCTTATGTATGCGGGTTTGTCGCCTGATGGGAAGTTTGTCAAGCAGTTCATGGCAAGGATGGATGGGGAGGGGTCGGAGTACCTCGACCCTGAGGGTGCGGTGGAGATGGGGGAGGGGGAGGGGTTTGGGGAGGAGGGTCTGGGGGAGAGGGCGTTCAGGGGTGATGATGTTGATTGATTGACTGAACCCCTGCCGTCTTGGACGTGCATATCGATCGTCAAATCTGACCCGTAGGGGTAAATCTTCTCGTCGTTTCTTAGAGTTTTCTTGCGAGCAAGCGTCTGGTAGTTGCCGCATGAGTTGATTGTGAGGGGCTAATGTTGCCCTTTCTGGTGGATAGATAATACCCCTTGGCATGGATGGCGTCAAGTTCAGTTGGTTCGTCTATATTCTTTTATTTTTTCATGATCTCCTACCGTCTTCGAAGTGTATTGGCTTCCAGCTTAGTCCGTCGTTTTGATGCTTGCGATCTGATATTTTGCGTATAAATCTTCCTTATCCGCTCAAAAGGGTCCAAAACTGGTCGCTCTGAGGACAAGAAACCGCCCCCTTTGAACAACAACGAAGACAAGATGTCGCTATTGTGGGGAGGCCGTGAACATGAATCTGGAACTAGTATTTCACTTTTCATTTTCGGTTGTGCTGCTGACTCAGCAAAGTTCAGGTCACGTGAAGGAACGTTTTCTGATGATTGAAATGGTAGGGAACGTGTTCGCGCTTAGTTTTCACATCTCCGTTTTCCAATTCCGTTTTCCGACTTTTGCTGTGGTGTGAATCTAATGTCGCTTTCTTGTGACCACGCTTTCACTAACGCGTTGCGAACCCGCTCTTAGCCAACCAAACGTGTTTGTGACCTCCTCTACACGTCTAGGCTAATGGCCGCTTTCGTGTTCATATGTGTCAAAGGATGCCGACCCCACGGGCCACCGTCCTCAACCAGGCCAAATTTGACGGCTACACCGTAGGCCGGTCTCTTCGGCCTAAGAGGAGTCTTCAGCGAGAATGTAGCGATGTGGACTCAACGACCTGCCGTGCTCGTGCTGCGAGTACCGGCCCTAGCCCGGTGCTCGTCAACTTGAGCGAGCTGGCCAACATCGAACTGGACGCGACCGTGGCCTATACGGCCTGACCCAGCCGACCCCAATGCTTGTGGTGGAAGGAAAGCCTCGACCATACAATAGAGCCACGCAAGCCAGGAGCAGACTTGGCAATGAGTACACGCACTGCTCTCAGGTATTCACGATCACTTGCGGCGCCGAGATCACCCGAAGGCGGATCGCCGGTCTGGGTCGTATATTGCCGATAAGCGTGGGAACCAACCTAGAACCGACGCAGTCCTGCATTAGCATGGCTATGGAGTAGGAACAAGGCAGACCGCAGCTTGCTGGGATGCTCGTTCTGGAGTCAAGCGGTTCGGTAGGGGTCTGAACCGCGTCAAAGTGATGCGCCACTCTAGAACGCACCACTCACGGACTTCCCGGAATACCTACCCAAGGGGCTGTCAGGTAGACTGGCAACTGTTCTGCCTGATAATCGCGTCGCCGACATGCATCATACAGTTGGCGATGCATTCCCACTAATCGTTGGTGAGATTTGCCCGAGATATATGGTTAGGGCTTCTGGGAAGGAGTGTAGGTGGGCTTTGTATTGGTCTCGCCGAGGGAACCTAGGACAAAGGTGTTGGCTTGGGAGTTGGTGCACCTCTGGGGCATAGCAGACACGGCACGACAAGGGGACTGCCTACCACGGCTTCAAGTGGACGCTCGGTCAACACTCAGCCACCACTCGCCAGTACGACCAACCCGACCATCCTCATTGCAACAAGCCCGTTTTCTCGGCTCCCAACATCCACAGCTATTCTTCACAGACGCCGACACAGCTATCCACTCCCTCCGAGGAGTATAGACAGACCGGCAGTTTGAGAAGATCACACCTAGGGGCTCAGTAGAATGGAGGGTCGGGGCTCTCAACTGGGTCTTTGGAGCCTAAGATCTCATATACTTCACCTAGCCTGCAAGTCCCGAGTTATACTGAGAAGCCGCTATACACGAGCTATGACCGAAAGGGTCGCGCGACGTCTCCGAGGAACTTGGCGGCATTTTCTCTACATCTACAGACAACGATAGCCTTGGCACGTCCGCATCCGGCCCAGAGGACCGAGAGGATAATACATTGGAAGAACAGAGCTTACGACAACGATCGCCCTCGGCCGCGGCAGTCCTGTTTCCACCCGCAAGGTGCGCATATTCAAATCGTCTTATATATAACTGTATGCCGAACTCTTTAAGATTGTCTATAAGCCATTTGTATCGTCCAACCTCCTTACTTTTCTTTACTGTGCTTGGAAGCTTCGCTTTAGTTTGTGGACTCTAGGGCATTGTCGATTGTACTCCCTGTAAATGGTGGTTTAATTCAGACACTAAGATAAAGGCGCTTGTACGGGGGGACGCCGACCAAATAGCCTATAACTAGAGTATATTGAATATATAGCCCTTGATGCCCACCCCATAGTCGACCGGCGCTTTGAACGTCCTCCTGCTTGCTAGAAGTGCAGCAGGTTAAGCCTTGCAAATAAAAGCCGAGCGCTCAGGTCGTCGCTTTATACGGTGTCTATACAAAACGCCGATCCGCCTCGCGATAGTAGTTGTGCTTCGTCTTGTCACTAGCTTAACGATAATATCAGGACAGTAGGCAGCAGAAAAGATAGAATAAATTGACTGTTATTTATCACAAGTTAATACTACTATACTCCTGATAGTCCGTTCTCCTTTCGCCTTCCCTCTAGAGTTGATAGCGTGGACACGGTGTACGGATGACCTGCGCCTAATACCTCTTGCTGGAAATCAAGCAAGTCTGTGAGAGGCAAAGAGCATCCCCATGCGGCCCATATCTTTCCAAATCAAGGCGAGATTGCCCATACTGATCAGCGTATCGGGATGCTCCTCTCCCAGCAACCTCGAACTCGTCTCCATCACTGGCAGAAACAGCAACTCGGCCTCCTTCTACCGGCCTTGGTTCCGGTACATCGACGCCAGGTTGCCTATGCTGGTCAGCGTGTTGGGATGCTCATCTCCTAGAACCCTCAGACTCGTTTCTATAAGGTAGGTTTATATCTATTAAACTAAGATAAAAAAGCCTAATAGTACCTCAGTACGTTTTCAGGAACCTATCTAGGACTTATACACATTGGAGCAGTATAAAACTCACTTGCAGGGACAAGTCGAACCTATCACAGTTAATGCCCCGATGTTACGATGCATAGGAGTGGATCGTATTCCGCTTCTCGGCCCGTTGAGTCCGCTAGGTGGCTCAACAAGGATCATTCAGGCAAAGCCTGGCCACCTCTGGATGATTGACCAGGTAGCTATTTCCCGTCTGGGTGAGCTCGTGGCAAGTCAATATTCCCAGCCAGCCAACTTACCGGCAGAGAAAGACACCGAAAACAGTAGAATATAGTAGAATAAAAGGATAACTATATAGTAACTCGCCCTCCCAGACCCTTCCTGTGGCACGCTATGAGAAGAAAATATAAGAGAATAAGAAAGAGTGAGTAAAGCAACAAACGAATGTGCCCTGCTCTCAAACACACCACACGGATTTCTTGCTCAAGTATACCAGGACGCACCTTGCCCAAGACCTTTTCACTCAACCCTAATTCCTGCCGGTGTATCCGCTCCGCCTCCTCGTACTTCCCCTGGCTGTCAAGTACAAGCGCGAGGTTGTTCAGCACCACTTGGCCTCCTCGTACTTCCCCTGCCTCCTGAGTACACTCGCGAGGTTGTTCATGCTGGTAAGTGTGTCTGGATGCTCCTTGCCCGACACCTTTTCACTCAACCCTAATTCCTGCCGGTGTATCCGCAGTAAGCGTAGATGGATGCTCCTTGCCCAACACCTTTTCCCTCAACCCCAATGCCTGCCGATGCATCCGCTCGGCCTCCTCGTACTTCCCCTGGCTTTCAAGTACAAGCGCGAGGCTGTTCATGCTGGTGAGCGTGTCTGGATGCTCCTTGCCCAGCACCTTTTC